GTTCCTGTAGGCTTCTTGCTCCAGGCAGGCTCAACTGGGTGCAAGGGGCGAGTAGCCCCCATCACCTGAGCAGCCTTTTCTGGACCTTCCCTTCCCTGGCCTAGAAGAAAGGCCAGAACAGTAGAGACCTACAAGAAAGGAGCTTCTGCTCTGGACTTCCACCTCCTGTCCCTTGCCCTGTGGGCTGCCTTGGGGACCTGTGCGTCCCCAGTATGCAAGCTACTCTCACCCCTCAGACTCCCACTGTTGGCAGTGGATCACTCTGCTCACCTCTCTGCCCCAGAGGGAAGTAGGTTGGAATCTGCTGTGCAAACCTCACAGGGGGTCTGGAGCCCTGTGCCCAGCTCCTCCTCACAGGTACAAAGCTGGGCCTCTCCGACCCACCCTGCCCCAGTCACTCCATTTCTTTAGGAGAAGCCAGACTCTGGTGCAGAAACACAGCTGAGTTCCAAAAGCGAAAACAAATGCTCATTCTGTACTAGCTCCCTGCTGTGCCCTGCCCTGGCTCCCCCGGAAGCCCACAGGGCATCGGAGCCCTCCAGAGAGCTGAGCAAGGGCTTTGCACATGGCAGCCTCCCACGCAGGGCTCCCTGACCCTAGGAGTAGGTGACACCTCCTCCCTGCCCCCCTCCACACCCAGCGCATATCTCATGGCTGAGGATGCAGGGCACCCAGAAGCAGAGTTGAAGGCAAGAAGTGCTTGGGGCTCCCAGACTCTGCTCTCAGCTTGCCCCAGGAAGCCATGGAAACGGAAACTTGAAAAGAGGGGTGGGGTGCCAGGGGCACCAACAGGCCAGCTCCACCTGGCCTGGCTGCTTCTTCCCTTGGACTTAGAAAGTACTTCTGGGGGTGCAGGGGAGGGGTGGATTTCAGGGGAAGGGCAGAGGACAGTGTGGCGGGTGGGGTGTCTGGGCTGCTTGGCACACAGCAGAGTGGAGGCTGACCCTGTGGAAGGTGGAATATGCCTCGCCCTGCCCCCCTGCGCTGCATACATCATCTCCCCCTAGAATAGCAGCTCTGGAGGGAGTGGGGAAGTTCTCAGATCGCCTTTCTCTCCTTCCCACAGCAGGTTCACAGCTCTTGGTGCGACCTGCTTTCCCTGCGGGGCCTGCTGCTCTGCCCTCACCCTCACTCCCACGTCCCTCCGGGTCACAGAACCCCTCCTCTGCCAGGAGGACGCTCCCTGTCCTTGGTACATCATGCCACCCCTGGCCACTACCCACCTCCAAGCTGGGAATGTCATGCTCCTCCTCAGTCTCCTTGGGACAAAAGTAAACTCAGTGCACACAACACACACACAGCACCAAGGGCACTAGTGAGGGTCTGCACGTTGGTCACTAAGGTAGGGTGGACTGCAGTGGTTCTAGGTGAGGGACCTAATACATGGCAACCACCTCCACATAAAGCTGGGGTCCCCAGTGGGGTGAATGGGGCCCCTGCCTTGTCACACAGCCTCAGGACCCAGGGTCTCCTGTTGGCCCCCACAGCACCCCAGATTCAGCAGAAACTCCACTGCTGTCCTTTGGGTTTCTTCCCGATACGGTAGGACAGGTTCAAGTCCTGGTTCTGGGAAATGCCCCAAATGCTAGTCTAATGGGGGAGGCACGACTTGGACTGGAAAACAGTGGCAGAGACAATCCCCAGCTGAGCAGAGCTGGGGTCACCGCAGGTGCAGGAGAAGGTGCTCCACCCTCCCCCCTCCCCCGGGTAGGGGAGGTATAGGAAGAAGGAAAGGGGCAGTGTTGGGGTGGGGGGAAGTGAGGCAGGAGAGATGTGCCTGCTCTTCCTGCCCACCCACCCCCCACACTGGATGAGGTTCCAAGCAGTGGCGTACTCCCTTTTCTACGGGACCAGCTATGGGGCTGACCTTTTGCCCCAGCACCGTGGGAATGGAGGAAGCCAGGCAAGAGAGCCTCAAAGTGCCTCCAACAAGGGAACCACTCCCCCTCCCCCGTTATTTCTGGCTCCATTTACTTGGTCAAGAAGATTGCCGGCGGTAATGCAAATTAGGAGGTGTTGGAGGTGCTGGCCAACACCCATCCTGTCCCCCGCTCCTCCCGCCCCCATGCCCACAACTGCTTGGAACATCTGTGAGATGTACTGGTGACCCTGCCTTTGGTGACTTGGCAGGGAGGGTGGGGGAAGCGATCAGCTGTGGCTGGGTTCTCAGGCTTGTCTTCCTTTTCCCAAGAAAGGAGCAGGCGCTGGGGAAGGAGGCTCCCTATCGATGCCAGGACCTCCCTTACGCTGGCTTCTTCCTGCTCTTGGCTCTGCCAGGCCTTGCTGGGTCATGTGGTAGCTGCTTAGACAGTGGATGCCATGAGCCAGTGAATCCTGAACCACAGCCTTCTCCTCTCTCAGGCCAGCAGCACCACGTAAGCCCCGGGCTGTACATGTGACACACCTGAGGGCCAAGGACGGCCAAGGAGCAGGGTCAGGGCAGGGACTGCCCAGCATCCAGCGTGGACACCTTGCCCCTCTCCCTCCCAGCCTGCAGCCACCTTGCTCTTGATCCAACCTGCCCTTCCACCTGACCTCAGTTCTCGCTGTGGTCGCCAGAGCTGCTGTCTTCATCCTTGCCGAGGGAACAATGGGACTGGTCCGGCTCCCCCTTGCCCTGTAAGGAGCACACCGCACCATCCCTCCCACCTCCTCCCGCTCTGCTTCGTTAGTCCTCATCAGCTGGTTGAGGTGTTTCTCATTAGCACGGCTGACTCACCACACACCCCCCCTCCCTGCTAGCGACTGGCTCCTGAAGCTGCTGTCCTCAGCTGGCCGTCCTGCATTGCCTGACATGGGCAGGGGGCCACGTGCCATGGGGTGCTCAGCCGGCTCCAGCTTTGACTGTGTGCTGAAGACAGTGAGAGAGAGAGAAAGAGAGAGAGAGATCCCAGGAGCTTAAAAGAGGTATTCCCTCCCGCAGAACTTGTCCTGCCCTCTTGTTCCTGGGAGCCTTAGACACATATCACTCCAAACCCCATGCCCCATATTCTGTAATCGTCTGCAGTCCACTCTGTGTCCTTCCTTCTGGTCTGGTCCTGCATGAAAAGAAAGCAGAAGGAGCATTCCAGGGTCCCCAGCCCCTTCCACCCCTGCCCGGATGCTTGTCCTCTTCCTTGTGGGGGAGGCACAGGATGGAGGCTGTGACTGTGAGGGACCTGGGCAGGGGGCACGCGGCAGCACTTTCTCCCCTCACAGCCCCCAGCAACGTGGCGCCTTGCACCTGAGCCTTCCCTGGGTCCCTAGACATCGAGGAGACAAGCTGCCAGGTTCTGTATCCGCTGTCCCCTCACTCCCCTCACCCTGGTGACAAGGGGAATGGCCCGCTTGCGGGGGACTTCAGCTCTTTCCCACATCTGTGGTTATGGGGCACCCCTGCCACTGCACCAGCTCATTTCCAGGTCCCTCTGACCAAGGGCCAAGCGTTTTATCGGCCGCGTGTGTCCTGAGGCTGCCCCACTCCTGGCTGCTAGTCACTCAAGTCCCTTTCTCAAGGACATCCAGAGAGCCAGATAGAGGTCCAGAAACTGTACTGCTTCCACCATGGGCGTTAACTGAGCAGGGAACTGTTGGCAGCACTGAGCATTCATGTGTCAGAGCTTCTAGAACTTTAAGATTTATTTATTTTTATTGAAAAGTCAGATGTACAAAGAGGAGGAGAGACAGAGAGGAAGATCTTCCCTCTGATGATTCACTCCCCAGGCGGCCACCATGGCTGGTGCTGTGCTGATCCAAAGCCAGGAACCAGGAACTTCTTTCCGGGTATCCCACACAGGTGCAAGGTCCCAAGGATTTGGGCCATCCTCGACTGCTTTTGCAGGCCACAAACAGGGAACTGGATGGGAAGTGGAGCTGCCTGGATTAGAACCAGCGCCCATAAGGGATCCTGGCACGTTCAAGGCGAGGACCTTAACCATTACGCTATCGCGCCGGGCCCTAGAGCTTTCTTTTTAAAGATGTATTTATCTGAAAGGCAGAATGTCGGGAAGAGGAGAAACAGAAATCCTCAGTTTGCTGGGATACTCCCCAGGGACTACAGTGGTTGGAGCTGGACCAGTCTCCCATGGGGGCCAACTTCTGCTGCTTACCCAAGCACATTAGCAAGGAACTGGATGAGAAGTGGAGCAGCTGGGATTCAAACTGGCACCCATATGGGATGCCAGCACCGTGGTAGGCCATGGCTTTATGTGTTGCACCCCACCCAGTGTCAGCCCCTAGAACTTTCTCTGGGTGTATGGAGGAAGACTTGTTACATGGGCATGGCTGGCCCCACCTTTCTTGGCATTCAAGTGGCGAGTGTTCACAGCCAGAGAGAAGCTGGGGAGGCTGCAGCTCAGCCCATTCTGGGAGGGACACAGGACGGCCTGCGAGTCTATAGCCAAGCTTCAGGGCTCCTGTGAGCCACGGCCCCACTGCCGCCACCACTACCACTTTTATTTTCCGATGTGTTCTCAGCCAGGAAGGGCCACGTGGAAACACCAGGCACCAAGGTCTGTAAATAAATAGTTCAAGCCCTTTCTTCAAACGGAGGGCATGGCCTCCACGGGGCAGGGTCACAGGTTCACGACCCAGCTTTGACCTCCAAAGCGTGGGACTTCTGAGGCACCTGCTAAGCCTGAAGCCCTGCATTTAAGAGCCATGAGGACAGGGGACACGGATGTTGCTCCTGTTGGGGACCTCACCTGGCCCGTGGCCTACAGAGCCAATGTGAAGCAGCAGTTGCTACCAAGAAATGAGCTCTACCCCTGCCCCCACCCCGCCGCCCCAATTCAGGGACTGAAACCTCTTCTGGCCGGGCTGGGTGAACTTGAGCCCCCGCCCCATGTCCGGGCTGCTTTCTACCTGTTGTCACAAGTTATCTGTGACCAGCTGTGTGTCTCGCAGTCTCCCTGAATGGGGCTGCCCACCCGCCTGCAGTAGTGATGCCAGGAGACACTTTTTGGGGCCTCCTGCCACCACGGCTCCAGCCCACCCCAGCCACGGAGGGCACAGGCTGAGCGCAGATGGAGCAGGTAAGTTTATTTGGACTTCCAACTTGTTCCGCGAGCACATGAGCCCCATCCCTCTCCAGGCCCCCTTCCCCATGTCCCCAGCCTGGGGAGCACTCAGGGCACAATGCCATTCGTCTCTGGAGTCTTGGGCCCCTTCCCCACTGGACACGACCTCTCCCTTCCCAGCACTGAGGAAGGAGGAGGTGAGGAAGGGCCTGGAAGAGCTGGATCGGAAGGGCACTAGCGTGGACAGCAGCGTCTGCGGCCACCCGCCCAGGGCTGCAAGCTGCTAGCGAGCGGCTGGTGGGGCGGGGTTGGGGGTGGGCTCACTTGGGGCGGCAGGCTCTCGCCCAGGAGGCTCCCACCCCAGCCGCCTGCTCCCCATCCTTCTGAGGTAGATTTCACGGAGGGAATGTGGGTTGGGGGGCATGGGAAGGGGGTTAGCTCTTTTGAAGTAGATCTCCCGGGCACCCTGGGCCCCTTCCTAAGTCCTGGCCTGGGAGACAGGGGCCGACGACGCCTGTCCATGCGTCACACGCGGGCTCTAGGGCACCTGTGGTATCAGCGGCTTGGGTGGGGGCAAGGCTGGGGGGCTTTGTGGCGGGGGGGGGGGGGGGGGGTCTGCCTTGACAACCTGTGTTATGTGCCAGGGCTCCAGGAGGCGGGCACAGGCTGGGGCCACAGGGGAGGCCCCTGCCCCTCCCTTCTCACCCTCCCTAAACCCTAAAGCAGCCAGAGTGTGGGAGAACCTGGCTGGCCTGCAGGGAGTGGCCATGGAGGAAGCTGCCTGCATGTCCCATGGTAGCTGGTGCCACCAGCCTGGGTGGGCTTCGGGTGGAGAAGCCAGCATTACTGTGCAGGGCAGGCTCTGAATCCCATGGGGACATGTGCCCCAGACGGAGCACAGACTGGGACAGACAGATGTCAGGGGAGGGGTTGGGGGAGGGCTCCTGGATTCCTCTGACATTCTCCCCCTCCCCCATCCCAAGCACTAGACACATTCTTAACTTCAACCCTGTTTAAGAACAGAAAGGCAGAGGGAGAGGCCTGGGAGAGGTCTACCCCTCCCCACCCCAGCCTGAAGCCCCCCCCCCTCCAGTGGAAGCCAGGAAGGTTGGCAGGGAGGGGGCGCTTAGTGGACCTCCTGGAAGAGCCAGAGTTGAGTGGTGCCTGGGCCGGGGAAGATGGCACACACATTGACTCAGGAGCTAGTGGAGGTATCTGGGGGGTCGCGAGGAGCAGGCGCCCCCCACCAGAGTCATGCAGCATTCAAAGTGAGTGAGAGAGTTTGGGCTGGGGGGCGAGGGCAGAGGGTAGAGAGACAGCCAGAGGGGGAGGTGCCCTAGATCTTGCTGTTCTCCAGGTGGGAATCAATGTGTTTGATGAGGGCGTCATCTGGGTACCCCACAGGGAAACCCAGCTGGCAGAGGGGGCAGCTGCGGATGTCGGAGCCCACCGTCTCCATCAGCAGCTGCGGGGAGAAAAGAAGTCACTCATGGGCCCCAGACCTCACCCAAGGGTCCCACACCCATCATCCCCCCACCAGTTCAAAATCCACTGCCCAGCCCCGGGGGTTTTCACCAGGAGGTCCTTGCTGAGCTGACCAAGGCAATAGCCAGCCCGCCCACTGCCCACCCCACATCTGTCCCTGGCCAGAAGCCACGGCACTGCACAGTATTCTCTCTGGGCCTGGAACTTTTTTTTCTTTTTGCTGTTCCTTGTTAGTGTCCAGGGGTGGCTCTGTGATGAGTGAAATGACAGAGCCCCAAACAGAGCTGGCCATCAGGACAGAGGACACATGCAGGCAAAGGCACAGGAGCCAGGCCCTGCATACGGGGCTCTGTGCTCACTGCCTTCCTCTCCAGAGGATCAGCAGCTTGCAGAAGTTCCTAGAGAGGACTAGGAAAACTTGAAGCACAAGCCAGCAGTGCAGGGTCCAGTGCCGTCAAAGAGCACAGAGGCGCAGGGGAGGGCCCCGAGCAACAGCCTGGGGACAGGGCACCTTGCCCTCCAAGCTCTCAAGCAAAGGGTTGGATTCTGGGATCTCCTCACTCATGCACACCTTGGCTCCTTGGACTTCCCTGCCCGCCCCCCCACCACCACATCCCACTCACGTTGATGGACGGCCAGGACTGCGCGTGCTCAGCGTGAGCATAGGTGGCTGCGGGCGACTCAGGGATGGGGAAGCCCGCGCAGAAGGAGGCGCAGCGGATGGTGCCGGCCTCGGGGCTGGGCGGGCTGGCGGGCACGGCCCACTCCTCCTCCTCCGACGGCTGCTTCTCGAAGCGTAGCCGGATGCCCTCGAAGGCGCGCCGTGGGCTGAGCGGCCGCGCCGCGGGGCTGTAGAGCTCGCCGCCGTAGGTGCGCGGCTTGGGCAGCGTGGCTGCCTCGGCCTGCAGCCAGGCCGGGGAGGCGCCCGCGTAGGCCGCGCCCTCCGCCAGCTCCGAGTAGCTGCGGCGGCCCTGGAAGCCGGCCTTCACGTGGTGGCTGGGCGGCTTGGCGTAGGCGCGCTCGGCCAGCGTCCTGTCCGCGGGCGGCGGCGGTGGTGGCGGCGGCCGGGGCTGCGGTGCCGGGCAGCTGGAGGGCGCCGGGGAGCGCCGCTGCGGGCTGGGGCACTGGCAGGGCGGCGGCACGGGCGAGCGGCGCTGCGGGACGGGCGACGGGCACGAGGGCGAGGCGGGCGAGCGGCGCTGCTGGGGTGAGGGGCACGGGGGCACGGGCGAGCGGCGCTGCGGGACGGGCGACTGGCATGGGGGCGCTGCTCGGGCAGGCGGGGACGGCGAGGGGCACTGGGGGGCCGGGGAGTGACGCTGCGATAGCGGTGAGTGTCTCTGGCCTGGAAGAAGGAGAGGATGGGGGAAGCGGGACAGGCCAGAGGGTAGGGGAAGAAGGAAAGTACACAAAGGTGTGGGGAGAAGACGTCAGAACTGGGGAGCCAGGGGCTGCCCAGGGCCACACCCAGCACCCCCATCCAGGTCAGCACAGCACCGGCTCACCGCAGCTGCGGGTCTGCTCCTGTAGCAGGGTTCTCAAGATCCGCCCCTGCAGGGAACTCAGCTCCCGAAGCCGGCCCAACTCCTCGGTCAGCTCTGTGTAGGCTAATGCCAAGTTCACCCTGAAGTCAGAGGTTGGCAGGGAGTCAGGAAGAGAGAAGGGGATGGAGTGAGTCTTACAACCCCTTGCACCTGCCAGCTCCCCTCCCCCAGCTCTAAGAATCCTGGCCTCTGCTCCCAGCACACCACGCACCAGCACACAATGCTAGGGCAGGCTGGAAGGGGCAGGGATGGTGTCCCCCTGCACACCAGGCCTTGTCCAAACCCAAGCCCCTACTGCTGTGTGTTTTTCTGCTCAGTGCAAAAGCTGTGCTGAGGAATGAAGAGCGATACTGACTTTATGCTTATTGTGAATTCTCTCAGAGTGCCAAGTGTGGGCATGGTCTGTGTGCTGGGGGAGGTGCCCCGGGGCCAGGGACCACTGCTGCCCAGCCTGTCCAGAGCCTGTAAGTGAAGACAGGGTCTCCTGGCTCAGGAAGGGATCAGCTGTTAACCTTGACTCCAGGACTGTCTGCCCGTAGGCCCGCTGCTCCGATTTCATCCTCACGACTGCCTGGGGGGCTCCTCTCAGTCCTGCCCCTGCCAGGACCTCCCAGGGCTGAGTCGCCCAAGCCCTCCCCCAACACCCACTTCAGGCTGTGCCCTGCACATATGCGGGGGGCAGCACCTGCCCTGAGTGCTCTCTCTGGAGCTTCCCTGGAGTTCCTGCAAGGGAGGCTGTGGGGACTGTGTCCTTGGGTTTCCATACCAACACCTCGCCTAGGATCCTGGGGCCCAGCCAGTGGTCACAGGGTGACCATGCAACTGAGCTGCCCTGCACATGTTTCTTTCATATTCCGTTTCTCCTTCCTGCTTCCTGCCTGGGCCTCCTGGGCATCTGCCTGCCCCAGCTGGGAACAGACTCAGTTTAGCCACGCTGGGTCTTGCCCACTTCCTGTTTCAGCCTTGCTCGCCCGGTCACTCTGAACATGAAGCCATCAGGGGCTATGGCTCCAGGCGTGCCCTCCACTTCCTCCCTCTGTGGTGTGCGTGCCCCCTCCATGACCTCAGCACAGGCTCTGCCATGGGCCCGGCCTCAGGTTGAGAAGGCAAGGATGAGGCTGTCTGGTGGGTGGAGGGTGCAGTGGCAGAGCACCTAGCCCCTGCTCACTGACTGGCTCGCTCCTGGTCCTCGGGTCGAGCTGGGGAGATGCCCCCCTTCATAACAAAATGACTCAGAACCCAGTTGTGCCAGAGCCAGATTCTTGGCCCACAGCCGGGATCTGGGGTCAACCTCTCTGAATAGGGAGGGTGAGTCCTCAGCCAGGTACTGGTGGGCAGGGTCTTCCAGGAGGCCTGGCTGAGCCCGCAGGGCCCTGGGTCCCTCCACATCACCACCCTGTTTTTGCTGAGTGTCTTCCATGCTCCCCTAACCTCTTCTCTCCCAGCACAGTGGAAGGTCCAGGTGTGAGTCACATCAACCCAGGAGCTCCTCCAGGGAAGGACCTTCTTCAGACACAGGGCAGGGGCTGGGTGTCCCCTACAGGACTACGAGCTCTGTGATGGCCTGGCAGCCGGGGACAGGAGGGACGCTGGGCAGGGCGCTGAGGGAGTGTTGTCCTCCATCCCCAGCGTCACTGCTGCATCTCAGATGACAGATACAGGTCGCTACCTTCACACTCTTGTTTCGCGGGTCTCACCTGCTACACTCAGCACCCGGGCCCCTGTCTCTCTGCAGCACATCTTCCTGTCTAAACAAGAGCGGTCCCAGTTTCCACAGCCCAGCTCCCAGCACCCTAGCCATATGGACCACAGGAAATGGAAAGCAGCAGCCAGAGCCCCTGAGTGCCCGGCGCCCTCCCAGCTCTGACACCAGGTGCCTAGAGCAGGCAGAGCCCTGGGTACCCCTCACAGCTCCTCTGAGATTCTGGCCAGGTGAGGGGACCTGGCCACCTCCTCGTGTCCCATGGCCCTTTGGGCCCTCCCCTTCACACGGCATCTCTCCTAGCCTTAAGATGCACAGGCCCAGGGCTGATGCAATGGCCCAACTGGCTAATCCTTTACCTTGCGGGGCTGACATCCTGTAAGAGCAGTCCCGGCTGCTCCACTTCCCATTCAGCTCCCTGCTTGTGGCCTGGGAAAGCAGTGCAGGATGATCTAAGGCCTTGGTACTCTGCAGCTGCATGGGAGACCCAGAAGAAGATCCTGGCTCCTGGCTACCGGGGATCATTGGCCGTTGTGGCCATTTAGGGAATGAATGGGCAGATGGAAAAGCTTTCTTTCTGTATCTTTCTCTCTGTAGATTTACAGATGCCTTTCCAAATTCCAATACAAGTAAAGAAATTGTTTTAAAAAATGGTGCACAGGCCTGTGGCTGGCATTGTGGCATGTTAGATAAAACTGCCACCTATGACACCAGCATCCCATGTCAGAACCAGGCCATGTCCTGCAAGCTCCAGTTCGTGTTCAGGCCCCTTCTAACAACCCAGTGGAAGATGGCCTAAGTGCCATCTGCAGAGGTGACAGAATTGCTTGGCTTCCTCCCGCGCCAGCCCTGAAGGTTGCAGCCATCTGAGCACTAAAACAACAAATGAAAGATCTCTTTCTCTCTCTTCCTCTAACTCTTTCAAATAAGTAAATAAATCTTTAAAATACAGAAAGTGCACAGCCCTGGGTTACTGAGTACGATACCGACCCAAATGACTCACTGACAACACTGCCAGTTCAGTGGAAAAAAATCTCAACTTCACAACACAACCCAGAGTCACACACGTGCACCTCCACACACACCCCGTTTCCTGACTTCCTGGCCCGCACTGCACCTCCTGACTGGAAGCAGAATGAGGGCTGCACTTGGCCACTGTCTGATGGCTAAAGCCACAGGGAGCAGCCCGGTGGAGGCTCTCCGAACCCAGGAGAGACGCAGGGGCGTGGGCCCTGTTGGTCATCTGCAGGAGCACTCACTGCGGGCCAGACGTTGTGCCGAGAGACCTTCGCAACCCTATGACCACATTGCCACTGTTAGCATCTCCATCTGAGAGGCGAAGAAACGGAGGCATCCAGAGATGAGCCTCCTCGGCCCAAGTCCTCCAGCCTAAGTTCGGGCTGTGGATGGCTGTGCGCTCCTGTCTCCCACAGAACCGGGCAAGCGGGAGAGGAGAAGCAGGCAGCCCCCGCCAGGCAAGCAGGTGCCTGGAACCTTGGAAGTGGCCCGGGAGCTCTGGGAACTGCCACATGACTCAGGGAGGACAGAGGAAGGAGGAGATGAGAAGGAGGAAGGGCCCGTTGAGGGTCACAGAGTGGCGGTGGCACAGCGCCGGGATGCAAAGTTCAGTGGACTGAGCTGGCAGGAAGGCAGATGCCCTGGGCCCAACTTGTTGCACCCTGCATAAGCTCATTGACCCTCTCTTCCTTGGTCTTCCCACAAGTAACCCATGGAGCTCATACTCATGCTGGGCAAGCAGCTGAGATCAGAGGACTCAGGCACAGAGCCACTGGCTCCACAGGCTTGTATGCCCTGAGCCGGCCAGCTGTTGTGACACGGGCATTCTGCATGCCGCCCTGAACCTCACTGCAGCTGGGGTCGGAGGTCAGGATGATAGCCGTGGCCAGGACCACATCAGGGATTTGGTTGGTGTGTTGGTGGGGGCCATGACTGAGCACAGAGTCGGAGTCAGGATTAGGGACATGGCTGGAGCAGATGCACTCAGTGTAAAAGGGCAGCTGGCCACATGCTCAAAGCATGATCTGATCAAACAGCGGGAGGAACTCAGAAACCCCACATTCCCAGCCCTTCTATCCTGGACCGAGGCTGCCCCCCAGCTGCACCCAGCACCTCAGCCCAGCCACGGGGGCGGGAGGGGGATGGGAATCTAAGGACCAAACTTTCCACCACCCACGGGCACACCCAGCATCAGCCCTCCTGCCCGACCCTCAGGGAGGGGACCACAGGCACCGGGCCGTGGCGCAGCCTTGAGGTTGCGGGCCGAGGGGAGGTGTGGGGGGGGGGATTGGGGGGAGGAGGAAGTTGCTTTGCAAGAACCCAGGGCTCTACCACTTCCTCTCAGGCGCCTTGAGCCCTTCTCTCCCCTCGACCAGTGCTGACTTGTGGTCCCCAGGGCCCAGTGCTTGGTGGTAGTCCCTGCCAGCTTGCAGTAGAAACAGTGGGCGGCTGCTGGGCCTCAAAAGCCTCCCCCATGCTGCTGAATCGGGGGGCGGGGGGGAATGTCCATTCCCCATCTGACCCCTGATTCCAGGCTGTCCTGGCTTAGACTAATTGTATTAATGGTGTCCCTTTCACTTTTAAAAGTGAGTATCCCTTCATCAAAAGGCACCCCCTTCTCCAATAAAGCAGAACCCGAACAGGAAAACGGCCAGGGACACCAGGCTACACCTGCTTGGGAAGGCTCAGGATCTGTGAGCACCTCCAGCTGCCAAATTTCCCATGCAGGCAAACAGCTTGCCCCAGGTGTGGCCTGGACAGGCTGGGGCGGTGCCAGGAGACAGGGGCCTGGGAGAGAGGAGTCCCGAGATGTGTCTGTAGGCAGCAAGCTAGTGTTCAGGCCTCTGAAGGCAAGGAGCAGGGTTGTGGAAGGGGGGTTCCCATGGTAGGACACAGTTGCCCCTGGCCCCGCAGATGGGCAGGCAAAATGCCACAGACTGGTAGTTCAAGCACACCCATCCCTCATACTGACTTCAGAGGTCTTCTCCTGCGCAGGGAGCCCCCCGGGCTGTAGAGGCTTGGGGTTCACTCCTGCGGGCATGGGTACCCTGGCTGAGGCCGACTTGAAAGAGAGGAAGTAGGGGAGGGTGAGAAGCGTGAAGGGGGAAGGCCCCGGACCTGCGGGTTCTGGCGCAGAAGGCTGAGCTCAGGGGACGCGGGGGTCTCCTCCGGCTTCCGTCCTGACCCACCTCACACTGCCCTTGACCTCCGTGCAGAGTTTCCATCCTCTCTCTCAGAGTTCACACTTCTCCCCCACCACTAACCGCAGCCCACGCAGAAGCTCGAGGGTGGAGGGGGGGTGGGCGGAAAACCACCCAGGCTGCAACTGTGAGCCCCCCACCTGGGAAAAGCTCCCCTCTCACACCCCTGGCCGAGCCCCCTCCCTCTCAGGGCCTTCACTACACCACCCCCTCCCCCAGCACTGCCCCCCCCCCCGGCCAGAAGCCCTGCTTAGGGACCCCAGGCCCAGAGTTCTGCATCTCCCACCCCACCCTAGACCTTCCTCAGGAGCCCAGTGGGCTCCACACCCACCAGCTGCCCTGTCACTGCTCTAGAAGCTGTCCTCTGGGGCAGCGTGTCCCCCTGCTCTGTGGTCACCAGGAGCTTGATCTCGCACTAAGGTCAGTCCTGGAGAGTGGTAGCATAGTGTGGGCTGGGCACCGGCTCCAGAGGGACCGCCGGGCACCGGCTCCAGAGGGACCGCCGACGGCCAGTGCTTGTGAACTGGAGGCCAGGAGCCGGGAGCTGAAAAACCTTGCAGCCAAGGCCTGCTCTGGGCAAGGATGGCAGGTGGGGAGGGCATTCCTAGCAGCATCAGCTTGGGAATCTGAGCAGAGTGCTGGGTGGGTGGGGGTCCAGACACAAGGACCCCCATACAGGTATAGGCTGTGCTCAGAAACTGGGACCTTGCTTTGGCAGTCTCATGGAGGTCCCTCACCTGGCTGATGCCCTCCCTGGGAGAATCCAGCCCTGGCACATCACTTATGAAAAGCCTAGATTCCCTTTGGCCTGAGGGGATAGATAGAAACAGAAGGAAGAAGGGGGCTGGGGATGGTGTGTATGCCGGGGGGAGTACCCAGAGCAAGTGGGAGGACAGGGGCGGGAACCCTCGGGAAGGGGCTGTTACCAAAAGGAGCTGAATTTATAAGAAAAGAAAACTACTGGGGGAGGGGGGGGAACTTCCTCTGAGAATTTACCCATGCCAAGCTGGGGCTGTCCGGAGATGCCCAGTCCGCCAGGCAGCGCGTAGCTGGGCAGACAAAGACGGGCCAGACACCAGGGAGGCCTGGGATGGCAGAACCATGGGGGGGGGGGGTAGAACCCAAGGGCGGCCAAATCTGGGAAAACTGGCTCCGAGCTCCCACGGGGGTGGGGGTGGGGGGCGCTCCCTCTTCAAGGACTGGGTGGCAAAGGCCTGGGTGTGGGGAGGCATGGACCGCGCCGGCCGATCGGATGGTAGGGAAGCTGCAACCTCCAAGGTTCCTCATAGACTGGCTTGTGCTCCCTCACCCTAGCACATGCAGTCTTGGTCCCTGGCATGACACCTGGGCCCTGCCCGGCCCAGCTCAGCTGCCTTTACCATCTCTAGCAACAGGAACTCCTGGAGTCCAGAGGGGCAAAGTCAAAGCTACTTGGCCTCGCAAAGGCCTGAGGATTTGCAGCCCCGAAGGCAGAGCCTCAGCTTTCCCCCGGGGTCCGGCTGGGTCGGGGAACCTTCAGTGCTGCTCCAGGAGACAGCTGCACTGACCTGGGAAGCCACAGCATGTGTGCACAGGCACAGGGGCTCCAGGTCTGGGCACACCGGCTAGACAGGCCCCGAACCCGGCCACATGCCAGTGTGGAGCCATGCTACAGAGGCTCCAGCAGCTTAACGGCAGGCTGCCACTCAGTGCCACAAACCGCCCCACCCTAGCTAATGCAGTTCCACCCAGGCCCTCGGCCAGGACGGGCAGGTAGAGATGGAAGAACCCCATTAGCCCACATATGGCAGGAGGATGAAGGGGAAGCCCACTGTGAAGGCTTCTGCGTGCCAGAGGATCAGTGTCTGGCCCTCTCTGGGCCTTAGTCTGTCCCTCCAACAAAAGCAGGGAGGCCATGCCCCTCACTGCCCCGTGCAGGAGAGGCCCTAGGCGGAAGGCGCAGGCTGTTTCTCAGAAACAGGGAGGCATGTGCTCACATGCAGATGCGAAAGGTGGCAGCTCCACCCTTGCTGCCCAGTGCTCTGTGCCAGCCGCCCCTCAACAAGGCTCCTCCCCCGCCCCTCTCTGCTGGGCGGCTAAGGTGGTGACCCAGTGCTTGGCGAGCCCAGGGAAGCCTGCTCGCTTTCCTCTCCCGAGACAAGCAGAGGAGCACAGCAAACCCTGCAAGGAGAGGGTACGGCTAGCCCCAGTGCCTAGGCCTCGTTCCTGAGATGGGAGGAGAGATCACCAACTCACCAGGGGACACGAGACGCAGCAGCATGCACTGCTAAGCCAACCTTTGGTAGTCCCTGACTGCGCAGAAACTTCCAGAACCCACCTGCCACATTACATGAGGACCTCAGAGACACAAGCCATCTAGATAGCACACCCCTGGCACTGGCCAAGAAAGCAACTCTACAATCCTTAGGAGACCAGAAGTCACCTCTGGGGGGACTGGGAGATGCCTCCCCAGATCAAGGAAGCCAGGGTGGCAACTGTAACTTACTGATCATCCCCGACTCTCTTCACCCATGCCATGTCCCGCTCCGATTGGTTAGAGGCCAGATCCTGGGGCGGGGAGTGGGAAAAGGGGGGAAGAGACAACAGGTCAGTGGTTGGAGCCTGACCTCACCCCTGCCACCTGTGGGCGGCTCCTAGGGCTCCACATACCTGGGCTCGGCTCTCCTGCAGCTGCCTCAGCTCCCCCTGCAGCCTCTCACACTCGGCCTGTAGCTGTTCCTCGCGCAGCTGGGCCCCCCGGGCCTCTCCCTGAGCCGCCTCCAGAGCCTCTTCCAGGCGCCGCCGCTCCAGCTCACTCACACTCGGCGGCGTAGGGCCTGGCCAGCCTGCTGGCAGGGAAGGGAACACTGTCAGCTTGGACCAACCACCCCACTCACCCTCGCCAACATTTACACAAAGCAAAGCAGGCCAGGGCAACAGCATAGGGAGCCCAAGAAGCCAGAAAGATGAAGACTCCACAGTGAGCCCCGGTGCCCCTGGCACGGGAAGGCAGGGGTTCAGCTGCTGTTTTCAAGCCTTCCTGGACCAGGTCAGGGACCCGGGGGGAGGGGGGGGAGGGAGGGACTTTTGCAGGCTACACTCTGAGCATCCTCAGGGGCCTCTCCCAATCCCAACTTAAGACCGCCAGGGCAACCCTGTGCAGGGGCGCCCTCTGCCGGCATGCACAAGAATGGCAATGGGGTAGCTGGGGCTACAAGTGGGGAAAAAGTTGGGGTAACAGTGGATGAGGCAAGGATACAGTTGGTAAAGAGGGATGAGATGATCATGGAACAAACTTAAGATGTTATAAGGGAAAAAATACTATAGGGAACAAGAAGGAAGAAAAGAGAATGAGGAAATAATGGCCTCACCCACGTTCCTGTAGCCCTTGACCCTTATCACCCTAATTAACTATGTAAAAATCATCAAAATAAATTAAAACTAAAAAAAAAAAAAAAGATACTATAAGGGGATATTAAGCGAGCCAGAGGTGCCCAGTGGTGTTGAAATGGGTTGCGCTTGTGGACTGGGGGTGGTGTGACTGGGATGGGCTTCAGAAGTTGGGGTTTATTACAGAACTCTCACCGTGATTCAAGGCAGATCCCCCTCTCAGCGCCAGGTAGTGCAGGTCCAGGTCAGCACATGGTGGGGCAGGAGCAGCCGGGGGACTCAGGCTGGGGAAGGCGGTGTCTCGAAGGCCCTGTTGCTGCCTCAGCTGCTGCTCCAAGTCACAGATCTGCCGCAGGTGCGTCTCCACCAGAGCCCGCTGTGGGGAAGGCAGGGCAGGGCGGTGTGCACCATGCCAGGGAGCTCCTGCAGGCTCCCTAAGCCCAAAACATCCCACATCTGGGCCACCACAGCTCCCCACACAGGAGCAGAGGGCCCCAGATCTCATGCCCCACGTCTGTCAGTCGCCATGGGTGCAAAGTTACTCTGTCACTGCAAACAGATATTGCTGGCTATTGCTGGGGCAAGGTCAGGGCTAACCACAGAGGGACGCCCAGGGGAACGCCCAGCCCGGAATCCAGGCATGACCACCCCGGCAGGAGTGCCATAACCTCTCCTTTTGCAAACGCAATTTAAGCACTTCTGGGCTTCTGTGACCCCCTGTATAAAATGGGACAGTAGCAGCATGCCTGCCTCTCAGGGTTGCTGGGAGAATTCAAGCGAATAAGCAAGCACCAAGCCACCAGAACCACGCCCCTCACACAGGAAATACCAGAGACATGCTTCCAACCATTCCAGCAAAGTGCAGGGATGTGTAAGACTGTTGTCCATCTTTCAGAGGAGGGAGGGGGGTCGAGTGACATGACAAGGCTCACAGCTAGGAGCCCGCTTGCCCACCTGTCACAGCCATGACTGCCCACTGCCTGGGCGTCCCATTCCAGCAGTCATAGCCTCTCCTGATGACACTCACTCTGCCCTCACCCACAGAGCACCCCCCCAGGCATGATGCTTGCAGGGTGGCAATGTGGCCAAGCGGGCACTCAGATGCAGACACACAGTAACACAAGCAGGTGCACATCATGACCAGCATGTATTGCCAGCATGCGGGCCGACTGCTCACACACACAGAGCCACCCCTGTGCACACACTGCCCACATGGGACACAGCACTCTACCCCACTCCCGACGGCGCACCCCCCCCCCCGAGCCTCACCATCTCCCCCAGCTCCGTTTCCAAGTCGCTCTTCTCCACGCAGAGTTTCTCATAAGCCTGGATCATCTCCCCGAGCTGCTCTTCCTGCTCCTTGTTCTTCTGCAACTGCATGGGGCCCCGAGGGGCGCTCAGGCCCAGCCTCAGCTGCCCACACCTCCCCTCCCCAACTCGTGAGGACCTGCAGCTGCGCACAGGAAGGTCCCTAAGGGACAGAGGCCAGAAAAACCAGGGTGGGGAGGGGACAGGGGGGTCAGACGGGGAAGATCAGGAACATAGGCTGGGGGTGGGGAGCTTGGCCCGGGAGGGGTGGGGCTCACCTCCTGCTGGAACTGGTTGAACCGCTGCTGCAGACTGACCTTCTCCACCTCCAGCAGGGAGCCATCCTTGATTTCATAGAGAGAGAAGCCATGCTCCTCGCCAAAGTCACTGATCAGCGGGTACTGCAGGCCAGGGCAGGGCGTCAGGCAGGCTGGTGTTGGCCTTATCTACATGTGCCCTCCCACCAGTCTTGCCCAATGCCCATGGACCCACAGTTGGGCATGTTTTTCAGACCTGGCTGCTCCTGCCTGGTGCTGGGCCCTTGAGATCGCCAGGACCGGTGCGCAACCCCTCTTTAGTTGGAGCCCACCCCCAGCATTCACATACCCGCACATACACTACCAGGCCCCTCCTCTCCCAGTTCTGACCTTGATCTCATAGACTTTGAGGCGGCGGCGCAGGGTGGCGTTTTCCCTCTCCAGGCCTCCTAGCCGCTCTTTGATGTCCCCATAGGCTGTGATGAGGGCAAAGTGGGAGGCGGAGCACATGTCCCCTCCCAGCGCGGGGTCTCCGGGCCCGTCCAGCCACACCTCGCTGGGCCCCAGGGCCTCCTGGCTCAGGATGCTGATGTCGTCCTCAAACATGGACTCCATGCTGAGGGCCTGGCCCAGGGCCCACACCCGGCCTCCTGGGGGGATCAGGAGCAACCGTGGAGAGGGGACAGCCCAGGGCTTGTCCTCCCTCCCCCTCCTGCCCGGCCCTGGGACCTAATGTGGGGGGCCACCTTCCAGCTTCCTTCCCAAAGTGCCCTCCCAGGGCACCAAGCCTCCTCCTTACTGCTGACAAGCAGGCAGGCAAAAGCTCCTTCCAGAACCCAACCCGACCTGTGGAAGACAGACCTGCCCTGCCCGCACCGGGCCTGCTCCAGAGCCTGCCAGAGCGCACTCCTCAGCCCCAGGTCTTCCCGACTGTCCCCCAATACCTTGCTGCCAAGCTCCTCATGCTGGGCCCTTGCACCTCCAGCTGCTGCCTAACGCAGGCCCCAGACCTGCTCAGGCCTACCAGCGAGCTGTGCCCCCACCCAACTTCCGCGCTTCCTCCTGCAGGCTCCCGGAGTTCAGGAAAAGGAAGCGCCTCCCCCAGCTGCACCGGGGCGGTGGCCACCGTCCAGGCACTCTGGGCCCCTGACCCCGGGCCTACAGGAAGTCCTTGGCTGAGAGTCAGAGGCACCAAGCTGAGGAAGGGGCCACGGGAGGTGGGTGTGCCGCGAGTGATTCCCCCCACCAAGGGCCCCAGCACCAGCGCGCCTGCACACGGGCAAAGGGGGAGCCCGGTGAGGGGGTAGAGATGACTCAGGGCTCCCGAAAGAAAGAGTAGGCAGCGAGGGGGTGCGTGTGTGTACTTCTCCCGGCCTGTTTATGAATGTGTGTCTGCGGCTGGCACGCAGGGGAGTGTGTCTGTGAATGAGCGTAGGTGTGTCACCGTCAATGGGCCCCGCGGCCCGGGGGTCGGGCCGGGCCGGGCAGCAGCGCCCGAGGCGGCGGCAGTGGACGCGCGTGTGTGTGCACGCGTGCGTGAGCGTGTGGGCAGGTGCGCACGTTCGGCCGGGGTCACGTGAGGCACTATGGGAATGTCCGAGGCGTGCGCGCGCGAGCGCGGGGGGCTCGCGGTGGAGAGGTGTGAGTGGAGATGGCGGGGCGCTGATCGCCCCAAGCTGGACGCAGGGGCGACGCAGGGTGCGCCCCGGGCTCAGACACCGGCCCCAGCACCGCCCGCACCCCGCTCCCCAGACCACCCCCTCCTCGCTGCCAGCTCCTCTTAAGTGCCAGGGCAGCGCGTTTGACTGAGTCTGAGTAAGGAGCGGGTGCGCGCGTGTGTAGGGCCGGCCCCACCTTTAACCCCCTGCTTCCCACGCCACCCCTGCCTCCTTCCCGCCCCCCACACACCCCAACTCGCTCGCCGGTGCTCACCACACCCCCCACACACCCCTGCCCGCGCCCTCGGGTCCACCTCCACGCCGGGCTCTGTGCACCCCACACCACCCCGGCCGCCCCGCCAAGGCCTCCTTTCCTCCGCATCCTTCCCTCGGCCCAGCGGCCCGGGCTGAGCGCGCCGCCACACGGGAGGCGGCGGGTGGGGAGGGGGGGTGCCGCCGCCGCCGGCCCCGGACCCCCTCGTGCGGCCCCTTTAAGAGCCGCCCTTTAAACCCCTGGAGCTCGGCCGACACAAACTGTCGCCCCTCCCCTCCCGGGGGCCGAGACCGCGCAGCCCCCTCCCCCGCCGCCGGCCCTGCCCGCGCGACCCCCGTGGCGCCCGCCCCGAGCCCGGGGAAAGGGCTTCCGGGGGTGGCGCGGCGGCGGACACCGAGCCTTCCCCCTCGCCGCCATCCGCCGCCAAGTGCCCGCCGGCCTCCCCGGCTCTCGGGTCCACCCGCGCGATCCCCCGGCCCGGCCGCCCGCCGCTCCCCTCCCCCGCCCTAGCCCCAGCCGGGGACTCACAGCCGCTGCCGGATCCTGCTTGCAATCGCAGCTTCCCCCCCCCCCCGCCCTTCCCTCCGCCTGCTCCCTCCCAGACGGGCACCGGTGCCCCCACCCCCCTGGCACCGCGCTCCGCTCCGCGCCCTGTCGCCGCCGCCGGGTCTCTCCCCACCCCCCACCCCTCCCCCCAACCCCCTCCCTCCCGCCCGCCCCGCTCCTCCTCCGCCGCCGCCGCCGTCTCCTCCGCCTCCTCCTCCCCGGCTGCTCCGGGTTCCCGCAGCTGGGAGGGCGCCCGGGACCCCACCGCTGCCCCCCTGCACGTGGCGAAGGGCGGCCGCCCCCGGCGTGCGGCCTCGGCTGGCGGCGCGCCGTGCGCCCCCCGGCTCCCCGCAGCGCGCCCGGCCCGCGCCGCGCCCCCTCCCCGACGCGTGCCGGCGCAGTGTGGCGTGGTGGCGTGTGGCGGGGGCGTTTGCGGCCAGCGCAGGGGCGGGGGGTCTGTGGAGTCGGATGTTTCTGGCCTCTGCTCCGGTGAGGAGGAGGTGCTGGACCTGGTTCCTCTGGAGGTGGGACAGGGGGCGGCGGGCAGAGGGTCCGAGCTCGGAGAAAGGTGCAGAGTAGAAGGTGCAGTCAGAGCGGAATCTGTAACTTGGCCCATGAAGGCAAACATTCATGCAAGCCTAGTGGGCAGCGCTCTTCCAAAACACACACACACACACACACACACACCCCGCATCCCCAGGCCGGAGGAATGAAACGATACAGCTCCCCTTCTCCACCAACACTATTTATTTGAGCGCTTGCCAGACTGCTGGGCAGAAGATGTAAGTGGGTGTTTGTTTTCTGCCGCTCTTCCCACCGTGTGACCTTGGGCAAGTTGCTGAACCTCTCGAAGTCACCTGGGAGATGGTTCCCTACCATGCATTGGGGAGACCTGGGGCGGGGGGGAGGTCATCAGAGCTAAAGGTTCCCTGTGACACCTACCTAGGGAGGCATGGACAGCCAGCTACAGGTGAGGACTGGGAGGTGACCCTTTGGGCGCAGGCTGCCAGGAGAAGGTTGCTGGAAAGCTGAGTGTTTCTGGCTCCCAGGACAGGCCAGGGGGTGACCCGGATACCCTGGATGGAGCAGGCTCCAGCCTTGCCCACTGCGCCCAGTGCTGGACTGCTCTCTTGGTGGAAGACTGTCTCCCAAGAAAGGGGTTCTCGGCTTCCTTCCGCCTCCAGTCGTGCTCCCTTCTAAGGTCCAGAATTGGAAAGCAGGATGCTTGGGCTTTCTTTGAGCTGTGTGGGCCCAAGCCCTACCCACTTAATAGGAGGGCAACCGGTTCCAGCCCTCCGCCCACTAGTGCTAAGTGCTAAGCTGGTGTCCCTTGGTGGAAGTTGATTGGTGTTCCCAATGGAAGCAGGCGCCAGAGCTGAAGATTGGACTGAACTCCTCAGTCATCATGGACATGGCTAAAACTGGACCTTGACAGTGACCTAACCCGAGCACTCTCACAGGAAGGTCCTGGGTCTGCTGCTTTCTGAACACACGCTCCACAGACTGAGCCATCGTTCCGGATGCTTGCATGCTTGGGGTCCAGGCTGGAGCAAGCCACCTTGCATTCCCTCCTGGTTTCTGGGGGCTTGGTGGTAAAAAAAAGCCCAAACAAAACCGGGCCTCGCTCAGGCACCATAAAATGCCCCCTGTCTGCCAAATTTGGACATGACCTCATTGCATTCTGCCTGCTTTTTTAATGTTTGTTTTCATTTATTTGAAAGGCAGAGCAACAGACAGGGAGAGATCTCCCATAGGCCTGTTCACCCCACAGATGTCTGCAGTAATCAGGGGCACAAACATTGGCGTGATCTGGCCTCCCAGGATGCATTGAGATGAAGCTGGATTGGAATGGAGGTGTCAGGACTTGAACCAGCCAGCACTCCAAAGCAGCCGCTCAACCCCCTGCTGTGCAATGCCCACTCCTCATTCTTCTAGCTTCTAGTTCTGTTCCTCACCAGACAGTTGTCTAGACTTGTCTTGGTTTCAAAAGCAGGGTCTATATCCATAGTTTTTCTTAAGAAAAAAAGATTGATTGATTTGAAAGAGTTACAGAGAGGGAACAACAGAGGCCTTCATTCCACGGGTTCACTCCTCAGATGGTCAGAACAGCCAGAGCACGGCTGGTCTGAAGCCAGGAGCCTCATCTGGGTCTCCCTGGTGGGTGCAGGAGTCTAAACACTTGGGCTTCCCCAGGCACATTAGCAGGGACCGATCAGAACTGAGGAAGCCAGAACTCCAACCGGCAACCATATTGGATATTGGAATCTTACCAGCTACAGCACAGGCCCCCAACCATAATTTTTAAATTTTAATTTATTTTGGAGTCAGAACTCCTGTACCCTAGATGCCTTCAAAGGCTGGAGCTGGGCTGGCCTTTGGCTGGGAGTCAGGAGTTCAATGCAGGTGTTATCAGAGTGTGCGCTGTAAAGCTGGAGTGAGGAGGAGTTGGGGCTTAAACACAGGCACTCCACTATGGGATGTGGTGTCCTGACCAGGGTCTGATCTGTCTGCCCCTACCATTAATTTTGCATTCCCTGATGTGCTCGTCATACTTGCACACACTATACATTTACTCAGCAAATATATATATATATATTTAAAACAGATATGAGTAACATCCTTTTAAAAAATATTTACTTTTATTGCAGAATCAGATATTCAGAGGAGAGACAAGAAGATCTTCTATCCGATGATTCACTCTCCAAGCTGCCGCAGTGGCCAGGAGCTGAGCCGATCTGAAGTCAGGAGCCAGGAGCTTCTTCCGGGTCTCTCATGTGAGTGCAGGGTCCCAAGGCTTTGGGCCATTCTTGACCACCTTCCCAGGCCACAAGCAGGGAGCTGAATGGGAAGCAGGGCTGCCGAAATTAGAACCGGCACCCATATAAGATCCCAGGGCTTCCAAGGCGAAGATTTTAGCCACCATACCAGGCCCTCAGCAAATATTTCTTGAGTAACTCCTATGTGCTACATGCTAAGAATTTAGTGATTAACACTGTCTGCCTTGCTAGCATCCCATATGGGCACTAGTTCATGTCCCAGCTGCTTAACTTCCCATCCTACTCTCTCTGGCTTAGGAAGGCAGTGGAGGATGGCTTAAGTCCTTGGGCACCTGGACCCATTTGGGAGACCTGGAAGAAGTCCCTGGGTTCAGACTGGCTCAGATCTGGCCATTGCGGCCACTTAAGGTATGAATCAGCAGATGAAAGATCTCACACTTTCTTTCTCTGCTCTCTGTAAGTCAGCCTTTCAAATAAGAATAAATGATCTTTTAAAAAAAAAAGATCTTTATTGTGTTTGTTTGAGATATCTTCCATCCTTCTGGTTCACTCCTCCAGAAAGAAAGCCTTCAATGGCCGGAGCTGAGCTGATCAGGAACCTCCTCCAGGCCCCCATGTGAGTGCAGCACCCCAAGAACTTGGGCAACCCCCTACTGCTTTCCCAGATGCATTAGCAGGGAGCTGAGGCCCCTGTGAGGTCATTGCAGATGGCAGCTTAATGTGCCACACACAAGGCCAGCACTGATCTGTGTGTGTTTACCTTCATGGAGCTTTGCTTCTAGTAAGGGATTCAGAAACATAAATAGATGAGTAAGAAAACAGTTATGTATTCTGATGGAAGGTAAGAAGACATGGAGCAGCAACAGGGAAGAATAGGAAGGTGGGACCTGCCTCAGCGGTCAGAGCTGGTCTCTGATTTAGAGGGCATGTAAGCTAAATCCCAAAGGGAAAGCAGATGTGTTTGTTGTTGGCCAAGGAAACAAATGCAGCAGTGTGACTGGAGTTGGGCCTGTTTGCTCATCTGGGAAAGCTGCAGTGGTTGCAGTTCCTCCTAGGAACCTCTGATATATGCAGGGCTCACCAATGTGGAGCCAGAAACCTAGTAACCAGGAGCCTGGAGCAAGAGAAGGGAGCAGGCAGGTGCTGCACAGTGTGGCCAGAGAGGACCCGCACCCTTCCTCCCACAGTCATTGCTAAGAGGCGAGGAGAAGGCAGCCCCCTGGCCACCGAGTGTTTCCTCCTTGGGACCTCTCAGGGGAGACTCCCACACTCTGACTCTCTCCCACGGGAGATATTGTCTTGCCTGAAAAGAGCTGGAGGAGGTGGGGTTATAGCAGCCAGTCAAGAGACTGAATCAAAACCTCACGTGACTTAGAACACAGCGGGCAGGAAAACTGCTCAGACCATGGAACAAGGCAGGATCCAGGATCTCTACCCCCCAGTTCCAGATCTTGGGGCTCCCTGTGGACGCCATTCTGGGCCTGTGAGCACAGCTGTAGATCGGTCAGCCATTAGGCTGGCCATTAGGGCAGTGGTGGGAGGCAGAGCCTTTAGCTCTGATATGGGAGGGAATGGAAAGTGTTTCATTTTTTTTTTCTTTTCTAAGATTTATTTTTATCCTAAAGTCAGATATACAGAGAGGAGAAGAGACAGAGAGGAAGATCTGTCCACTGATTCACACTCCAAGGGCTGGAACAGCCAGAGCTGAGCCAATCCCAAGCCAGGAGCCAGGAGCTTCTTCCAGGTTTCCCATGTGGATGCAGGGTCCCAAGGCCTTGGGCTGTCCTCAACTGCTTTCCCAGGCCATAAGCATGAAGCTGGATGGGAGCTGCTGGTATTAGAACTTGCGCCCATATGGCATCCTGGTGCATGCGAGGTGAGGACTTGAGCTGCTAGGCTACCATGCCAGGCCCAGAAAAGCTTTTTCTTAAATTTGTTTTTAGAATTTATTTTTATTTGAAAGGCAGAGTTATAGAGAAGGAGACACAGGGAGGTCTTCCTTCTGCTGGTTCACTTTCCAAATGGCTGTAATGGTCAGAGCTGAGCTGATGTGAACCTGGGAGCCAGGAGCATCTTCCGGGTCTCCCACATGGGTTCTCCCTCCCCAGGGCTGTGGGAGTCCTTCCAGGCAGCAGGAAAAAGGAGATATAAGGGCTCAGTTCAAACTGCAGTCCAGAGGAAAGTTAGTTGAGAGGTAAACTTCTCTCACACACATGATGAAGAACTTGGCAGTTGCCAAAGGTTCACAATGGGTCCTTGTTACAGAATCAAGGCACATTGGTTTTGCTGTTGAATGCCGAAAGAGCCCTCCATCCACGCTTCTCTAGAATTGGGGACCAACTGTAAGCTCATATACAACGCTGGATCACAACACAGCCTGATGGTCCCAGAACAGCCTGTGTGTGGGTCAGTATGGCTCCCCGCTGGCGTGCCTTTGGGCACAGCACTCAGCGGAAGTGAGCCTCCACCTCTGTACCTGTAAGATGAGGCCAAAGTGATGACTTCAGTATAAGGTTAATGAAAATTAAGCTTATTACTTTTGTGAGGCAGCTTCTCTCAGGTCTGGCTTCCGGAGCTTGAGCACCAAGGACCCGAATGACTGTTGCCAATTCTGTTCCCATCCAACCAGTTAACCCGAGGTTAACAGGCTGGCCTGGAGTCACCCTGCAGCTGAGGAAGAACCAGGCGCCCTGCCTGGGGAGGTGCTGCTGCTCTGGGTGCTGTTTTTGGATGCGGTCCCTTTTGAGGCAAAAGGAGGTGTGCTGCTGTAGCCCCAGTTCAGCAGGTATTTCTTGAACGTCTGTCTATCCCATGTCCTGCACTGCCCTAAGCAAACAGTCAAGGTCAGGGGAAATGGGAGCAAGCAAGCAAGCTGCAAACTGAGACACTGGTGTGCAGGGGACAGACAGCAGGTTCTGCACGTGTAGCACGTGGGCCTTCAACCTGGTCAGGGCCCGCGCAGGTCCCGGGACAATCCCCCAATCCTGGCCTGAGCTTGGCTCCCTGATCTTGGTCTAATCAGTTTTTCTGCCCCTTCCTCATGAGAACAAGCACAGTGACTGTTAAGGCTTTTGCTGATCTTTAAAATCTTAGTGTTTACTGTTTGTCCCTGCAGGTGGGCACAGCTGACTCCTGGAGGAGCCAGGTGGAGCTGCTGTAACCCTGAACTTGATTCTTGTTGGTAGCCACCCATGTATGGGGGGCAGGCGAGGTATCTGAAGCCCTAGGGAAGCATTTCCTCCAAGGAGCAGTCCCTCCTTGCTTGCCTGGACTGATGGCTGTATTCCCACTAAGTACACCTTCGAGGGACTGGTGTTCCTGAGGGTATATGTAATGCAGCTACCCAAGCACTTCTCTCTAGACCCCAGGACTCTCCAGAGTATAGAATCAGAATTTCCACTTTACCTCACACAGCCAATTTCTAGTTCCTCTTTTTATGTCTTAACAATCACACCATACACCAGAACAGAAGCATAAAGCAGTCTTGTTATTTATGAGCTCCAGGGGGGTGTGACTGGGCAAGCAGGTGAAAAGGCCATGTGGAGACTTAAGTGGGGAAACTTGGGTTAGTCCCAGTATAAATTAAGAGTATTTCATGAACTAGCCTGCAGAGCCAGTGCCTGCTCAGTCATGGGGTGAAGGAGAGGATCCAGTTTCTTAAAGCCAAACCTAGTGTTCTTGCCAAGAAAGTAGAAGTCGGAATCAAACACACGATGGAAACCTACCTAGCAGAAGGGCAGCCTTTGAGACTTAGCACAACAGGCCAAGCAGTGGCTTAGGACACCTGCTTTCTCTATCACAGTGCCCGAATCCTCCACCACCATCCCAGCTTCCTGCTAATGAACATCTATGGGAAAGGCAAGACAGCCAGAGTAACAGGTTCCTGCCGCCTGCCCACATGGGAGACACCCCCCCCCCCCGAATTCCTGGTTTCTAGGTTTAGCCTGGCCTAGCCCTAGCCATTACACACAACTCACACCCCCCTCCCACTTGGTCACTGCCTCCAAAGTCCAAGCTTTGGATAAACCGTTAAAACACCAGCTCATCAGCTTCAGAAACTACACCCAAGACCAGTCCTTTACCACTCTGGGTTCCAAATCCGATGAACAGAAAGGTCCCTGCACACGGCATCTGCCCCTCCCTAACGCCCAGGGCTCACACTGCATTGCATGCAGTCCATTACACACATGCATGTCCCCTACACAACACACGTTCACTCCTCAATCACCACACTCGGCCTCCTTCCAAGTCACTCAGTTTACCTCCATAGAGGTGACACCATCAAGAACAAAAAGAACGGGCAAAATGTTGAAAATAAAAATAAAGCGGACTTTATTTAGAAGATAGAGGTGGTGGTACCAGCTGTGGTTAATAAAGTGAGGCTCAAGTGTTGTAACAGGTCTTCACTACCATCACAGACCAGCATGCTGGGGGCATTCTGAATGCCAAATACAGACTGCAGTCATTTTGAAAACCAAGAGGCTATCAAACGCTGATGGTGTTTGGGTTTCTCTTCAGGTCAGACTAACACACTTCTTAAATGGTTAGAGTGAAAAGACTGCTCAGTTCTGCAAGTTGGAACACTGTAGTGAGCAACCCCCCCCTCCTTCACAAGTCCCTAAGGCAGCATTACAGTAGCCTGACAGCTAAAATCCCAACATGTCAACACAAGGGGCAGGGAACTGAGGGGAAACTAGGAAAAATGATAAGCAAAATTAATGTAATTGGTATAGGCAGCTGCCACTGTGGCAAATCAAAAGTCTAGTCCGATGTCCGTTTTCTTCACATTTGCACTGACATCTTCCCAAACAGACGGTAACAACATTCTGAAAGCAATGTGCCCAGCCTAGGGTGGGGAGGGCCCAGACCGGAGGGGACCGAATGCATTCATTCTGCATCCAGTCATCTCCGGTGGTACAATTAAGGACAAACACCCAGACGACGGGAAACCCACTAGAGCAAAGATAACTAGGAAAGAGGAGTAAATGCATGACCAGTGCTGAGTTATATGCAAGGCACCAAGACCAACCAGCCCACTTCCTTCCTCTCCAGCACTGAGTGGCTCTGGGACAAAGTGTTAATGCTAACAGCGCTCGCCAACGGCTTCCCTGGAACAAAACAGGACAAAACACACGCATGGTTTTGTTTGCATTATGGTTCTTGGTGTACTTTATTCTCCTGCTGTCTAGCTAAGAAGCCCACACAAGACAGAACTGGGTAGCACTGAGGAATGATCAGATTTTTTTCTCCCAAACTTAGTCCTGCCCCCTTCTTAAGCCCTGACCCGCCCTCTCGGGTACCAGGAATGGTTAACATAGCATCCTTTTCCTCAAATACCGCTTCTTCCTAGGGCTTAGGAGCTGGTTTGAGTTCTTTATTCACAACGGAGTGTCTCTCCTTCAAACACCTGGGCTTTTTTTTTTTTGTACACTGGTTCATAGATCGGCACTTGACTTTGAACCTGGCACCAAAAGGCACAATATCTGATACCCTGTACAAGAGCTATTAGAGATGCTGCCGTACAGATGGGCCAAAACCGAGCCAATCCCACTGACAAATGGAAGGCTGGGACAGAAAGATAGAATAAGCAAGCCCATATTTTTTCTTTGCTAGAATGGAAATGACAGTGGGAGTGAAGGCTTTGTTTTTCAACCATGCAAATACCAGGAAGCAATTAAAAAGCTCCCCTTTTTTGGAAAGCAGCATATTCAAAATGTAAGAACTGCTAATAATTAAAACCAAGAAGACAAAAGCTCTTCAACATCCCTCCTTATTGCTGAAAGATCCTAAGATTCAGGGTGCCCTGCTCCCTTGTAGAAGGGAGGTAGTAAAGTCTGATTTATGTTAAGCACAGCGCATCACTTTTTAAAAATATGAAAGCGCGTGACCAGGGGAATGTTTGACACCATTTTATTAATTTTCAACTTCAGTGGAAAAATAAAACCTTTTTCAAGTGCCCTTTTATCACAAGACTTCTAGTTTGTGTGTGTGTTTATACACGCACACACATGCGCACTTCTTTTTTTGCAGCAAGAGATCAACACAACATTGTAGTCAATCAAATAAAACAGAAGGCCAAGCAGTTTCCAAATGGTCATTTTATCAGATTGTTTGAACATAAATTTATCCTTGTTTGCAATCCAAAATCATCACCTAAAGTTTCCTGTTGTGTGTGTTTACTCTTACTGTATGTTGTTTTTTAAACTCTTTGGCACAATTTCCTGGGGGCGTTCAGACTGCCATGGTAGGGGTCAGGAGAGCTTTACTTTTGTGCTACCAATTCTGAGCATTTAAATTTTGGTTTGGGTTGTGGGTTTTTTGAAGTTTGTATTCCTTATTGGTAACAATTGTACTTTTATTTTTTCTATATCCTCTAACTCCAGAGTTTTCCTTCTCCCCACCCTCCCCCCGCTTCTACATTCACAGTTGAACCATATTAGGAAAGGCGCCTTGATGAAAAGACCAGGATAAGAGCTCTGACCATTCGTCAGTGTTTGCCCTAAAATAATCAAAACAAAACAAAACAAAACCTAAAGAGCGTCTTTCCTTTTTTTTTTAAAAACATCTCTTGTGCTGCATCAGTAGACAGAATTTCAGTTAGTTTTATGCAATGCAACATCTAACCCCTTGTTTTCTGGGAAAAAGAACTGCAATGACTTGAAAGTTGAGAATGTGGATACCGCCTCACTCACACACACTCATTCTCAGACTGCACAAACCCCGCCCTCACTCTTCTCCTCCTAGCTGGCACGCACACTGGGCCACGTGGCAAAGGGACAGCGGAGGTGGGCCCGAGGGCCAGGCTCCGTCTTTCTCCTCAGTAGCAAAGGCGAGGCTGCCTTTTATAACCAGCACCACAGCTGAACCCAGTCCCCGCCTCCTCTCCCAAACCAGTCACCCGCTTGGTACTGGCTGCAGACAGAAAAGCTACTTCTAGCCTCTCCCGGGAAGAGACAGCTTGTTTTCTGTTGTTGCACGCACGTCAATCCGTTTCTTTTCCAAGATGGCCGATGTTATGGTTTTCTACGACGTCAGTGCTTACTTAGCTCACTAACAGCTGCGGCTGCTGCTGTGGCAGGATTTTCAATGTGGTGTGTTTTTCAAGCCTCACTCACTCATCCTCTCATTCCCAAACATTCAGCATCCGTGCACACTCCTCACTTCCGGGTTTTTCAAAAGATTGGAGATTTCCAGTGGGGGTCTCAGGTTATCATCCCAATGGTAACAGATCTAAAGAGAGAAAGAAAAAAAGTCAACCTGGAGAACACACCCACCCAGAAAACAAAATGCCTCTGACACCGATAGTTACACGTTTCTAGGCTAGAACTCAATCTGTCACTTCTGCAAGGACTGACTGCTTCTTTTCTTGCAATGTGCCAACTACCTGCCTTTCATTAGCCCCTACATCAAAGGCACAGGCAAAACTCAAAGCAACCAATTTTTACTGAGATCTGTGGAATATGGTAACTGAATATAGTTGAGAGAAAATAAACATATTTCAAAGCAGGGGTCAGAAAACTGACTCGATGCCATTTGTATGAGCATGGCTATGTCTAAAACACTGCAGGAGGAGGAGGGCATGAGGAAGGGACTGAAGAGAACTGTGGGGCAATGCCATCACTGACAGCTTCATTAGGATAGAAAGTTCTGTTTTCTACCTTCATGAGGAATCAAACACTGGACTCAGCAAAGCTGCCTTGCTCTTTCGCTAGTGCACAGTTGGGGGTGTCAAGCTTGGTAGAACATCTACATGGCAAGGAGCGCAAATAGAATACTCCCAGCAGCCCTTGCCAGGCACAACCTGGAGAAACCACTCCTTCCCAAGAAAAAAGATACAGCAGCAAAGACAGGTTCTTTCTTACCAAGCTTGGTTCTTCAGTTTCCTCAGTTCTTTTGTTGCCCAGGTAGCAAGGGTTTTTGCTTTGTTAGTCTTCGATCTCCGTCCTTCAGTTAATAGTTCATGGATCATTGGCCTAGCTTCTACTAATTTCAGTACATCCTTCCCAAACGCTGTACATAAGTCCCTGTGCAAAACACACACACACCTGAGCTTGAGCTCACTGGCCCTTACTGACCATATTTTGGGTTTTCCCCTACAGTGCTAAGTGGTTACTGAGTAGTTTTACTTTGAAAGACATACAAGATAGAGTCTATCACTGGTTCACTCCTGAAACACCCATAATGTCTGGAACCACAGGTACGAGTTGGTTCAGTGCAGGTTCCCTACAGGTGGCAGGAACCCAAAGACACGAGCCATGTCTCTTGTCTCCCAAGGTCTGTGCTGGCAGGCAGATATCCCAAACACTGAGCTAAAGCTCTGTTTCCTGGGAATCGTAGAGCTGAGAAGCCCAACATTTGCCCTTGAATGCAAGCATTTGAACTTGAAACCCATGTCCTTTCTTCTAATGATATCTCATAAGCTCAGGAGAGAAGCCTACACAGAGTCGACCAGTTGACCAGAGTCAGAGATAAGTGAGGAGAAATGGCAAAGATGTGGAGGGCCCGCTGGCAGCAGGGTGCCACTTACCCTATCAGTCCAGCAGCACAGGCTACTACTCCATCCGTATGATCCTCATCTCCAGCAATGTGGTCAATGAAAGACAGAATAAACTCTACCCTGGGCTGGACCAGCATTACATCAGCTATAAAACAAAAGATCATGAAGTTGCCACACAGTTGGCAGGACCACCCTGCTTTCCAGAATGTCTGCCTCTTCTACCCCTGGCCTCAAGGATCTGGCTGGAAAACCAGCTGGCTGCATGTAGTGATACTATACCACTCTGCCTTGGATAAAGACAAACTCAACAGAAGTCCACCTCTTTTCCTCCTATAAGCAAATACAGCTGGTTGTGAGAACAAGCAGCTCCTATGCTCCATCTTTTGCCAACTCTCTTGCTGGATCACCTTCCCTGTAATTCTCAATGCAAGACAAAGCAGCCCAGCAAAAAGAAGAATGCACCCCAGAGCCTCTCAGGAAGGCTGTCTTCACCAACACTGCCCTCCTCCCACCTCCTTACTACAGGAGCCCATGTGGGGACTAAGGAGCTAGGTCAGATACTCAACGGTGTACGTTCTCCTGATCTCCCTTCAATCCTTGGACGATTCCGGTATAGGCCTCCAAGCAGCTCTCCCTTAGTTCATTTAGATAATCCACCATGTCATAATCTGACTGTAAGACACAAAGAACACCCCCCCCCCATCAAACGGATTAGCTGTGGCTGTTGGCCAACAGATGGAGTTAGATTTAAAGATGGACAGGATTGCTTCATGCTCACTTACCTTGTCCACCTGGGCTTGGGAGGCCTGCTGAAGCGTGTTCAGTACAACCTCTAAGTACTTTTTAAACTCCCCACCAAGAGCAAGGGCAATGTCACCAAACACTGACAGAATCTGCGGCTTCACCGATCTGTGGACATTCTCATTCTGACCAGGGGAAAAGGAAGAAAAGTAATGAGGTCAAATTCCACCCCCCAGAGGGGAGGGAATCCTTAAGATTCACAAAACATCTATTTATAATGAATAACTACTAATTTTTATTTGGATGCCCGTCAAAAATTAGCTGCACTAATCTCAGATAGTGAGATTATGAATCTACTTCTCTTGTTTTTTTTTTACAGCAAAGCATGCATTCCTATAACTGATGTTATAACACTTCTTTGGAATCATCTGTGAAAATGATTAACTCCCTTCCTTAAGTCTTTAGCCGAAGTTCTGTGATTTGAAAGGCTGGCTGCTCAGCGCATGTGTGGCCACTCACCCCCAAGTTCTCCAGCAGGAGCTGCATCACCTCGTCGCAGAAGGGCAAGATGTTGGACTGCAGAGCGCGGCACAAGTCTCCCACTAAGCCCACAGCTGCCAAACAGACCTGCAATCAACCAGAGAAAGCTGCCTGCATGGGAAAGACATCGGTTTTACCTATCCACTGATCTTTTATTACTGTTAATTAACAATTCTCCCTTTGCTGAGATTAATTTTAAAGGCAGCATGGCAGAAGACTAGGGATCTTCTAGATACTGCCAAGTCAGAAACTATTCACCAGGGACGGTGCTGGCAGAACCACCTGGCTTTTTTCTTCACAGTTGAGCTGATTGGGTAATTCTGGTGTCGCACTTATGCTAGTACCCTCTGGGCAAACACTCATTCTTGTGCTCCTTACATGGTGTAGCCAACACTGCTTTCAACCACTCCTGGTTCAGGCACACCAGCAACAAATAAAGAAGTTTGACTTTTGGACCAGTGCCAGGGAAATCACGGTGGTTACAGACAGCTGCTGCACTCGATCCCACAGTGACACCAAGGTCAGTGCCAAAAGCACATCCTACCTGGTATTCAGCATAATTTTTCAATCCAATGCCCAGGAACGGTTTAAAGGCCTCCATGTACTTGAGAAATTCACCACCCAACACTGTAATGAAACAAACGGTTAGCAGAGGAGAGCATCACAGGAAAGCAAAGGTAGGTAAAAATGATCCTCCTAGCTCTCTCACAGTGTGCTCACTGCCCATATCAGTAAACCAAGCAGGAGACAATCACCAAGTCCACCATGAAGACAGTGGTTTTGCACAGGCCAAGGTTACAGGTGCTGGAAAGGCTGAACTCTCAGACCCTGGAGACAATGCCAATGCTCCACAGAATGGGACTTCACCTCTGGCCAAGATAAGAAAGTGGAAGGCCCCTCAAACAATGTTAACTGTGGGTTGGCTGAGTCAGAAAATACTGCCTCTTGTCCAGCCCCTTTGTAGCCCAGGCTCCCAGGCAGTTGCCTCAAGGACTCTACAAGCCACAGCCCAGAACAGTGACACTCAGCTTCAGACCCAAGCCGGCCACTACAGGAGCCAAATTCACCTCCTTGCCCGTGCAGGGCAGTCCCATTCTGCCAGTTCCGTGAGACTCGGGCTCTGCAGGCTTTGAGAAGGTGTGAGCCTCAGGATGATAGTCCTCAGTAATGGACTTGGGTACACACTTGCTGGTAACCCCTGAGGAACTGTTCTAGGTTTCTAGAGTGTCGTTTTTAATGACCCTTTCATGAGTCTTCAAATATATTTTCCCCAAGGCAATTTTGCATAGGCAAACACCTATTGGAAAAAGCAAAGAATTTCAATAGCACACGTCAAAGCAAGCCGACTTCATGGGCAGAAGGAATCTGATGAACTTCAGAGTGTTAATTCACATTTTACCCAGTAAATATTAGTTGCAAACTGACTCTATGTTTACTTTTGAGAATGGCAAAGCAATGCTCCAAATGTACAGTTATCTTTAATCGAATCATGAGCCCAGAGATCTATACTTTCTGCAGTCAGAAATTCTCAAAGGCCATTAAAATGCCGACATTCTTCACAGTCCTGCCCAGTCACCGCCCACTGACCTTCTACCAGTGTGCTAACTGCCATCAGGGCATCTTCTTGTACGCCCCCTGACCCAGCTGTGCTTTGGAACATCCTCAACAAGGAGGCCATGACCACGTCAGAGATCTGCAGAGCATCTTGATGCTGTACTTTTCGGAGAACATTCTGTGAAATGAGTAAGAATTATGATCTGTTAATTCCAAACCCTCCAACCAAAACATTTTACCTTTTCCTTTTATAACCTATTTTTAGAAGGTCAAATACATACTTTGACTTAAGAAGTTGGACAGTGCAAATCACAGACAATACACTCATCTGGCATCTCAGAGTCAGGCTTTTTTTTTTTTTTTAATGCAGAGTTATTATAAAGATCTTCTACCTACTCATTCACTCCCCAGGCAGCCACCTTCCATTACTGTCTCAGGTGCATTAGCAAGGAGTTGGAACAGCCGGTCTCTAACTATGGCTCATTCCAATAACACTGAAATCACTTCAGTTCTAAAGAATATCATAATTAGTTGTTCTTATATCCCAAACCTTATTAAACACTTGTCAACAAACAGCATTGATAAAATGAAGCCAGACTGACTTTTCCCAAGCACACAAGTCACTGTCCTCCCCGGTGCTCTCTTGTGAGCCTCAGAACCAATCTATTCTACATCTTCTCTGATGAAAAAACCCAGTTACTAACCACACCTCAAAAAATAAATAAATAAATAAATAAATAAATAAATAAAGAGGGGGTCCTCGCCTTGTACATGCCTGGATCCCCTACGGGTGACAGTTGAGGTCCTGGCAGCCCTGCTTTTTATCCAGTTCCCTAATTGTGGCCTGGGAAAGCAGTAGAGGTTGGCCCAAGGCCTTGGAATCCTGTACCCATGTGAGACCTGGAAGAAGCTCCTACTTTCCAATTGGCTTAGCATCAGCCATTGCAGCCATTTAGAGAGTAAACCAGCAGTTAGAAAAGCTTTCTCTCTGTAAATCTTACTTCCAAAAAAAAAAAGACCTTAAAAACAAATTATTTATCTGAACATGTTTAAAAACAAAACACACAACAACCCTCAAGAACTTAATTTTTAACCAAGCTACCACAACAAATCTAACTGGACCAGGTTTGTACAACCTAACAATGAAGACTACAAGTTGCCAATACACACTAACTATAGAGCCAGAAGAAACCAACACACACTAAGTAATCCTATTATGCAAACAAGCTGGATCTTGCTGGACAGACAGGAAATTACTCCTGAGAACAGCTTCTTCTGATCAGCAATGCCTGCAAATGCAGAGCTTTCTGTGTGCGACATCAGGAGCCTCTTCCCTGGTGCTGCTGAGGAGCGCTGAAGCATCGGCATACCTGCAGTGTGGCGCAGAGCAGAGACTGAAGGTCGTTGAACTGGATTCTGTCTGATGTGCTCTGGATGTGTGACTATTGGAAAAAAGAAAACATGGTCTAAACAGAAACTTTTGTTAGTGTTCCTGACCCTGTTTAGGTCAGCTTCACTAATATAGGAAAGTAAAGCAAAGCAACACACACACAGTATACTGCAGGAGTGAGTAAACCAGTTCTGTACGACTGTAACAGGTTTTGTACAAGCATGACATCCAAGAAAACAAGCACCATTCTTGACCACAGAACTGTGTGTCCAAGGCACTGCCCCTTGCACCAACACCCACAAGTGCTGACTCACCTCCATCTGAAGCACCTGCTGTAGCCGTTCCATGATGACCAAAGTGGTCTTCTGAACTGCAGGGTAGCAATCCTTGGCACTGTTCTTCACGATTTCCATGAGGGATTCATAGGCAGAACTCCTCAGGTTGTTCTGGTGGCCATCAGGTCTACAAGAAATGCAGTGTAAAATCTTTAAGCCACAACCAACCAAGAAAGGACAGAGGCAAAAAGGTAATACACACACTGGCCAAAGCCAAGAATTCAAAACCTGACAGGATCAGACTTGGTTTGGATGTGGTGACAACATCTAAGAACCCAACTTCCCAAAGGGTTTTCATCAATGGTTGTTTTATCAGTCCAAGTTGTTCTCACAATATCATTAAAGACAGTTAATAATTCGGTGTGATGATCAAACTCAGTGAGTGTTACTACTTCTAATGCTAATCAAATGCTCCTGACAACAACTGTTAGTACTGCAAAGTGAAAGAATCTAGCTAGATCAATTACTCCATAAAGGAAACTGGAAAAAAAATCTCCAGGTTGTAATTGTAAAAAGAACAATTCCAAGGTAGGAATAGCCTGTTTTTGCTTCATACTCAAATGTAAATCAGGATTAGGCAAGACGAGGTCAAGAGTCTAATGGGTTTTTAATTTTTTTTTTAATAAAATTTTCTTTTTAGTATTGTTTAGATAATTGAGAGGGATACACACCCATGAAGGACCCTGATTAGGGTGGGAGAGGTCAGGTATGGAGGAAAGTGGTTGGGACAATGTTTCAATTTTTTTTCTTTCTGTGTCCAAATGTAGTGGGATTATGAAAGTGTCAAAGATTTAGAGACAACCTTTAATCTTTGTGTTTTGTGAACTAAACTATTAGGAAGGGACTAAGCATGAACTCTTCCAAGCTTAACTAAGTTCTTCCCCATCTCCTTGCTGAAGGTTGTTCATGACCTCTCTCGGTGAATGCAAAGTGGGAGATGTCCTCATAACTACTCAGATAATAACTTGATGTTACGGAGATGGGAACTCAATCTGGGTCTTCCATGTAGATGCAAGGACTCAACTACTTCTACAACCAGGGCCGACATTAGCACGAAGCTGTAGCCAGGAGCCTTGCATCAAACCCAGGCACTCTGACAAAGAGCACAGCATCTTCACTGTAGGCTAAAATGCATATCCCCAATCTCTATTTAAGCCAACTGCCAAGGGCACTGGACATTTGTACCATCATTTTTGAGCCTTACAAAATTACCAACTTACAAACAAACTTACTATAGATTTGTTTAACTTTAGGCCTAGCTGGGGTTGCTTTGGCAGGACCAGACCAAATCACTTCATGGAATTTAGATGGCCACATGTTGGCTACTCCCCACTGTTGTAAGCAAATCATCTAATGGAGGACACACCGATTCCTCCAGAGCACATGGTGTCCTCACCTGTCTCCTTAGGTTTTCATGATTAAGCTACTTATCCCCATCAACAGTAGGTTGGTACCATGGAACTACAACTTTCTGTATGGGGGAGGTTACCTGTCTGTGGTCTCCAGGAGTTTTTGAACAATGAGTTCAAATGAAGACGATAAACAATAGGTGGCTGGTTCCTCTTGGTCATCAGCTACATCTGCGGCCTCATAGGCAGCTTCAGCCAAACTGGAGAAGGCCTGTAACACAAAAGTCTCATATTACTTGTGAAGCAAACCCTCAGTCTAGGGACTAGCATTGTGGCGCAGCGGGTGAAGCCACCACTAGGAACACAGGCACCTCAAACAGTCAAGAGCTTACAGGAGTTACAGCTTCGTGCTAGTATGCAGAGAAAAGCTGTGGAGGATAACCTACAGGGGAGATCAGATGACGCTATGGCTTCGACCTGCTCAAGCCCTGGACACTTGGGCTAGCCAGAGTGACAAAGCAGATGCATGTGTCTTTCCTACTGTTACCTCTTTCAAATAAATAATTAATACATCTTAAAACAAAACCCATCCCAATATTACGTATTTTTCCCTTAAAGCATCTTGGGTAGTGTTTCTAGCTGACTTTAAAATGAATAAATCCTAGTGAACTTTCAATCTTTTCTGTCATGACCTCAAGATAACACTTAATGTTACCTTTAAAATGAAATATTCAGGGGCGATCAATGTGACAAAGTGAGTTGGCTGTTTACAATGTCGTCATCTCACATGAATGCTACACTCTAATCTAGCTCCATGCTAATATGCCTAAAAAAGCAGAAGTGCTTGAGCCCTTCATAACCGAGTCACAGGCTCCTGTCTTTGGCTTGGCCCAGCCACTGTGGCAGTCGGAGGGTGGATCTTCTATTTGCTGGTTCACTCCCCAAGTGACTGCAACAGCCAGAGCTGAGCTAATCCAAAGCCAGGAGCTTCCTCTGGGTCTACAGTGCAGGTGGAGGGTCCCAAGGCTCTGGGCCATCCTCTACTGCCTTCCCAGCCTATAAATGGAGAGCTGGATGGGGAGTGAAGCAACTGGGTCACGAATCAGCACCCATATGGGATCCCAGTGCTTGAAGGTGGGAAGACTAGCCAATGGAACCATTATGTAGGTCCTGAAATTATAAGTCTTGAACCACATTAGGTATTTGTGGTCTTTGTGGGTCATCTCTAAGCAGGAGCCCTTCACTGGCTGTCTTTTCACCTGTGCACCTTGCATCTGCACAAATGCTTCCTGCCCCACTCCTCTTATCAGCACTTCCTCTGCCATTCCCCCAAAATCCCAACACAGTACACACAGCCTACACTGACTCAGTATTTAGGCCACCTACCCTCCTTCCCTCCTGCTCCCTTTTCAGTAATAGTGTTTCTTGTAACAAGCAACTCTCCACCTTAATCAAAATTTGTCCCCAAGCAACTCAAGACAGAAAATCAACTCTCCCTAGCTTCTCTGCTGTGTTACATGACTGTTGCAAGTCACTGGGGAGCCAGTCGCCATGAGTCAACAACTCCCATTGGCTCCTGCAGTTGGCATCTCCCCCGCACTTTGAGGGAATCAGAAAGGAGGTACTATGGGAAAAAAAAAAAAGGCCCTCCAGTGAGGTGTTTTCATTTCTCCCCCACACCTCCTACTTTCCTGCATTGGCTCAGGCAACCTCCTTTTCTCTTACAAGGAAAAGAAAAAAAAGAGACCACTTACCCAGCACACATTTGAAGCCACTCTGGGTTCAGCACTGAGGCCCTCTATCAGACACTGCAGCAGAGGAGCCAGGTAAACATCATTGATGGCAGCTTCAGGGAGCAGCTCACAGATTCTGCCCACAGTCCATGCAGTCGTATCTCGAACCACTACACTGGGGTCTTTCATTAATTCTATTAAGGTGGGCATAGCCTACACAAATACAAAACAAAGATTAAAATTCATCCTGTTCTTCAAAAAGGTAAGACAGGGCCACTGTCATGGCGTAGCTAGTTAAGCTGCCACAGCATACACTGGCAGTATTCCTTATAGGCACCCAGCTGATCCATCTCCCTACTAATGTGGCTGCAAAGTCAGTGTAAAATGGCCCAAATCCTTGGGCAACTATACCCACGGTGTCAGCATTCTAGACTGCTCACTTTGGCTTGCCCCTTGGGGAGTGAACCAGCAGAAAGAAGCTATTTCCTTTTCTCTCCCACTGTATAGCTCTGTTTTTCAAATTAATAACTCTTAAAAAAAAAAAAACAAACCTCACCAGTTTTAAATAAAAGGGCAAAATTTAGCCCTAGTAACTGAAACCCAGATTCCAAACTGGGTTGCCAGATTTTGCTCCCAATTCCAGTTTCCTGCTATTACAAATTGTGGGTCCTGGGCCGGCGCGGTGGCGCAAGTGGCTAAGTCCTCGCCTAGCACGCCCGGGATCCCATATGGGCGCCGGTTCTAATCCCGGCAGCCCCGCTTCCCTTCCAGCTCCCTGCCTGTGGCCTGGGAAAGCAGTCGAGGACGGCCCAAAGCTTTGGGACCCTGCACCCGCGCGGGAGACCCGGAAGAGGCTCCTGGCTTCGGATCGGCATAGTATCGGCCCGTTGTGCTCACTTGGGGAGTGAATCATCGGACGGAAGATCTTCCTCTCTGTCTCTCCTCTCTGTATATCCGCCTTTCCAATGAAAAAATAATAAAAATAAATCTTTAAAAAAAAAATAAAAAAAACAAATTGTGGGTCCTGCCACTGACATGCTGTACCTATACTGGGTTCTCACTGCCTAGCTCCCTCCTGGCCCAGGCCTGGCTGTTGCAAACATTTTGGGGATTGAACCAGTGGATGGGAGCTCAGTGCCCCTCTGTCCCACAAATAAAAAAGAAAGAAACCGTGGGAACTGCTACCTCAAAAGAAATACTGATGAATGTTTTTAATTAAAAGTATCAGTGAGAGTCTTTGGTAAATGAAAAACACCTGCTGGAAGTATCCATCAAACTAATAAAGGTAAATTATGAAAAAGAAACTCCATTGCCTTCACCAATTCCCAGTTCTGCTGTGGGGCAGACATTGCCAGCAGGCTGCAGGCAGATCACAGTGTGCATCAGGACACATGTCACATTCCAAAGAACCATGCTGTATATGCACCACCCTCAAATTTCCAATAAGTATACCCTTATTACACAAATGTCCAGAGAATGCAAAAATAATCTAATCGTCAGTTTTTGAAGCAATATTTAGGATACAGCACTAGTTACAAAATAATCTTCACAGTTAAGATCTCCATCCTAACAACAAAACAAAACAAAAAACCCTAAAACCACCACCCTGTGGTGCACACAGAACAAAGTTGCAAAGAAAGACCAAGAGGACCCTGGATAAGTAAGGGGAATGCTTTTAGTCTTTTCTATATTTTTCCAAGTTCCTGGGTCATAGGACTTGTCATTAAAAATAAAAATCCTACTTCAACTTTTACTCCAACCTTCTCCCAGACTTACCTGTATAACCAGTGGTTTGAGCTGATTAGGCTCTGGTCCTTCTAAAATACAACCAAAAGCCATCACTGCTGCGTCCCGGTATCGCCAGTCTGGGTTCTTGATGTGTTCTTTGATGAAGGGGAGAACATGTGGGACAATGTCATCTTCACAGCACGTCGCGAGGAGCATGAGGCACACCCCTGCTGCTTTGCAGGGGTTCCAGTCATCGTCATCATCATTTTCATCCTAGTGAAAGGACACAGCAGTAAGAATCATTTTAATGCTAAAAAGTCTGACTACTCCCACTTAAGCTTAGTGTGTAAGGGTTGGTGCTGTGGTGCACCACATTAGGCAGCTACGGCAGCATCCCATGTCTCAGCTGCATCATTTCTGATCCAGTTCCCTGTTAACCACATCTTGGAAAGTAGTGGGAGACAGCCAAACTAATCCAGGTTTGAAGTCCAGGCTCCTCCTTTGGCTTGGCAGAACCCTTGGCCATTGCAGCTATTTGGTGGAGCAAACCAGTAGATGAATATTTCCACCTAGCACCACACAGAACAAGAAACTAACTGCCTACATCCAGCAAAGCCCAACTTCATACATGCACATGAGTAGCTTTGTGGTGCAAGTCAAGCTGCCACTGGAAAATTCATACTCTTCAAGCCCAAGCACTCCATGTTCATTAAACTTCCTGTAAAGGTACCCAGAAATGCAGCAGATGGTGACCCAAGTGACTTCCTATTTTCAGCCTGGCCCAGTTGACTTTTTAGGCTATTTAGGGAGTGAACCAACAAAGGAAAGACCCCTCCTTCCCATTGTCACTCTTTTAAAATAAAACTGAAAGAAAGGAAGTCAATGACTAGAAAGATGATTTTTAGAGCTTTGGGATGTGCTATTAAACCTGCTTTATTTTGGGGTCAGAATGGTGGCTCAACAAGCTAATCTGCCACCTGCAAGCACCAACATCCCATGAATGCCACTTTTGATCAACTCCCAGGAATTAGCCTGGAAAGGCAGCGAGAATGGCCCAAGGACTTGGGACTGCTGCACGCATGTGGGAGACCCAGAAGTTCCTGGTGCCAGCCCAGCTTTGGCCATTGTGCTCATTTGGGGAATGATCCAGCAAATGAAGCACTTTTCTGTTTCACCCATCCTGCCATATAACTCAAGTAAAACACACTAATGTTAAAAACATAACACAAGAATTAAGATTCAGCTTTTGGTTATAGGCTTTAGCCATCTCCAGCCATCTTGGGAATGAACCAGCAGCAATGGAAAATTTCTATCTCCCCTCTTCCAAATAAACAAACTAAAAAATAATGAAACTGTTGGAAATGTGCAGACAATGGGATGCTGGGCTGTCCCACATTTTCTGTACCAGTAATGTCAGGCACATTTAAATATCAGACTGATGGAATCATGACTCCTTATGAAGGACTACTGTAGCAACATGGAGAAAATCAGTTCTGGGGGGGTGGCTTTTGGCGGGGGAGGGGGTACTGAAATCCTAGTCTCTATGAACTTGTACCATAAAATTCAAAATAAAAACTTAACAAGGAGAACAAAGTAGCAACTACAAAACAGAGGGCTTATGGTGACGTAGGTAAAGCAACCGCCTGCATATATGGGTACTGGTTCACATCCTGGCTGCTCCATTTTCAACCCAGCTGCTAAAATGAGATACCAAGATGAAGCCCCTGGCTTTAGCATGGCCTAGCCCTGGCCGTTGCAATTCTGTCTTTTTCTCTTTCTTTAAAACAAACCAACAGTGAAACTGAAGACTTATCCAGAAAAGGAAGAAAATATCCAGGCCATCTAAAACCAAATATTTGTATTCTACTTTCTGTACTGCTATATGAAGTTGGGTAGACCCTCCCCAAAACAATCATCATATTCCTTGGTAGTGAAGACCCTCCACAATGCTCCAAGTTTCCAGTGCTGGAGAGCACTGCCACAACTGTGGCATATAACACACATATAACACACATATAACACACACGAGGAGACAGAAGCTTCTTAAAGCAGGTGCCAGGTGATCTCATGATACACCCAGTCAAGCAAAACATAGCACAATGACGGACAGCTTAGGTAATTGCCCTTTCCTCACTACATCCAATTTTCAGGAAATCATCCTGCGGGATCAGAAGACTTTTGTTGGTCAGAGTCCCATATGAACAGCTTATATACAATCTTGGCATTTAAGAAATATGTGTATTTTGTTGTAACCGAAAGGATCCCAGATACTGGAATAGTTTTTTGGGGTCTGTTTTGGTGCTCAAGTGCTAAAGTTATTTAACAGGTAAAAGGACAAAGGATGTAGGAAGGAAGGAAGGAAGCAGGCAGACAGTGCTTTTGTACCTTGTCTCATCCTCATCTAGACAGAGAAGGAACAGATATTTGAGAAGCCTCAAACATCTTTTCTGACAGTCTACATGGTAAGACACCTAGTTAGTGTGTGGTCTGTGCCTGCTGAAAGCCATTCAGGTAGTTCAGACCCAGATCACACACTCAGCTCAGGGTCCCAAGAACACAGCTCCAGCTGATGGGTTGCGCTGGCTTGCCAGGACAACTTCACCTAATCAACCCAACCTCAGTGAAGTTTCACAGTATACCTACTTAAGGGTTGGCAAAGAACTCACCTGCTTAGTCAGTGTCTGCGTGAGGATTGGGACCAGGTACTGCAGTGCTCCCTTGGCATAAAATTTGCTGGTATGCTCAGGGGGGCGTCCTTGCTCTGCAGCCTAAGGAGGAACAGAGTACAAACAAGCTAGAAGGTACCAGCAGAGGCGGCTCAGGATCTCGGACAGCAAAGTGCAGGGCTACATGGTGATCCCACGCATCACTGTGACCTCTGAAGGGGCTCCTTCACGGAGGTGCTTTGAGGTGGTTTATGTATCTACTTTAAAGGACTCAGGCAACATCTTCACAAGCTCAATTCACATTAGCAACCTGACATCTAAGTGCTCTCGGCATCAAGCGATGCAGAGAAGTTACATGTGATTCTCTCACCAGTTCCATGCTGGAACCATGCATCAGGACCTTGGAAAGGGAGTGAGCGTCAGGCATCACCTAGGTCAACTGAGACAGCCTGCTGCCCTCTTGCATCCAGGGTACTCCTTTCAGTGCTTTTAGTTAAATCACATCACACTCATGACCCAAAACAGGAGATGCCCAATTCATGGATCTCCCTTCTGAGAGGATAAGGGGGAAATGCCCTCTAAGCCTGCTCAGAATGAAGCTCTGCCAGGAGAATGGAGACTAGTGGGTGATACCCAACCAAAAAACAGCTCCCAGCTCACCTCTGAAGCCTCGATGGCCAAATCCATTTCCTCATCACAAACATTGGACCAGAATTCTATTCCTTGAAGAGCCACCTCATCAATGTCACTTTTCATTGCTTCAATTGTGATCTGAAGAGGAAAAACAAAGACCCCAGATCCCAAGTAAGCACCGATTCAGGTTAGAACCCTTCTTTAAACACATTTTACTTATGTGGGCCTACTGATAAGCACCAACAACTCTCAGACTCAACAACTTCCTCAGTCCACGTAATAGCTACATTACAGAGGTAACCAAACTTGGGATCCAGCTACAAGTTCAATCACACAAAATCAAGACACTTACTGCAAAAAGAGCAGGACCCATATATGTCTCCATGTACTGATAATACAATGACATTATCTTAACCAGATTCTGTAAAGCAGCCACGCGTACCTGTAGAGAGCAGATTATTACACAATTTATTGAAATAACACTATATGCAAACATACTCAATTCAAGTGAGTTAACACCCTGAAGGGCTCACTGGGACACACATAGTAACATTCTCATTTCTCCCAGAACTCATTTCTGCCCTCAAGCTTCTTTTTACTCCTCCAATTTTACATTCCTTCCCTTTCCTAAAGACACCAGTGCAAGGGCCTGTACTGTGGTGTAATGGGTAAAGATATAGCCTAGGGGGCCCAGCGGTGTGGCCTAGCAGCTAAGGTCCTCACCTTGAATGCCCGGGATCCCATATAGGCACCGGTTCTAATCCTAGCAGCTCCACTTCTCATCCACCTCCCTGCTTGCGGCCTGCAAAAGCAGTCGAGGACAGCCTAAAGCTTTGGGATCCTCCACCCATGTGGGAGACCCGGAAGAAGTTCCTGGATCCTTGCTTTGGACTGGGCATAGCATCGGCCATTGCGCTCACTTGGGGAGTGAAACACTGGACGGAAGATGAAGATCTTCCTCTCTGTCTCTCCTCCTCTCTGTATATCTGACTTTCCAATAAGTAAATCAATCTTAAAAAAAAAAAAAAAAAGAGAGAGATATAGCCTAGGTATGGGTAGCCACATAGGTGCCAGTTTGGGCCCCAGGTACTCTACTCTCAGTGTAGTGCTGTTCTAATGTGCCTGGGAAGGCAGCAGAGGATGCACTGTACACACATCCATTTGAAAGAGCAGTTATGCTTCCGGTTTTGGACTGACCCAGCTCTGCAACACGTGGCCATTTGGGGAGTGGTGCCTTTCAAATAAGGGTACCCAAAGTGTGGTGGGCAGGGTTGGGCTAGGCCTCAGCATCCATTGGTTTATACCGAGATGGGGTTGGGGACAGAACTGATCAGGCAACAGAAACCACCAGTGTGTGTGTAGGCTGATGTGGATGATGGGTACGGATGCAGTTAGGATGCCAGGAGCTGCCCTCTCCCTACTTTCCCCAGACATAGAAAAAAAGATTGGAGGCAGTGATCTCATTCACTTTTCCCCATTCCTTGACCCCTCACCCTACTCGGTGGTCTACAAGGGCATACATTATTCCTAACTATGCAAATATCATAAAAAATAAAATAAAATACAAGTATCATATCTATTCAGGGGAGGGGGAAGCACAACGCCATGGCTCAATGGCTAAATCCTCATCTTGCAAGTGCCAGGATTCCATATGGGCACTGGTTCATATCCCAGCTACTCCACTTCACATCCAGCTCCCTTCTTGTAGCCTAGGAAAGCAAAAGAGGAAGGCCCAAAGCCTTGGGACCCTGTTCCAGTGTGACAGATCCAGAAGCTCCAGATCAGCTCAGCTCTGGCCACTGTGGTCATTTTGGAGGTGGACCAGCACATAGAAGATCTTTCTCTCAGTTGCTACTCTTTGTAAATCTGATCTGCCTTTCCAATAAAAATAAATTTCAAAAAAGGGGGGGGGAAGACTTGTGCAGAGCAAAATTCTCTAGTGCTAATTCAGCTTGAAGCTGTAACTTTCACATGCTCAAATTAGGGCAACAGAAACCAACCTCACTGACTACAGCTAGAAGACCAGCCCTGGGATAACCTGTAGCAATAAAGCAGCAAATCCAATCCTCTTATTCCTCCAACCTTCTCTCTCTCAAATTGTGTATCCAAACTGTTTTTTCAGAGGGAAAGGCATGAGATTTTTCCATAGGATTTCACTTACCCTCGTATCTGGACACTGTGTAGCCTCACAGACCACCTGCATTATAAAGTGCCTTTCGGACTGCAGGAAGAATAAAGATAATTAGGAAATCAGAAATAGGAAGACATTCAGGTTCTCTCTAAGTACAACCTCTCACTCCCCAGGGTCTTATACGTTCCTATCGTCGCCAGCAACTCCTGCCCAGACAGTCACAGCCTGGCGAAGGCTAGGAAGTTTACCCGCAGTGTTTGTCACTGTAATTCTGAGGGGATCCCTAACCTCTCAATTCACACGCTTACCACGTAGATAGGAAGATGTAAATCACGTCAAAATCGAAGATATGAAACATCTGCCTTATTTTAGAGATCAAAAGTATTTTCTGGGGCCCGGCATGTTGGCCTAGCGGCTAAAGTCCTCGCCTTGAATGCACCGGGATCCCATATGGGCGCCGGTTCTAATCCCGGTGGCCCCACTTCCCATCCAGTTCCCTGCTTATGGCCTGGGAAAGCAGTCAAGGACGGCCCAAAGCCTTGGGACACTGCACCTGCGTGGGAGACCTGGAAGAGCTCCTGGCTCCCAGCTTCAGATCGGCGCACTACCAGCCGTTGCAGCCACATGGGGAGTGAATCATTGAACAGAAGGAAGATCTTCCTCTCTGTCTCTCCTCCTCTCTGTGTATCTGACTTTGCAATGAAAATAATAAATAAATCTTTATATAAAAAGTATCTTCTGCAAGGTGGCCAAGAGCCATCAAATGACAGATAAGAGCAGTGAGGAACCTCTTCAGCTACCTGAGATCTAAAAGGAAAAACTGTCTTGTGATCAATTAAAACTGAAAATTGTTCTTGTCTTAGAAAATGCCACAATGGTGCCCTTGGAGCATGCCCCACATTGGGACCCTGGGATGGTTGGGAGGTTGGGTGGGGCTTCTCCCTTTATCTCTCCCCTTCCCTCAGTTACAGAAAAAAAAAAAAGAGCGAGAATATGCAAACAATGCTCTTACCCACTTTCCTGTAGTCTTTGACCCTTTATGCCCTAATTAACTAATTAACTACGTAAAGGTCAACAAAATAAATAGTAATAATAAAAGAAACCCCACCACAAGGCCAACAAACAGCAAAAACCCAGCTAAAATGTCAACAAGAATACCCACAAAAACACAGCAGTCCATGGGAGCAAGCAAGGCCACTCACAGGGACACAGTCAAGGGAACTGAGATCTCAGAGATGTGTGTAACACACGAAAAGGCACATCATTCACAAAAGCCAAAATGAGAAAGCAACCCACATGATATCTTTACGATAAGCATGATTCAGCCTTCAAAGCTACAACATACATGAACCCTGAGGATCACTGTATGTGAAACAAACTGGCTACAGAAAGACAAACACTGTATGATCCCACTTTTATGAGGTATTAAAGAACAATCAACCAACAAGCAATCAAACAAAGAAAAAAGGGATGAGATGGTGGCTCAACAGACTAACCCTTCCCTTGCAAGCACTGGATCCCCATACAGATCCTTGCTTGTGTCCCAGCTGCTCTACTTTCCATCCAGCTTCCTGCTTAAGGCCTAAGAAAACAGCAGAGGCTGGCCCAGGTCCTGGACGCTGCAACCACGAGGGAGATATGGAAGGGGCTAATGATTCCTGGCTGCAGATCAGCTCGGCTCCAGGCACTATAGCCATTGGGAAGTGAATCATCAGATGGAAGATCTGTTTATCCTTCTCTCTATAAATATGCCTTTCCAATAAAAATAAATAAATCTTAAGAAACAAAGGTTGTGGCCTCCTGCAACAGGAGATGGATGACCTTTTTCTCGCGTAAAAAAAACAAAAACAAAAACACAAAAACTTCCAATTTTACAGTTCTAAAAGCACCCTCCAGAAGGACACATCAAACAGCTTAGCTTGTTAGTTTTTCTTTCAATCCCAAACTAGTCTCACACGTTCACCTGAGCTTACAAAGACTTAGACCTCAGATTCATAAACCTTTATCTAGAATGGAAACATAGGCTTGTTTCTAGCTCCTAACAAGACAACACTTTCTAAATCATCACTTTTGGGGGGAAACACCCTCTAAATCTGCATCTCTTTTCAAAGGAACCTTACCTCTTTGTCAAAGTTTGCTTTGGTGAACTCCAGTGAGTTCAGGAGTGCATTGGTAGCAGCGAGCTTCACATTATTACTGGGCTCTTCTTTCCTCATCCCCTGGATTATGGCCGTCAGAATCTCGTTGGATTTATCCTGCAGCTGCTCTGGGTCCTGAAACGAGCAGAGCAGTGCAATGACTACAATAAAGTGATCATGGCTAATCAGCAGTCCTTTTAACTGTAAAATCCATTTGAGCATCCTGACTTTGTGATCTTTTCCCTCTCATTCCCATATAAGGGCAGCACTGCAAACCACCTGCCAATACAGCCACCCTGTACTGGTGGTCCAAACAGAACTGAGCCAGTGGAACTCCTTAGCTTCGCCTCTGCGATTTGGGCAACACTGGCTTTCCCCAGTCTTCTGTGCAAAAGCAGAAGATGGCAACCTGGTGGGTTTTCCTGGCCATCGAAGTAAAGCTCAGGAGAGCTGAGAGCCAAGATGAACACCTGAGCACACCATCAGAAACTCCAGGTGAACAGACACCAAGGCTTCCAGTCTTAGCAGCGATGTTCTGAAAGGATTGCATCTAAAATATCATGTTGGGGCCCAAATGTGGCAGAGGGTTAAGCATCTACCCGTGATGCCTGCATCTCATATCAGAGTACCAGTTCAGGCCCTAGCTGCTTTGCTTCAGATCCAGCTGCCTGCTGATGCACCTAGAAAGGCAGTGGAAGATGGTGCTTATTCTTGGGCTCCTACCACCCCAGGTGGAAGACCCAAATGGAGTTCCTGTCTTCCAGTGTGGCGCAATACTGGCTATTGCAGACATCTGGGTACTGTCTCTGTGAAACAGGAATTGTGACGAGACGAGTTGCGCCGCCACTTAGAATGCCTATACCCCATGCAGGAGTCTCATGCAGAGTTTCAACTTGGCTTCCAATCCAGCTTGCTGCTAATGAAGCTGGGAAGCTGCAGATGAAGTCTGAACTTCTGGGTTCCTGCCACCCATGTGGGAAACCTGGATGAAATTCCTGGCTCCTGGCTCTGCTCAGGCCCAGCCACAGCTTTTGCAGGCATCCGGGAAATGAATCAGTGGATAGAACATCTTTTCTTTCCCCCTGTCATTCTGCCTGTCAAATAAATATTCTTTAAAATAAATAAAATAATATTGTGTTATGGCTTCCACAGCTAAATCAACTATTCAGGGGTTGGCAAACTTTTCTGTAAGGCAGTAAATGACTGCACCAGAGGACTGGGGAGAGGATCAGGTCAGGAATTCTCTCAATGAGAATACCATCACTTTACAAGTACAGGATCTGGGCCCAGCGTGATGGCTCAGTGCTAAAACCTTGCCTTGTATGTGTTCAGATCCTATATGGCTGCCAGTTCACATCCTGGCTGCTCTACTTCCCATCCAGCTCCCTGCTTGTAGCCTGTGAAAGCAGCAGAGGACAGCCAAAGCCTTGGGACCCTGCACTCACAAGGGAGACCTGAAAGACACTCCTGGCTTCAGATCAGCTCAGCTGCAGCCATTATGGCCGCTTGGGGAGTGAACCAGCAGATGGAAAATCTTTCTGTTTCTCCTCTTCCCTGTAAATTTGCCTTTCCAGTAAACATAAATAAATTTTATGTAAGTCTAGAATGTAAGCTCTAAATTGAAAAAGCAATCTCACTTACAAAGCTTCACAGCAAGTTGATCTTCAACATGATTTAATTAAGAATAATGGGCCCAGCGCGGTGGCACAAGTGGTTAAGGTCCTCGCTTTGCACGCCCAGGATCCCATATGGGCGCCGGTTCTAATCCCGGCAGCCCCGCTTCCCTTTCAGCTCCCTGCCTGTGGCCTGGGAAAGCAGGCGAGGACAGCCCAAAGCTTTGGGACCCTGCACCCCCACGGGAGACCCGGAAGAGGCTCCTGGCTTCGGATCGGCATGGCATCGAACATTGCGCTCACTTGGGGAGTGAATCATCAGACAGAAGACCTTCCTCTCTGTCTCTCCTCCTCTCTGTATATCTGCCTTTCCAATAAAAAATAAAATAAATCTTAAAAAAAAAAAAAAAAAAAGAATAACCCTAACACTGTGCACAGCCCCGCTAGAGAGTCAAGACACATCCATTAGCATGAGGCAAGCACTTACTATATCCTGGCAAATGTAACCAATAGCTTCCAATGTGGATTCTTTCATGTGCTCCGTGCTGTTGGGGTTTGTGACATTGGCAACAAGCTGAGGAATAAGTTCTGGCCACTGGTTGACCGGGATCTCTGCACAAGCAATACCAGCCACACACTGGGAGGCAGAGCTAGGCCGATAAGTTTCTGTGCCCAAAGTCTGCAAAACCTGCAAAACAAATAAACATGTAAGACACATATATAAGAATCTTTATTACTATCTGAGCATATTTTACTTTTTTACACCAATGTCTTGGTATTTTTTCCTGACACAAAAGGAAGGGTGAAACACTGAGCCAGCCCCGGCCCGACCACCATGGCTCGGAGCTGTGGAGTCAAAGTCCATCCCTCCCACCCAGCTTCCACATGGAAACTTCCTCCAAGCGGCACACTTCAACAGTCAACACAAGGCTGGAAACCAGCAATCAGGAGAGGTAGTAGGGATGCAGACAAAACTCATCTTCAGGTTCAGTGCAGTAGCCTAGTGGCTAAAGTCCTCACCTTGCAACTACTGGGATGCTATATGGGCACCAATTTGTGTCCAAGCCACTCAACCTTCCATTCAGTTCCCTGCCTGTGGCCTGGAAAAGTAGTCAAGGACATGTGAAGGTTTGGGACATGTGAAGATTTGGGACCCTGCACCTGTGTGGGAAACCGGGGAGATGCTCCTGGCTTTGGTTCGGCTCAGATCCAGCTGTTAAGGCCACTTCAGGAGTGTCTCTTTCCTCTCTTGGTATATCTGCCTTTCCAATAATAATAAATCTTTAAAATTCAAGTCTCAAGCTCCTTGGGGGTCTTATGATCAGAACTGGGGACTTCATAAAGAGGCAAACTCAGGCACCCAGGTGAGTGTGATGTATCCAACCGTCTAGCCTGACTGAGGGCAGGTTGTCTCACTTGGGAAATGTCAAGTATATTTGCTTCCTCTGGCGCCCCAGCACCTAAAACATCTCTATAAACAAAGACACAAAGTCACATATGCTACCAAGCCCTTAAGAACTGATCCCTGCACTTTCCACTTGAAGGGACTCTTCCCATTTGTCCAATAATCAGTACCAGATGACCAGAACTAGTTAGATTTACCGACTAAAACAGGTCCACTGGTCCTGCAATCTGTGTTGCTTCAAAGGGTCGTCAGCCTTTCTGTCGAGTGTGAGGCGTAAGTCTGGCTCAAGCCAGGGTTAATCATTGCCACTATCAGCTAGTCCACTCAAAAAGGTCAACAGGAATCACCAGCTCCCTCCAAGGCAGAACAGTTAACTGGGTATGGCATGAGCACAGGTGCTGCCAGAGCTGCAGGCCAGCTCTGCTGGCTGGGTCAGGTCAGTTCCCTGCTCTGTAGACAGCAGCTAATAATGAACTACTCATCTCCCCTCTTTTCTGGTGCATCATCACCTTTGCCAACCTAACCCCACCAGCTCTGCCCAGCAACAGTTGATTGATTATCTAGGTCTATCAGAGCAAGTCGGAACCTTAAACAAAAATTATTACACCGAACATCAAGTAGTAGGGCGGAAATGACATATGTCAGAGGCTGATTGGTTAGCAGCCAAGTCTGACGTGAGTGGCAACTCAAGAGGCAGCACAGATAAAGGTTGGACAACAGAGACCAAGGTACTTGAGAGGAGGAATGTGCAGGACTAGACAGTACAACGCAGGGACCACAGTTCACAGTGACCCAGAAAAACACAGGAGTAGTGGCAAGAGCTGGAAGATGGGGTGGGAGTTCCATCAGTACACACTCCATACACTCCAGACCCTGGACAGTCACCTGGTGTTCCAGACATGTGCCATTATCATGTTGCTAACTGAAAATCTTAGAAAACAAAATAGGTGAAGAAATAAACTCCAGTTCTGGGTGCCCTTATACTATCCTAGGTTGTCTCCAAGTACACATCTGCAAAGCACATCTACAGTTCCTCTTCCAACTGCCTTTATAAGACCACTAACGTTACTCAAGATCTTTCTGAGGTACAGATATCCAATTCCTACATACTGCTGGGCTTTTACCAAAACTAGGGACAATCTCGCAACAATATTCAATCACCACAGAATTAAGAGGAACTAAGAAATGACACTAACTGTGCTTCTACCACCAGATGCCAAAAAGACATACCCACCAGCACTGCAATACTGGTCAAGGTAACAGACAAGGGCTCAACCTGCCAGTGTGAGCTCTTCTGCAGATTTAAGAAACAATTCCGGTGTAAAGTGTGGAAGCCAAGCACGGATTCAAAGGACCTTATCCACTACAGTACTGTGTAATATGCAAGTCCCAGTTTAAGAACCAGCTGTTCTACTTCCCACCACCTCTCTGCTAATGCGCCTGGGAAAGCAGCACAGGATGACTCAAGTGCTTGGGCTCCTGCACCCATGTGGGAGACCTGAAGAAGTTCCTGGCTCCTGGCTTCAACCTGGTCTAGCTTCAGCCACTATGGCAACTGGGGAGTAAATCAGTAGATTAAAGATCTCTTAACATCAACCCAACATGGCCAGACATGGTTCCATGGGAAGCTGGCTCTCACAGCTTCTGGTCATGGGCTGCAACATGCGAGATGGAAAAGAGGCTCACAATTTACAAAACAGTTGCACAAATTTAACTAGAAGCTTCTATCTAGAGCAAGGAAACGGCAGCAGGCATAACGTATATAACCAGAACCCCCCAACTGCACACGTAGGAATTCCCCAGTGTTATCTCAAGCACCTGGAAGCGGTTTCATCTACTTCCCTTTGTGCCTTTATTCATCGAAGATGGGCCACTAAATAATTTCATTTAAAAATGTGATCTGCTCATATATTCTAGATCCTTTGCTTCAGCTGGAAGTATGGACTTCAAATTCCATGAAGTCCTAAGCCCTTCATGACGTGAAGCAATAACGGACATTTGGTTTTCCTTAGAATTTATCGTCTCATTCATTACAAGCCTTGAACAAAAATCCAGTGTTTCTATAGTTTTTTCACAATTTTCTATGTAGGTAAAAGCACCATTTAGTCACTTGCCCAATTCACCCACTACAGGGTTCAAAGGCTGCAGGTCATTAACTCTGACTTCACCCATGTTAGGACCCCAGTTTCATCAAATCAGGCTCTGGAGAGCTTGTATATACATACTAACAAACTCCCAAAGTGCTCTGATCCACAGCACCAATCTGCTCACTCTTGAGATTCATTAGAGATCTCTGCTCCACCCCCTTCTCCATCCCAAATTCCGTTATCTGAAGAGAATTCCAGCCCACCTAGACAAGCTGAACAGAACAAGATTATTAGAATCAAATACAGTTTAAGTAAAACTTAGGGGTCAGAAGCCTATCACAACGTCAACTATCCCACGCTCAAGTAATGAAACTAACATACAGCTCTCGGGCCACAGGCAACGTGACCAAAAGCCGGCGAATTACTCACATAGTTCTTGACTTCCCGTCGGGCATTGGCATCAATCGCAAGCCACCTCTGCTGATACTGTGCCTTGATGTCTGGGTCTTTGGATGTCAAGGAGTTCTTGATTTGTAGCCCAGCTGCGACTCTGGCCACCTGACTGTTTCCTGGGTTGGCTAGCACTCTGGACAGTTCCACAAGGAAAGTGGGCTGTTAGAGAGAACAGGCATTCACCAATGAAAACCTGGGGGAATTTCACCAACTCAAGTTTACCAAGTACCCAAAAACTATGGGGAGTAAGGTAGCAAAAAACCTATTTCTAAGTACATACCAGGAACTGCAAAACACCTACTTCAACATCTCCATAAGGTTATTTGATAGACAAGAAATCCATTCACTTCCCATGCAGCCCAGTCCCTGCTGAGGAATTATGTATTTTCCTTTGCAGGTCACCCTTCCATCCCATCTCCAGAATTTAGGCAATTTGACAAGTGGACTGTTCATGAGCACAGGTGTCCCAAGCATCCAAAACAATGTCACAGTCCATCTCTGCAATGCACCAATGTTATGATAAGTAAAAATTAAAATTGTCTCTTTAAATTTCAAAAAGCTCAGACCAAAAAGAATGATGGTTTTGAGCCATGGAAGCAGTTACTCTCTCATAAGAAAGAATATTTAAGCCTAAAAGAGACTTAGGTGCCTAACACTCTATTGTAATTGAGGGTGTTCAGCAAAGTAAATTAAAAAAAAAAAAAAATTACAAATGATGGGCATTTAAGAATAGGGAAAAAAACCAAACAAGTAAAAATGTTCAGGTAAACTGTTTATGCAAAATGACTGAATGTCAACAATCAATACAGCACGGGTTCCTTAAACTCGAGCTGTGTAGCAGAGTGGATCCATACAAGCACACACAAACCTTTTCGAATGGGTTCCATGCAACTTGTTTCACACACAATCCTCTCCTCCATTAAAAAAAAAAACAACTTCAAAAAGCATTGTTCAAACAACAGGAAAGCCCAGGCAGCACTTTCCTCCTCCTAGCAACTTCTGCCACCCAGAAGAGAATCCTTCAAAAGTTAGTCAACTAAGGGGTCTAGGAAGATAAAAGCTTGGTGCAAATCAGCAAAAGTTCAAGCAAGAATCTACCTTGAATGCATTATCCTTCTACACTAGTGGCAACATCATTGGTAGGGCAAGTTAAGGGTCAACACAGTAGTTTAAAAAAAGAAAAAAACACATGGAGAGCGATTTGTATGATATAAGCCTCATCCCTAGGTTGTGGCTTAACTATTTTGCCAACCACAGATAGGGACGCATCTGGCTACAGTGTCAGGGACTTACCACCTTTCACAGGCGCCAAGGAGCCTCCCCTGCCTCCCCTCCCCATCCCCCAGTGCCCTACTGATCCTGCATTTTTACAGAAGGGCCTAGTCTCTAGAGGATTCTCTTCCCCTGTCCAGCATCCCTTAAATCTGCAAACACGAAAACCGAGAACGAAGCATCCATGGTCTCCTTAGCCAACAGGCCCGACTCAAGGGGCCGCCTTCGTACGCCATGCTGGCTGCGGGTCCCAACTGACCAGGTCTTTCTAATCATCGGGGTCGAACGATGGGGTTAGACTCCCGTGAGTCCACCCCTCTCGCCACCCCCCGAAAAAAAAAGAACCGGGAGAGGAAGCTCCAAGCAGGAAAAGAGGGGGAGGGAGTGGGAGAATCAGTGGGAAAGGCTTCACGGTGCCAGGACCGGCTAGGGACACAAGAGCAGGGCCGCCTGGGAAGTGAGTGGCGCGCGGGGGCGCGCGGGGCGGACGGCGGGGCCCTGAGCTCGCACATGGCCCCCAGGCCCGGTCCCCCACCCCCACCCGCGCCGCACACGCAGCGCCGCGCAACCCAACTTCCCTTCCCTCCCGCGGCACCGCCGCCCTCAGGCCGCGCGGCCATTGGGCGCCGCGCAGCCCGGCGCGCCGAGCCATTGGCTGTCCGCGAGGCCCGGGGCGGGACACACCCACCGGCTTCCCGATGGCGGGGTTAGGTTGGCGCGGGAGGGGGAGGCGGAGGGGGAGGGGGCGGGCGGGGTGCGTCCCCGCGGCCTGGGCCTCCGGGAGGGCGGGAAGGGCCCCGCACGCCGCCGCCACCGCCGCGCAGGGCCCGGGGCGCGGCACGCACCAGGTTCTCCACGGCCGCACGCTCCAGGAACTTCTGCGCCGCTTCCAGTTCCAGCCGATCTAGGGGGAGGGGGAGGGCGCGGGGTCAGAGGGGGCCGGGGCGCCCCCTCCCCCACCCCAACTCCCCCTCCGCCCGGCGCCCGCGTCCTACCGGGAGACACGGTCTTCTCGAGGATGGTGATCAGCTCCATGGCGGCGGGCGATGGTGCTGACGGCGGCGGCTCCTTCTAACACGACGCTCCGGCCTCTCGGGCGGCGGCTCCCCCAGCTGGGCTTGGGGTGCTGGGGGGGGTCGGGTGGGAAGGGAGGGGTGGGTGGGGGGCGGGGGTCACCACACGCCCATTCACCGGCTCGCCCCCCGAGGCCTCGTCCCTGCGGCTGCCCGTGCTCCCGTCCTCCCGCCCGCGATGCGGCTGGCGGCGGCTGCTCTGGCGCCGGGGGAGGGGGGACCCCGCGGGCGGCTCCGAGCGCGGCTGCTGCTCGGCCGGCGGAGGGAGAAAGAAGGCAGGCCAGCGGCGAGGGGACGGCGGCGCGCAGGCAGGGCGGAGGGCGGAGGGATATCCGGGCCGGACCTCTCCGCGGCGGCACCGCGCTCGCCGGCGATTGGCTGCCGCCCTAGCCACGCGGAACCCGCCATTGGCCAGGAGGCCAGCGTTGAAGGGCCGCCCTGCTCCCATTCGCTCATGGGTTTGAAGGCTCTGCGGTTGGCTGGGCGGGCGGGCGAAGGCGGCGTGCGGATTGGTCTAGGGGGCGGGACAGCGGGGTGGGGCAGGCGGGAGCAGGCCTCTGATTGGGTTGTGCTGCTGAAGGCCTGGAGCGCAGACCCGCTGAGCGGCGGCGAGGAGGGTGGGTTCCCGGCGAGACCCGTGGCTCGCGGGATTGGCGGAAGGCGGGGGTACTGGACGTTGATAGGCCGAGGGTGGCGCCCGGGAAGGCCGGGCCCAGGAGTTCGGGGTTCGGGACTCGCCGAGGCGGGAGACGCACGATGCCCTGGCCGACCGCGATGTGAGGCTCGACGGGACGGCCCCTGGCCGGGGCGGAGCTGGGCCGGGGCGGGAGGACCGTTACAGGGTCGCGCCCGGCGCCCACGGAAGCTCGGCAGGCGGCGGCCTCGGAGACCATGTGGTCGGTCCTGCCATGTGCACACGTGGACTCCAGCCGGAGAGGCTCTGGGGCTGCTCCCAGGGCAGAGCCGGCTCCTGGGCTGCGCCGCACCATCCCCGCATGTTGCCCTCCAGCCCCAGCAGCCGGCGCTGGAGAGGATTCCACATCTGATCGGAGGCCTAGTTCAGGGAGGGCTCCTAGCCACAGGTCACACTGTAAAAATACCCTTGGAAAGGCACAGCCTTCAGAAGGACTCGGTGCGTGAGGCAAAACCACCGTGAAAAGTTAAGGGCTCTGGAAGAAACTTGGAAAGCCTCCGCCTCCCCCCCCCCCCACACCTTTTTAGAGAAATTCACATGAAATACGCGTCCTGTTTCTTGGCTTTCCCTGACATTGGCAGGTGATTTCCAGGTTAATTTCCTCAGCGGTTACTTTGTCAGCATATTGATCCTGAATTAATTGGCTGTAACTGGCTTGTGGAGCCTGAACTCTGGAAAAGCTTGTCCTACACCTGCCGCACCTTAGGGAGCCCCTGGGGGAAACCCATCCCCAGACCCCCGTCCCAAGGTGGCAAGGGCTTTCTTGAGGCCGGACAGTCCCTGGCCCCAGACTGCCCCCTCGTCTCACTGACCCAGAGATGGGACTGCGTTGGTGAGTGTGAAGCAAGGTGACACCCGTGGCGATGGGGAAAATTGTCCTTAGAGACGCGAACTGCATGCTTGGTTTCTCTGCTGCCAGCTTCCACCACTCTACAGCAAGTGCATGAGCCACGCCCTTGGTCTGCATCCCAAACGGTGAGGGCAGAGGAGTTTGAAAGTCCCTGGAATAAAATGCTGGGGAAAACAGAATTTTATGGAAAAATTCTCCGTAAGAGACCCTTACCCATACAAATTGAGGTTTCAGTTAACCAGAGCTTACTGATAGTACTGTTGAAACACCCTGGGGGCCCACGCCATGGCATAGTACCTTCAGCTAGTGGCTACGTGCTGACATCTCATATGGGTGCTGGTTCATGTCCTGGCTGCTCCACTTCCCAGGCGACTCCCTGCTTGTAGCCTGGGAAAATAGTGGAAGACAGCCCAAGTCCTTGGGACCCTGCACCCACGTGGCAGATCTGGAAGAATCCCCTGGCTTCTGGCTTCAGCTGGAGCCTAGCTCCAACCCTTGTGGCCATTTGGAGAGTGAACCAATGGATAAAAAATCTGTGTCTCTTCTGCCTTTCCAATAAAGATAAATATTAAAACTAAATTTTAAAAAGCACCCTCTGACTCATTGGGTAGTTCCAGGAGGCACCATAGCTTGAGTGTTGAGTGCACAGGATCTGGAAAGAGCACATCTCAGACTTCCTTTCTTCATATGTAAAAGGGGCTAATAGTCCCCTGGCTTCTTAGGGTTGCAGTGAAGAGTGCAGAATGCTGCCAGCGCGCCTTTCATGCACATAGGCTGTTAATCCAAAGTATAGTTCATGTGTTGTGCTGGCTGGAGGTCCGTGGTCTATGAGAGAAGATCAACTTCAGTCATTTAAGCCCCATCTATCCCCCAGATTATGTCAAGTTGTAAAGTGACACTGGCTGAGGATCACCCCATGAAGGGGCTTGGGAAAAGCCCACCTGAGGAAGGGGAGAGAGGTGACGGAGGCTGTGCACCTGCCAAAGTCTTGGGGTTACAGAGCAGTACAGCCGTGTCTCCAAAACACAGGGAATGGGCTGGAGTGTTAGGGATGGGTTGAGAGCAGGTGAAACCTGGCCCGGCCAGGCAGGTGGTTCCATGCATAGCCAGAGAGTGAGTGCAGGGGAGCTTTTTAGGCTTCTGAGCCAGACAGTGGTCAGCAGGAGAAGGCTGGATGGAAGAAAGGGGGCAGGGTGGAGGTGAGGAGACCATTGCCAGGATCCCAAGAAAATACTTGTAAAGAAGTATGGAAGCAGCAAAGAGAAAGATGGATGGTACATGGTGATTGGCTGAAGGAAGATGGGGTGTGGCTGGGGACACATGGAGTGACCTTTGTGCTGAGCAGTGCGTGGGATGCCATTTGCAGTATCTACCACGATGGGGTGGCAAGGGGGCTTCTGCCTGGAGCTGTGACATGGCTTGAGTGAGAATGTTGTTGGTGGTGGTTCCTTTTTGGCCTCTCCTCTGTCTGTGAACTATGCCTTTTAAATAAAAAATATTTAAACAAATAGATATAGAATTATAAATGATTATTTAAAAAATTATTTACTTGCAAGGCAGAGTTGCAGAGAAAGAGATCTTCCATCAGCAGGTTCACTCCACAAATGGCTGTAGTGGCTAGAGCTGGGCTGAGCTGAAATGAAGAGCTAGAAACTTTTTTTTTTTTTTTGACAATCTTTACACAGTTGATTAAGGCACAAAGGGTCAAGGGCTACAGGAAAGTGGGTAAGACTATTGTTTGCACATTATTATTATTATTTTTCTCTATCTGGGGTAAAGGAGGAGATAAAGGGAGAAGCCTCACCCAGTCTCCCACCCATCCCAGGTCCCTGATGTGGGGAATGCTCTGAGGGTCCTGCTCAAGTGGTTTTGATAATTCAACAGTTATGAATTGCTGCCAATCTCGCCATTCCAAGTACAATGAAATCGCTGATGAATTTCACTGGTTGACATAGTCCACCTTAGACTCTCCGTGTCCCCAGATTTTTACTGCCAATACATGGCTGGGGTAGTTGATTGATTTGTTCTGTCCTCCATCCTCTGTTGTGGTACCAGGTGTCCTCTGCAGGTACCTATGGACTGCCATATCCTCCATGTGCGCCTGGATATGCTGTCCACTACTCCATCTGAGCCTCTTAAGAGGCCCAGCTTTGACATTTGCACTCCATGGCAGACCATGGAATCTGCATTTAAGAGCTAGAAACTTTTTACAGAACTCCCACAGGAATGCAGGAACCCAAGTCCTTGGGCCATCCTTTGCTGCTTTCCCAGGCAATGTTAGCAGGAAGCTGGGTCAAAAGTAGAGCAACCAGGGCTTGAGGAAGCACCCACATGGGATGCCAGTTCCACAGGTGGCGTCTTTATTCACTATGCCACATTGCCAGCTCCTTAATTATGTAATTCTAGTTAGGTATTAAAATTGATGCTAACATCTCCTAATCATGTGGAAAATGTTATAATACATTGTAACGTGCAACAAAGCAGATTATTACATTGTAGGGGCATGTATGAAAAATGTGGTCAAATTGTACACTGAAGATTCTTACATTTTATGCACTTGGCTGTAGAAGTGTAATTACAAAGAGTTCTGTAGGAGACAGGTGCTTGGTCTCACAGTTAGATGGCCACTTGGAATGCCCGCATCTCATCTCAGTGCCTTGATCAAGTCCTGACTAACTCCTATTTCCTGTCCAGCTTGATACTAAGGCATACCCTGAAAGGCACAAGGTTATGAATCAGGTGGTTGGCTCCTTGCCACTCATGTGGAGATCTGCATTGATTTCCAGGCTCCTGTTCTTATCTGGCTCTGTCCTAGACGCTGCAGGCATTTGGGGAGTGTTTCTGACCCTGCCTCTCAAACTGGGGGTGGGAGTGAGAATGATAAATTAAAGAGCAGAAATCAACTGTAATCCCAAATTGTATCCACATTAATATTATCATATTTTCCCCCAAGTAAGGTTACTTAATTGTATTCATTTGAAGACTTACTTATTTGAAAGGTAGAGTGATAGAAACAGAAAAATCTTGGCAGTCACTGATTTACTCCTGTGTTACTACGACAGCCAGGACTGGGCAAAGCCGGGAACTCTATCTGGGTCTGCCCTAAGGGTGGTAAGCACTCAAGTACTGGAACCATCTGCTGCTGCTTTCCCAGGAGTAGCAAGTGGATATGAACCTGCACTCTGATATGGGATGCCAACATGGCAGGTGGTGCCATAACCTGCTGGGGGCGTAACGACTGTCCCCACCAAGCACTCAGTTCTAAATAAATTCTCAAGTATTCCTAGCTACCATTTTTTGTTACTCTAAAAAAACCATATTTCTAAAAAGAAAAAAAAATTAGAAAACCATATTTCTAAGAATTTTTAGTCAGCCCTACCCTCTCAGTTTGCATTAAAACAATGTCATCCATCAAACATGGTTGAGGTGGTTCCAGACCTGCTCACATGGTTGGTGCAATGCAGAAGCGAGTGCATTGTGACTTAGCTTAAAAAAAATGCCACAGAGGAAGCTAGAAACTGAAACCCACTGAGGCATGTCAATTTCGTCACCAGTCGCAGGGCCAACGGAGGCTGTTCTTCCTGGCCAGCTATCACAGAGAAGCCTGCATTCTGGGCCAGGGCTCTGCTGATTGCCTTCTTTTCTTTTCTTTTTCTTTCTTTTTTATTTATTTGAGGATGTGGTCAGCTTGGCTGATCTGCTCCGAATAATTCACACACACACACACACACTGTGTGTTCTTGGCTGGACTGTAACTCAGCGTCTCAGTCTCCATGGGATTGATCATTTGGGATCAAATCAGCCTTTGCTGAGGTCATGGTGGGGGTGGGAACTGTCGCTGCATCGCAGGATGGGTAGCAGCAGCATCCTCCATCCCCCATCTCCACCCAGCTCTCCTCCCAAGTCAATCAAAACCGCCGCCAGAGGACCTGAAGGGGGTTGTGGGTGGAGGTAGAGTATGCAGCCACTGCCACCCATCCTGCAATGCAGGGACAGGATTGGGTCTTGACCCAAGGACTGGGAGGTGGGCGTCCTTAGTGGCAGCTCAATTGCTGCACCCTATGGTTGGCCTGCCATTGCATCTGTTACAGTCCCACTGTCCACGTACTTGTATGAGAATTAATGAAAGCCACGCTTAGTACTGTCTTGTAACCATTCTCATAGCTTTGTGATGCTATCTTGTTGTGTTTACTTTTTTTCAAGACTGACTTATTTAGTTATTTATTTGAAAGACACGGTTATATAGAGAGACAGAAGTTGTCCATCCACAGATTGACTCTTCATTTGGCCACCACTGGGGCTAGACCCAGCCAAAGCCAGAGGCTGAGAATTCCATCCTGGTCTTGTGAGGCACAGTCCCAAGTACTTGGCTATCTTCTGCTGCTTCTCTAGGTACACTAGCAGGGAGCTGAATTGAAAATGGAAAATCCAGAACTCAAATGAGTACTCACATAGGACAGGTGGTGACTTAACTACTGTGCTATAACACTGGCCTCTCATTGTGTTTATTCTTAAATCCCTTTTATTGTGGTATAATCTATAAAATGTACTGTTTGATTGTGGCTGAACAGTTCATGTTCCAGTCTGCATGGAAGTTCTTGGACTGCTTTGCAATGAGTCCACTTTTGGGCTCTTGCCAGGATGGGCTCCATCATTTTTATGTTAACCCTATTTCTGACTTTTGTTTAGTGTAGCCACAGGACATGTGCTATTTTTTGCATCTGTCACCTTTGCCCACATCTTCCCCCCCCATTTTTAAAAAATATTTCCACTGATTTATTTGAAACAATGACAGAAAGATCTTCCACTCACTGATTCACTCCCCCAAATGGCCACAGCAGCCAGAGCTGAGCCGATCAGGAGCCAGGAGCCTCTTCCCAGTCTCTCATCTGGGTTCTTGGTCCCAAGGCTTTGAACCAGCCTCCATTGCTTTCCCAGGCCATAAGCACGAATCTGGATGGAAAGTGGAGTAGCCAGGACATGAAGCAGCACCCATATAGGATCCCAGCACTGCAGGCATAAAAGTAGCAATTAAGCCATTGTGATAGTCTGCAAATGAACCATTTTTTTAAGGACTTATTTATTTTTATTGGAAATTCAGATATACAGAGAGGAGAAGAAACAGAGAGGAAGATCTTCTGTCTGTTGATTCACTTCCCAAATGGCTACAACAGCTGGAGCTGAGCTTAATCTGAAGCCAGGAGCCAGGATGGATCTCCCATGTGGGTGCAGGGTCCCAAGACATTGGGATGCCCTCTACTACTTTCCTAGGCCACAATCAGGGAGCTAAATGGGAAGTGGGGCAATTGGGGAAAGAATTGGTGGATGGAAGATCTTTCTATGTCTTATTCTCTCTGTATTCTGCTTTTCCAGGAAAAAAAAAAATGTATACATGTATAAATGCTCACTCCCAAGTGACTGCAATGGCCAAAGCTGAGCCAATCTGAATCTAATAATTTCTTCCGGGTCCCCCATTTGAGTGCAGGGTCCCAAGGCTTTGGGTCATTTTAAGCTGCTTTCTTAAGCCACAAACTGGGAATTGGATGGGAAGTGGGGCAGCCAGGACATGAACCGGCATCCATTTGGGATCCCATTGCATGCAATATGAGGATTTTAGCTTTTAGGCTGCCATGTAGGACCCTGTGGGTAGTCTTACCTGGACAATTTTTTGTTTATTCGCTTAAGGTTTATTTATTTATTTGAAAGGCAGAATAACAGAGGGAGTTACTATCCACTGATTCACTTCCTGCATGGCTGCCACAGCTGGGTCTGTATAGACCCAATCAGGAGCCAGGAAGTCCATTTGGGTGCAGGGACCCTCTGACTTGGGCCATCTTCCACTTTTTTCCTAGGCACCGTAGCAAGGAGCTGGATCAGAAGTGGAATATTGGGACTCGAACTAGCAATCTGAAATGGCATGCTGGCATTGCAAGTGGTAGCTTGAGCTCCTGCAGCAAAATGCAGGCCCCTCCGACAGCTACTGTCACCACAGTCTGCTATCAGGATCCCATAGTCATGGCACTAATGCGTGGAAATTCTCCCTGTAAATTCTGCCCTCAGGGTCAATGTTGTGGGGTTTTCCTGACAACTCTTCAATACTGAACTAAGCAAGGTCCTTTGATCAGAGACTGAAATGCAGCCCTAGCCACCTGGAGTCCCTGCAGGCTTTATTTATTTTTTTTTGTTTAAATTACTAATCTTTAAGGCCAGCTTCCTCTCTTTCAACTAACATCTTTGTGAAGTTCATCACCATGGAACTTCCCAGATCCAGTTCATGGTGATATTAGCCATAACTTATAGGCAGACACCCAAGCAACAGTTGAGGACTGCAAGGTTTGCTTCCAAAGATAGCACAGCTCACATCTCCAATGAGAGGAGGAGTGAATGCATTTACATGCGCCAGAAGCTTAAAGCTACATTTCTCAAATGCCTGCACAAACCAGTGAACCGGAACTGGGAGGCGGCACTTCACGGATGCATTTAGCAGCAATGACCTTGTTCACCATTGTCCTTGGCCCATAGTTTTATGAGATCAGAGTATGACATTAGACTGGCAGGCGCAAGTCTGGCATGTGTGGAGCCTTTCCTTCCAATGGTGAAGATTCAACATGTGTGATACGCATTACAGAGCAGGCTGGCAAAGGGGACGAGGGCTAGCTCCAATACAAAACATGGTCCCAAGGCCTGTGTTGTGGCGCAGTGGGTTAACTCGCTGTGGCATCATGATGAGTCCAGGCTGCTCTGCTTCCTATCCACCTCCCTGCTGATGCATCTGGGAGAGCAACAGAAGTCGACTTAGTGCTTGTGTGGTTGCCACCCATGAGGCAAACCCTTGATGGAGTTGCTGGATCCTAGCTTAGTAAATTAAACCTCTACCTGTGGTGCCAGCATTCCATATGGGTATCTGTTCAAGTCCCAACTATTTTGCTTTAAATCCAGCTCCCTATTAATGCACATGAGAAGGCAACAAAGGATGGCCCAACGCTTTGGACCTCTGCACCAATGTGGGAGACCCCAGAGGAGGCTTCAAGCTCCTAGCTTTGGGTTGGCTCAGCTCTGGCCATTGCTGCCTTTCTATAGAGACAAACCTGCTTTCAGAATAAACATACTGAGCCCGGCATGATAGTGTAGCGGCTAAAGTCCTTGCCTTGAATGCTCCAGGATCCCAAAAGGTGCGCCAATTCTAATCCCGGCAGCCCCGCTTTCTATCCAGCTCTCTGCCTATGACCTGGGAAAACAGTTGAGGATGGCCTAAAGCTCTTGGCTTTGGATTGGCTTAGCTCTGGCCATTTGGGGAATGAGCCAGCGGAGAGAAGATGTTTCAAGAATCCATTCAAAACTGTAGATATCCTCTTAATACTCTCTAAATTGCAAACAATAGATGTTTTTTTCTTTTATACAGAACTTTGAGTTTACTCTTCTAATACCCATCCTTGGGAAATCTAAATTTCACTCTTCACTGTCCATTGTTCCAGAAAGCTTTACTGGTCCCCACCTCCTGGCTAAACTGTATTATCTTCTGGCTCTGATCATACTTGCTGTATAACTAAATCATTTACCTGACTTTATAGTCTGTCTTCTCACTGGGAAAGCAGGAATGGCAGTTATGATAGGTGTTCTTTGGGAAGCAAACAATAATGAGAATGTGAAACCGAAAAGGTTGGACTAACATTTTTTTCTCAGATTTATTTTTTTATTGGAAAGTCAGATATATACAGAGAGACATGAAATATCTTCCTTCTGCTGATTCACTCCCCAAGTAGCCTCAATGCCTATGCTGGGCCCTGGACTAACATCTTTAGAGGCATGCCAAGCAGCAAGGCTATGGGGCGTAGTCCAAGTGGGCTGTTAGCGGAAAGCAGGACTGACTCAGAGAAGGACCTGGGAAACCAACACAGAACAGTGGAGAAATGTACAGCCAGCCCAGGAAGCCCTGGGTAGCCTTAGGTGCCAAGGAGCTAGAGCTGGCAAGGGCAGCCTGGGCAAGGTACTCTTGTGAGCAGCCAGGGAATGGCAGGGAACGGCGCACCCTGACACTTCGCATCCTCACTGGCTGTTAGCAATGACCACAGATGTCGGCAGAGGGCAGGGGAGCTGCGATCTGAGGCTGCCATCCCTGTGGGCCAACAGCTGGCCAGGAAAGGACGCAGCATGTTTCTAGAAGCAAAACGGAAGACCCGCAAGCATGGCCTCTCCACCAGCGTATGCTGACATGTCAAGACCGGACTGAGGTGGTCCTGGTTCCAGGTGACGACAGGAAAGGTCTGTGAGATATACTGGAAAACCCAGAACTCATGTGGAGGAAATCGCATTTTTCATTTAGATTCATTAGGAATCCAGTAATTGGATTTTCTTAAAGCCACTCCTCCCCAAATCTTATGGTAACAAAACTTCTAATCATCTTGCTGAAATGCTAATAGGAAAGTTTGGAGTTTCTCATCAAATAAAAGAAATCAGGACAGAGTTCACATTGACATTTTTATTAACGCCAACTTTTTAAATTATTATTTTTTAAAACAACAGCACAAAAATGGTTCCGGGAAGCAACCTCACGATCTGATGACCCTCTGAAATACAGTCAAGCCACACCAAAGAGGAATTTCTGTTAATAACATACAGAACTTTTTTTGTTTGTTTTTAAGGAAAAATAAAAGGAAAAATGTAGGGAAAGGGGCAGGGCATGAGACTGAGTGTCCAAACCTGCTGGCTTAGATGGGTGAGGCTCGCTGGAGGGGACGCTGCGCAAGCAGAGGGGCACACATGGGCTCCGTGGCTGCGTTCTCAAAGAGGCTCCCAGCAGCGGCCTGCATTGCGCACGTGCAGGGGGCTTTCCGGAAGTAGCTCCCCAGTGAGCCTGTCCCATGGCAAGGTGCGCTGCGAGCTGAAAAAACAACTCCTTCGCAAAAGTCTGGCCGGAAAGCTATCTCTACTGTGTCATCTACATGTATTTCAGGGTTCTTAAGTCATTTTAAAAAAGAAAAAAAAATAATGTCTATCAGTTTCTCTTATGACTGTGGCTATGAGATGTTCTTTATTATTTCTGTAACTCTAAAGGAGGACATCATGGGTGGGGGTTGGAAGTGGAAGTAAGGGGAGGCAAAAACCCAGACCCGGGCAGAATAGGGTTTTTGTTTAACTTTAAAAAAAAAAATTTTTTTTTTTTGGTGGTTGGAGGAATTGGCTGGGGTGGGGGTGGGAGAGATGTCACACAGATGGGAAGGCAAAGAGGAGACAGCAATCCTTGGTTCAGATTGAGTTAAGCAGGAAAAGAAATCTTCCTGATCAGTTCCCCACGCCAAAAAGAAAACCACTCAGAGTTACGCAGACTCCCGCTATGTGACACCGGCTGCTGGCCTTTTACACTGACCGTCCCCAGCAGTGGACACTGCCCTTGACTGGCAGCCCGCATGTGGGACCCACCTCGCGACAGTCCTCCTCAGCCAGAAGCCTCAGCTTTCCTCCTGGTTGGTTCTTAGAACACAACATCTGCCATTAACAGGAGAGTGTTAAATACTTTTCATCACTGACAAGGCTTCAGGAAGTTCACAGTTTCGTTATGCTCTATTTTATTACTATCATATTTACATTTTAAATTTTATATATATATTTTTTTTGCTGAATTGCTGATTTTCCTTTTTCAATAGAATTTAATTCTGGAGTGTGAGCAGGAACCAGTTAACTACATTCATTGTCCAACCCCCACTGGTTTGGAAGAAGACTCCGAATTCTTGGCATGTGATCCAGCTGTCGGGTCGCTCCCCCTGCAGCGTGCAGCAGAGGCGTGGTGGGGACGAGACAGGCTCGGGGCTCACACTGCGGGCGGCGAAGCCTTCCGCTGAACGAGGTACTGGTGGATGCTCTCGGCGTCTCGCTTGAGCCAAGCAGCATTCAGCAGGATGTTCTCACAGCACTGCTGGATGGTGCGCTCGGCCGAAGGAGCCGGGTGGCTCTCAAAGAAAGCCTGGGACGCAACAACCCAGCATACAGATTCATTAGTGGTGACAGAAATGGATATCCTTGTTACAAGGGAAAAGCAGCAGCAGCAACAACAACAACAACCCCCCACTAAAAAAACCCCCCATGCCTACTGCTCTGCAGGAAGGCTTACATTGGTCTACAAAATCTACCACTGCCACCTTCAGCCTAAAAGGAAGCAAGCAAGGCCTTCTCTGGAGCTGTATAAAGAAACTGGGGTGAGGAGATTGTGTGGAGAAATCCCAGTCTCTATGAAATTGTACCATAAAATTCAAAAATTCAAAATAAAAATTTAACAGAAAAACAAACAAAAAACCCACCAAAAACAAAAAAGAAAACAAAACAAACCAAAACTCTGCCCTGATTTTCAAATGTTATGCTTACAATTCAGTCCAGCCAGCAGCAGAGACCGCTAAGCCTTTACCTGCAATGTTGGCATCCCACAGTGGAGCCATTTCGAGTACTAGCTGCTACGTTTTCAAGCCATCTCCCTGCTGAATGTGTCTGGGAAAGCAGCAGACAGAGTATTACTCAAGTCCTTGACCCCTGCACCCATGTGGGAAAGCAGGAAGAAGCTCCTGGCTTCGGATCAGTTCAACTCCAGCCATTGCAACCATTTGGGGCAGTAAACCAGTGGATGGAAGATCTCTCTTTGTCTCTTCTTCCCTTTCTGTAACTCTACCTCTCAAATAAAAATCTCTTCCCTGTTCCAAATTATTCTCCAAATTACAGCCAGACTAGTGAATAGTGACACAAGTACAATCAGGTTTCTCCTTTCTTCATCAACCATGGGCACACTTTGCATTCGGAGGCAGTCCTTCACCTGGCCTGCAAGGTCCTGCCTGGCTGATGCCCTTAATTTCTGCTTCATAGTACTTACTACATGTGTAATAAAAATATGTGACCACATCATACACAACATAAATGAAGGCAGAAATCACTTCTCACTGTTTACTCAAGATCTGAAATCTCAAAAACAAAACAAAACGAAACAAAACAAAACAAAACAAAACCCAAACCTATTCCTAACATCTCACAGAGTGAACCAAATTATGTTATAGACATCAGAACTTATCAGTTCACTCCTGATAACCTCTTTGTCTTTGAATGAAAGTGAAAGGCTGCCAGTGTTGTGGCATTTCAGGTAAAGCTGCCACCAATAAGGCTGCTCCCCATTAACGGTCTGGGAAAGCAGCAGAGGGTACCCACTTTGGTCCAGCCCTGGCTATCACAACATGTGGGGAGGAAGCCAGAAGAAGGAAGCCTCCTACTTCAGTAACCAAATGGCAAAAATGGCTGGGGCTAGGTCAGGCTGAAGCCAGGAGCTGGGAGCTTCCTCCAGATCTTCCACATTGGGGCAAGGGTCCAAGCACTTGGCTCATCTGCTGCTGCTTTCCCAGGCCACTAGCAGAGAGCAAGATCAGAAGTGGAGGAGCCTGGACTTGAACTGGTGCCTCTGGGGGATGCCAGCACTGCAGGTGTCTTCTGCATCACAGCACTGGTCCCAGAGTCTTACATTCTTTCAACTAGATGTCCTCAGAGATGATTCCAATTCTAATTTCTTCAGACATTAAAAATATAACTTAAGCTTTCTCTAAACAAAAGCAAAGAGATCCCAAAGTATAATATCTGAACATTCAAAGGTAACAAACATGTATCTTTACTTAAAACACTGAAAAGCACTTACCTTAACCTCTCCAGCCATTTTATCAACTGCGAATCCCTCAACTGATAGCTGAAAAAAGCAAATTATTTTAGTGAAAATAAAATAATTTGAGGAAGAACTTTCCATTACCCTAAGAACCAATCCTTCTATTCTCTCCCAACTTCAGAAAGTATGAGATGGGGAATGGGGAACTCCTTAAAGTCAGTAACTAAGGACCATAACCCACGGGTCTGACGAGCTATAGGTGTTCCTGCATGTCACTCACGACTAGTCACATAAAGTGCTCACATACTTTTATTAGTCTGGATATTAAGAATCCTCCCTGGTATCGATTATAAAGTTCTTCCCAGTTGTCCTTGATGAACTTCCAAGCAGCTTTCCTTCCATGCTTGCTGCCTCCAGCTACTCCACCAATCACCGAGACTGTGTCCTGTGGACGTACCTCTTCCTATACAGAGAATCAACAGTAAAACATCCAACACACTACTGAGAACCTCAAGTAAGCACACTGAAGACAGACATTTTTTGTTTTAGCAATTAACTGGCACCAGAAGTTTCTAGCCCTGAGGCTCCGAGACAGGTACAAACCAACAGGCTGCTCCTGGGAGAGGTGCTTGGGATCTCACAGGGTGAAGAAAGGAAGAGCATAAAGCAGGCGAAGGGTAAGGCTGGCCCAGGTTCCTGGAATCCCTGTCCTCCGGGCTGCCATTCTACAGGAAGAGGATTTCTGCTCCCAACCATTCTAACACTACCACTAGTGGGAGACACCGGGAGTCAGGACTAGGCTCACAGCCATCTTCCAGCAAGAGAATTCCTTGGTCCAAGGTTAAGGAAGATCAGACACAATTCCCTCTAAGAGAAGTTTTCCTGAAACTTACTGAAAGTGCAAATGTGAGGACTTTTTGAATCAGATCAGGCAAAAGAGTAGCCCCAAGAACTCTTTCAATTCGGTTTTTCTCTTCTTGCATATCTGCTTGCTTATGAAGCTATGGTGAAAAAATAGAGATGGTTAACATTCCCTTGGAAATTCTGCATTTGCACCTATAAGCTTTTACCCCAAGTTGGAAATATTTTTGCTCTGCTTCCCACCGTTAAGACTGGAAAATATTAACAAATAATATTTTTTCACAAACTTGGACATCACATTTGTCAATTTCTTTGATAGGAAGAACAGCCTTAGATTGAACTGCCCAGTAAATGGATACTTTGTCCTCAGTTCTGAGGCTTTAACACCACGATCTAAGGGAAATCTTCCACAGCCAGATTTTTTCATACCACTATTAATGGGCTAATGCTCTGGGTTAGACACACAAGCAAAAATATATATGATAACATTTATAGCATTAGATACAATCAAGAATTGGCTAATCCTCCCCTTGCAAGAACCAGGATCCCATATAGGCGATGGTACATGTTCTAGTCACTCCACTTCCCATTCATCTCCCTGCCTGTGGCCTGGTAAAGCAGTCGAGGATGGCCGAAAGCTTTGGGACCCTGCACCTGTGTGGGAGACCTGGAAGAAGCTCCTGACTCCTGACTTCAGACTGACTCAGCTCTGGCTGTTGTGACCACGTGGGGAGTGAACCAGTAGATTGGAAGATCTTCCTCTCTGTATCTCCTCCTCTATATATTTGCCTTTCCAATAAAAATCAATTATATATATGACTATATACATATATCTATATATCTACATTTCTATATCTATAAAGCCTTGGGACCCTGCACCCGCATGGGAGACCTAAAAGAGGTTCCTGGTTCCTGGCTCCGGACTGGCACAGCACCAGCCGTTGCGGACATTTGGGGAGTGAATCATTGGATGGAAGATCCTCCTCTCTGTCTCTCCTCCTGTCTGTATATCTGACTTTGTAATAAAAATAAATAAATCTTTAAAAAAAAGGCTCATTTTTTTTCTTTTTTGTAAAAGATTTATTTATTTTTATTGGAAAGGCAAATACACAGAAAGAAACTGCTTTTGCAAGCCATAGGCAGGGAGCTGCATGGGAAGTGAAGTAACCAGGATTAGAACTAGTACCCATATGGGATCCCGACATGTTCAAGGCAAGGACTTTAGCCACTAGACTACTGTGCTGGGACCTCAAAAGGCTAAGTCTCCATGTTCAAGTACCAGGATCCCAAATGGGTGCTGGTTCATATTCTGACTGCTCCACTTCTGATCCAGCCACTGCTTATGGCTTACGAGAGCGCGGGGGATGGCTCAAAATCTTGGGTCTCTGCACCCATGTGGGAGACCCAGAGGGAGATCCTGGCTTCAGATCAGTTCAGCTCCAGGCATTGCAGCCATTTGGGTAGTGAATCAGCAGATAGAAGATTTTTCTCTTTCTGCCTCTCCTTTTCTTTTTAAGTCTACCTTTCAAATAAAAAGAGTAAATTAAAAAAAAAATGGATCTTCAAAAAGCACAGAAAGGTATGAGAAAACTTATATATGGATTTCAATAAATAAATTTATCACTCATTTACTTGAAAGGTAAAAGAAACAGCTGGTGTCCACTAATTTACCCCGAAATGACTAGAAATGGTATAGGCTAAAGCTAGGGTTGAGGGCACAGTTCAGGTCTCTCATGTGATGACATGAATTCAAATTAATTTTGCCACCATCTGCTTACCTCCCAGGGTCTGAATCGGCAGGGTGGGTCTAGAGTTAAAACTAGAACTGGGTATTGGATTCAGGCACTCTGATGGGGTATAGATGTCTTACTGTCAGCCCCTTAAATTCATCATTTAATTCTATTTAAAAAAAAAAATTATTTTTGGGCCAGTGTTGTGGCACAGTAGGTTGAGCTGCTGCCTGTGATGCCAGCATTACATAGGCATAATGGCTCAAGTCCTGGCTGTTCCATTTTCAACCTATTTGCCTGCCAATGCACTTGTGGGAAACGCAGCAGCAAACGGCCAAAGAACTCGAGTCCCGTCACCGACCGAGCAGGTGTGATAGAATTCCAGGCTTGCAGGTATAGTCTAGCCAGACCCCTGGCAGTATGGCCAGAGAATGAATCAGCAAATGGAATATTTCCCTACTCAACCACATAATTCTGCTTTTCAAATAAATGAATAAAACTTAAAAAAGAAAGTCAATGTTGTTTTTTTTAAAGCTTCTTGTATCAGCAGGAAGCAAGAGCAGGAACTGAAGCTGAACCTCAAATTCAGGTCCTCTGGTAAGAGATGCAGGTATTCCTAACTACACCAAAACATTATCCCCCAACTACAGGGGCTGGCACAGTGGGTTAGCTTTTGTTGCCAAGGCTGGCATCCCCTTGGGTGCTGGTCTGAGTCCTGACTATGCTATGTATGGGACAGTAGAAGATGGCCCAAGTGCTTCGGTCCCAGATTCCACCCGGGAGGCCCAGATGGAGCTGCAGGCTCCTTGCTTCTGTTTGGCCCAGCCGCAGCTGCTACAGCTCTTTGGGGAATGAGCTAGTAGAAGGAAGCACTCTAATTAAAACAAAACAACAACAACAAAAACTCCCACAAGATCAAATTCAAATATGACAATTTGACTTATAGACTCTTCTGACCTGTTCTTAGGATTTTACACTGAACAGTCTAGAGATCCACTATAGCTCCAGTTTCTTCTCCTCTCCTTTGGGCTTTGTTGAACAACTTCATGGCAAAATAAATAGGAAGTCAGGAGTCATGGATACTATTGTCAGCTTTGGTTCTAAGTAGCTGCATGATCTAGACCTTGTCCTTATCTTAAGAGTCTGGTATCCTCTTCCTTTGTTCGTTCCAAGGAGCACCTGCTCTACTATTCCAGCAGGTGGCACTACAATCTCACCCTGCAAACAGGACTGTTCGCTGTGCTGCTGCTTATTCCCAAATTACCAACAGAAAACAAGCTTCCTCATTCTCACCTCAAGGTCCCTTGAAGAACCTAACTGCCTCCAACACAGCTCTTGCCCTAATAAGGCTGATTACCTCCCCCAACTTCTATGGTAAATTTCAAGAAACAAAAATCTCTAGGTATTCCTTTATTTTCAGTACCCCGTTTCTCCCCATACTTGCATGAAATAAAGTAAATAATACATAAATCATCCCATTTCATACACATGATATAGTGCACAAGTTCACAGACCGAGAGGGATCTCAATGTTGAGATGAAAGGCAAACTATTCACAAAACAAGGTATATATGATTAGAAAAAAATGCCATGTACAACATGGGAAATGTACTACATTCTGAAGTAGTTTCTTCCTCCTTTCTTTTCCTTCTCTCTCATCTACCATTTGAAAGGAGGAGCAAAAGAAAGCTTCTATTTAATAGTTCACTTCCCAAAGTCCTCTACAGCAAGGGCTGAGCCAAGAAAACAGTCAGCAGCCTGGAATTCTATTTAGGTCTCCCACGTGAGGTGGCAGGGACAAGTACCTGGGCCATCTGTCCACCGCCCAGGACGCACGTTAGCAGTAAGCTGCATCAGAAGCGCATTTGCTGGGACCTGAACCAGACACACTCAGATATGATATGCAGGTGGCCCCAATGAGGACCTAACCAGCAGGCCAAGTGTCTGCCTGAGGTATAGTTTATTTAACAGGAATTTATAATACAGCTCGCAGGGACCTTAGTGGCTAAATCCTTGTCTTGCATGTGCCAGGATAGCATATGGACACCTGTTTCTGTCGCGGTTGTTCCACTTCCTATCCAACTTTCTCCTTGTGGCCTGGGAAAGCAGCCAAGGACAGCCCAAAGCCTTGGGACCCTGCACCTACATGGGAGACCCGAAAGAAGGTCCTGGCTGTTGATCGGCTCAGTTCTGGCTGCTGTAGCCACTTGGGGAGTGAACCAGTGGACGAAAAATCTTCCTCTCTGTCTCTTCCTTTCTCTGTAGATCTGCTTTTTCAATAAAAATAAATAAACCTTATTTAAAAAAAAATTTTTTTTTAAAAAAGGATACAAAGTTCAACTCTGAGTTCATCCAACTTTCAAGAGAAGGAAATTAGCAGAGGTATTATAGTGCAGCCAGTTGCACTGCCACTTGGGACAGCCATGTTCTACAGTGGTGCCTGGGATAGGTCCTGCCTCTACTTCTAATCCAACTTCCTGAGAACACAAAATCTCCTGAGAGGCACCAGGTAACAGCATAAGCACGTGGCTGCCTGCCACACATCCAGGGAGAGCTGGATGGAAGTTCTGGATTCTGGCTCTGGCTGGAGAAACATCAGCCTTGGCAGGCTTTCGGGGAGTACCAGAGGATACAGATTTCTCTGACACTCTGTCTTGCATATAAATAAAACTCAAAAATGACTGATTTGGTAATTGATTTGTAAGATAAGAGTGACAGAAAAAGAGGAAGACGTTCTATTGCCTGGTTCATTCCCCAAATGGCTATAAAAGTCAAAGCCAAGAGCCTAGAATTCTATCCGGGTCTGCCACATGGTGGGAAAGGCTAAAGTACTTTGGTTCTCAGGTTCCTTCTCAGCCTTATTGGCAGTATGGCACATTGGAGGTGGAGCAACTAGGACATGAACTAGCACTGTTATGGGTACCTGTGGGGAAGGGAGTGGATTAACACACTGTGCCATTATACTATCCCTAAAATAAATTTATTTATTTTAAATTTTTTATTGGAAAGCCAGATATGCAGAGAGGACTAAAGACAGAGAGGAAGATCTTCCGTCCATTGATTCACTCCCCAAGTAGCCACAACAGCCGGAGCTGTGCTGGATCTGAAGCCAGGAGCTTGGAGCTTCTTCCAGGTCTCCTATGCAGGTGCAGGTTTTCAAGGCCTTGGGCCATCCTCGACTGCTTTTCCAGACCACAATCAGGGAGCTGAATGAGAAGCAGGGCTGTCAGGATTAGAACCGGCACCCATATGGGATCCTGATGCGTGCAAGGCAAAGACTTTAGCTGCAAGGCTACCACGCCAGGTCCAGAAATAGGTTTTCTTCTTCTTTCTTTTTCTTCATTTATTTTATTTGAAAGGCAAATTTATAGAGAAGGAGAAACAGAAAGGTCTCTCTGCTGGTTTTCTCACCAAACGGTTGCAATGGTCAGAGCTGAGCTGATGTGAACCTGGGAGTCAGGAGCATCTTGTGGGTCTTCCACATGTGTGCAGGGTCCCAAGGCTTTGGCCCATCCTCAACTGCTTACCCAGGCCAGAAGCGGGAGCTGGATAGGAAGTGGAGCAGATGGGACACGAAGTGGCAGGCATATGGGATTCCAGAGCATGTAAGAGGAGGATTTAGCCACTAAGCCATCATGCTGGGCTATCATGCCAGGCCCTATAATAAAAAAATTTTTTAAATGAGAAGGAAGGAGCCAGCCTTATGGCACAGCATATTAAGCTGCAGTTATATCACATGGGTACTAGTTCTAATCTCAGCTACTCTGCTTCTAATCTAGCTCTCTGAAGCTCCTGGCTCTTGGCTTCAGCCTGGCTGGCCCCAACTGCTGCAACTGTTTAGAATGCCAATCAGAAGAAGGATGGAGATATTTTCCATTTTCTTTAACACTTTCTTTCAAATAAATAATAAATCCTTAAAAGGAGAAAGAGAGCCCAGCACGGTAGCCTAGTGGCAAGAGCCCTTGCCTTGCAGGCATCAGGATCCCTTTTGGGCACTGGTTCTAATTCTAGCAGCCCCACTTCCCATCTAGCTCCTGCCTTGTGCCCTGGGAAAACAGTTGAGGACAGGCCAAAGCCCTGGGACCCTGCAGCAGTGTGGAAGATCTGGAAGAAGTTCCTGGCTCCTGGCTTTGGGTCAGCTCTGCTCAGTTCTGACTGCTGCAGTCACACGGAGAGTGAACCAGCGGATTGGAAGATCTTTCTCTTTGTTTTAACTTCTCTCTGTAAATCTGACTTCCCAAGAAAAATAAATCTTAAAAAAGAAAGTGAGAGAAGAAGAAACTTTTTCAAATAATACGGTACTTCAAAAAATTCATAGTGGAATGAAAGCACAGGCTTATTTTGGAGCAAATTTTTTTAAACCGAGGCTTATTCACATACTCACCTTTAGCATAATATCTAAGGTAGTGCCATCACCATGCTTCAAAACAGTCAGATAAACCTACAAGAGAATAGAGAACAAAATGGTCATTTGATAAAATACATCTTGTTCCAATTTGAGTTCTAGCCTTTCTACTTCCTACACATCTCCCTGCTAAGGTGTCTGGGGAAGCAGATGAACATGGCCCAGGAACTTAGGCCCTTGCCAAATACAAACAAGACCTGTATGCAGGGGACTGGTGCCGTGGCCTAGGGGATAAAGCCCTTGTCTTGAACGCGCTGGTTCTAATCCTGGCAGCCCCGCTTCCCATCAAGCTCTCTGCTTGTGGCCTGGGAAAGCAGTTGAGAACGGCCCAAGGCCTTGGGACCATGCACCTGCATGAAAGACCTGGAAGAGCATCTGGGCTTCTGGCTTCGGACTGGTGCAGCACTGGCCATTACGGCAGCTTGGGGAGTGAATCATCAGATGGAAGATATTTCACTCTGTCTCTCCTCCACTCTGTATATCTGACTTTGCAATAAAAATAAATACATCTTTAAAAAAAAAAAACTGTATGTAGTCAAAGATTACTGGCTTTGGCCTGTCCCAACCCTGGATGTTGTGACAATATGGGGAATGAACCAGCAGATGAAAGATCTCTGTCTCTTCCCCATCTAATGCCCCTATAACTCTGCTTTTCAAGGATCTGGTGTGGTGGTTCAACAAATTAAGTATCAGTCTGCTAGTACCAGTATCCTGGCTGCTCCACATCCCATCCAGCTCTCTGCTTATGGGAAAGCATAAGCTGAGGATGGCCTAAGTCCTTGGGACCCTGTATCAACATGGGAGACCCGGAGGAAGTTCCTAGCTCCTGGCATAAAAATTGGCTCGGCTTGGCTCTGGCCATTTTGGCCATTTTGAACCAGCTGACAGAAGACGTTCAGCTTTCTGCTGCTGCTGCTGCATTTGAGAAGGAGCAGGATGATCCAAGGACCTGCACCTCTGATACCCATGAGAGAGACCAGCATAGTTTCAAGCTTGGGACTTTGCCCTGGTCCAGACACAACCAACATGGCCATTTGGGGAGTAAAAGAACAGACAGAAAATCTCCCCATCTCTCCCTTGTACTCCAATGCTCTCTTTGAAACAAATACACGAAAGATGCCAATAAAAGATATCACGTGTTAAATGCAACAAATTATGACACAGAACTAACCATCCTGTGTACAACCACAACTGCTATATCCGCTGGCAAGTGACGGAGTACAGCACACAGTTCTTTCAGGGCAATGTGCACAGCCAATCGCTGTTTACTATCACAGTGCTAAGAAACTTCAATCAAATGAGGGGATGGTTTGTGGGTCAGTTCGTAGGTCAATTTTAGCAACTATATTAAAAGTTCTAACTTTACAGAATGGTGCAGCCATTAGAAAACATGGAATTTATTATGAAAACCTACAGGACTCCGCAGATCAGCGGAGAGAATCTGTTTTCCCTCGACATGGTCCTTAAACCGACGACGGGCTTCTTCCAGTGTTGCCTTATGTCCTGCTTTTCCTAGTTTGCCCAGAACCAACCCCCGCAGGAGTGCATCCAGATGACCTGTGAGAGAAGTAAAAGACACAGAACTGTTTTAAGAACCTATTTTTATAAATTAACCTCCTGTACATCTTATAGCTATGGTTTAGCGTTCTCTATGGTCCTGAAGTATTACTTACTTTAGTATCTGAGAGCAAATGATCGAAATTTATTATCAACTCCTGAGTGAAATGAAGTGCTAAACAGACTAATCCAGCAAATAATTTCTTTTGTGTACAATCAGAAATGCTTTCTCAATTTAAATCTTTATTCGTGGTCATTGTTCACTCCACTAAAAATGATGTGATGAGAAGCTAGCTCATGCAGCTTTGACCCCATAATCACATGCTCTCTATACAGTAAACTGAAATTCCAAATTTTTTAAATCAAAATCTGATGAAGGGATTCCTCCAAAGAATGAAACAGCCAGCACATAAGAAGATGTACAATATCATTAGTCATTAGAGAAATGCAGAGCAAAACCACAATGAGATACACGACTTCACATTCACTTAGATCACTGTAATTAAAAAGACAGTATCAAGTGTTGGCAAGGGTGTAGAGAAACTGGAATACTTAATTACTCGTAAGAAAGTTAAATAATGCAGCCATTTACAAAAGAGTCAAATGGTTAAACAGCAATTTCACTCCTGGGTATGTATGCCCAAGAGAGTGTGAAGCGCATACCTACACTGTACCTCAATAGTCACAGCAGAATTCCTCATAGTGAAAAAGTGGAACCAATTCAAACATTACCAAAACGTGCCACAGCCACGCAATGGAATACTGTTACACTGTTACACAATAAAAAGGAATGAAATATTACCATCTGCTGTAACTCAGATGAACTCTGAAGACACGCTAAGTGAAAGAAACCAGGCTACGCATTGCATGACTCTGCTTATATGAAACACCCAGAATAAGCAAACCCAGGAGATGGAGAGATTAGTGGCTCCTAGGGAACAGGAGCGACTACTAATGAGTACTGGGTTTCTTTTAAGGGCAAATAAATTGTGCTAGAAATAGACAGTGGTGATGGGTTACACACACAACTTTGTGAACAAAGTAAAAACCTTGAATTATGGACTTTAAAAAATAACTATAAATCTTATGGTGATTTACATCTAAAAACAATTAGAGAAATCTGATTGACTGCTACAGTGCAATGCACAAATAAAATGTAGTAAACTTCCATAACGAAATGTGCCTGGGAAGGCTGTGGAAGATTGCCTAAGTGCCTGGGCCCCTGTCAATCATGCAGGAGATCAGGAGGAAGCTCCTGGCTCCTGATTTCAGTCTGTCATAGCTCTGGTCATTGTAGTCATTCGGGGGCATGAACCACCTGGTGGAAGATTTGTCTCTCCTTCTTTCTCAGTAACTCTGCGTTTCAAATATCTAAATCTTAAGAAAACAAAGGAAAAACAGCAATAGAAATGAATTCACAAACTAAATGTAGTTCGACAACATTACGCCTAGTGAGAAAAGCCAAATGTAAGAACAGAACACAAAGCATATGATTTTATTTATACAAAGTACAAAACCTCTGACTTGAGTCTTTCTTCCAGTTATCTAAAGTCTGCCTTCTTTTCAGCATTTTCTTTTTAGCAACTCGTTTTAAACAGTGGTTTAAATGTCGTCTCAATTTCCCCTCCTTTCCTTTTCTGGTGCCGTCCACCACCACTCCCTAAATCTTGCTAAGGCAACAGTCAATCGTTCTCATTGACTTACAGCACCATCTGATGCAGCTCATCACTCTGCCTTGAAAATACTATTTCTTTTTAATTTTCATCTATATACTTGAGAAGCAGAGAGAGAAAATAAAGAGATAAGATATAGAAAAACAAAAACAAAACAACCCCACCCCCCCAACAAACTTCTATGTATTGATTAATTCCCCAAAGGCCTGCAACAGTCAAGGCCAGCTGGCCAAAGTCCAAAGAGCCAACCCTCTTCTCCCCAGCTGGTAGCAGGGACATGAGCACCAAAGCCGCTGCCTCCTGGGAAGCTGGAGCTGGAACTAACACAACCCTGGATTGGGACGCAGACATCTTTTACCTGTTGATGTACACACTAGGCTAAAAGTCTAACCCCTAAAATACTGTTTCTGAAAGACCTGGGACACCCTCCCTGTCCGATCCTAGGACCCTGTCCTCAGTTTTCTTTCATACCAGTCCTCAGGGGATCTCATTGACTTCATGGCTGGATCTACACACTCGTGACTCCCAACGCATGTGGTCAGTCTGGACTCTCAGCTGTGATACTCTCCACCCATATGTCTACACGACCTCAGACTTGATATGCTCAGAACCAAAGCATTGATTTTCTTTTGCAACCAAATCTGCTTTACAGCAGTTTTCTCTGTTTACATGGCAGCTCAATTCTTCCAGTTCTGTGCGCCAAAATGTGATGACTGCTTTCTATACACCACACAGCCAGTCCTGCGAAGTTTCAGTTCTACCTTCAACACCAACAGTGCAGAGGCTCTGCTTCCCATGCCTCTCTTCACTTTATTTATTCCAATCTGACCTCATCAGCCATTGTTATTCCTGCAACACTCAAGCAGGCCTCAGGACTTTTACACTTCCCCTCCCCATTCCTCCTCACAGTTTTCTCTTCGGCTCTGATGATGCTCAAATAACCCTGGCTAGTAACTGTTCTCCAGCTTTATTTTTCTTCTTGATATCTGCTGCTACCCAGAATGTTGCATATTAATTAGCTGTGTCTCCTACAGAGTATAGCCCACACGACAGAATGCGTTGCTAGCTGCCAACTCTGTCCCAGTTGCTAGAAGAGTGTCTGGCATACGCTAATGGCTTCAAAATTTGCTTAATCAATGAAAGAAAGACACAAAACTCTAGGTGTATGAGAGCCTATGGCTCTCATTTCAAAAAACTCCCAAATCAGGACTACAAATAGAAGGAAATGCTACCTTTAATTATTAGTAGATAGTGGAAAATAATTATGTTCAAAGCATCATTGCCAAATTTTAAATGACAGTAAAAAGAATTAATATGATTATAGTATTAATCATGGAGAGAATGCATGTCAAAAGCAAGTGACATTGAAAGAGAGCTGGGCCCATGTCTCCTAGAACCTTTAAAAGCGGTACACACGTGTCTCTTATTTATGGTAACAATACATAATAAAATCCAACATTTCTGTAGGCCTTTGCTGACTCAAAATGGGCCTTTAGAAGTCTGTCAAAGGATTTCATTTCCATCACTGTGCACAAGTCACATTTAGCAATGAACATGCATTACAGTGCCTATGCTGCTACTAAACCACCTCATTTCACTGTCTATTCTGCTTAGCTGAACATACAGTAACATCCAGTAGATACAGAGATGATACTAATGATACTGTTAACTTCCCACTGTTCTTTCCCCATGCATTGTAGTCATTACCTTCTCCAGGTTTGGGGTCCCAGCCCAGTCGCTCCCCTATAGGTGAAAAGACATCTTTCACAAACTCCTGGATTTCCTCATAGAAGTCTGTGTGGGACAAGAGAGTTGAGAGAATCCCCAGGTTACAGCTCAGGTCGCTCCATACAGTATAATTGGGCTCATTCACAAAAGCCTCCATGACTTTTAGAACCTCTACAGTGCTAATGATTCCAGCTCGAGCCTGGGATAGGAAAAAACATAAATTAACCTTGTCTTCAAACAAAACGAAAAAAAAAACAAAACAAAACCATAAACATTTTGGCATTGTCTATTGCTAGTAACCTTTGCTTTAAGGAATTAAGACTGTACATGCTCAGAATAATGTGGATTAAAAAACGCTATTTAGACAACATTCTTGATTTACTACTTTCTTGCTCTTTATAATAAAAAACTACTTAAAACACAATTACAGGAAAATACCACAATTAGGAAAAACAATAACAAATCAGCTTAACTTCCTATTTCTATTCAGTTTCAGGGGCCAAGGTTTTGTTTTTTGTGTTGAAAATTTTCAAGCTTCCAGAAAAGTTACAAAACTAGTTGGGGCTCCAGTTTCTGACAGGAGTTCTTTCAAAACTGGAATTGCAAATGGTGTCAGCTTAAGCTTCTCCTTTACTTCTTTCCAAATGAACACAGACTGAATGAAAGGCACTGCCAATTCGGAGTCCTTTCAGCACTGACAGCTCAGAGAAAGGACTTTGGTCACAGCGGCCAACAGCACAGACTGTCTTTCCTGAGACGGCCTGCCCGCAATGAGATCAGCAGAGGTGAGGACTGCTGCCTCAGTACTAATCAGTGATTATACAAAAGTGGAATCTAAAACCTGTGACTACACAGAGGAGGGAGAATTTCAAGTACAATTTAAAGAAATACCAGAAAGAATATCACAGTTAAAGATGTCCAGGGCCAGCATCCAAAACAGGCACAAATTACAGCCCTGGCTACTCCATTTTGCACCCAGCTGCCTACTAATGTGCCTGGGAGAGTGAAGGAGGATGGCACAAGTATTTGGGCCCGTGCACCAACGGGGGAGACGAGGATGAAGCTCCTAGCTAGGAACAGCCCTGGCTGCTGGAGAGTAAACCCACAGATGGAAGATTTCTCCCTCTGTCTGTCCTTTCTCTGTAACTCTGTCTTTCAAATAAATAGTCTTAAAACACAAACAAAAAAGACATCCAGAAGATACTTATGTTGCCACTATAAAGACAACACTACCACCTGCTGCTTTGAAAAAGCCAAATACAAATGTAACTGTAAAGCCAATGAGATAAAATCTGCATAAAAATGTCTAAAAGAAAATTCTACCTTTCTGAGCAAAGTACAATCACTACCTTAGAAAAACAAAATCGTTCTAAATGAATAAAAAATATTCAGTCTGGAAAGTTCTTCAAAGCTCACATCTATTGCTGCTTAGCATACACAACAGTTTAAATAAGGAAGGTAGCAAATGGAATTTGCTTCTGATACATTATATAACTTAATTTATAATGCTAAATTAATATTTGTTGTTCTAGTCACAAAAGTGTGTAACCTTGAAGAAGAATCATATTCTAATTATGTTTCAGATACTCCGGGAAAAACAAAACCCTGCAATCAACAAAATCCATTGTACTAGATAAAAGAGAGATTCTCACCAAGGAGAAGAGGTCATTTTGCAATCCAAGTCGATCCACAGGGGGCAGAGAAAGGTCACGAATGCCTGGTAATAAACTTTCCAGCATAGCAGAGCTGTACTGGGTCCGATAAAACCCAACTGTTCCCAGGTTTAACTGAAAAGATAGCCAAAGATACTGTTAAGCAGTTCCATTTGTTTTTTAAAATCAACTCTTCCTTTACGTAAAAGGAATTCTGGCTTTGATGAGGCATGCGTTGGAGAGAGAAACAACAAAGTTCATATATGTTAAATGAAAGAATCAAAACAAAAGAGCACATAAAGAATCAGTTCACAGAAATGAACAGAGGCAAAAGAAATGAGAAACTTGAAATGCAGGGGGGGAGCGGGGTGGGGCGGGCCAAGTGACAGTAAAAGGGAAATGACAAGGAGAGAAAAAATAAGGTAGATATGCTTTTATTTTTAATCTCAATGGTCAGTTTCAGGTTAAAAAAATAATTAATGTTTATAGAACAATTCAACAGTGGAATCTTTGAGAATGACTACATCCTTACAAAGACTGATCTACCACACTGGACTCCTTAGCAGAATAACAACTTCAGTTCCTAAATTTTAAAGAATTTTAAAGAATGTGGACCTAAAAGACAACTTCACTTATTTGGATAATTAATTCCTACAGCCCATTTACCAACGGTCAAAAATAATCTTTGAAAATATTTACATGCACATAGTTTAGTGGGAAAATAGCTACATCTGTAGTTTGCTATTTATATAGAAATTCTTAAAAATAATTATTTAATTTGAAAGGCAGGGCCATTAGGACAAAGCTGGTTGATTTTCCAAAGGGCCACAGTAGCCAGGTCCAGCCACGGCTAAAATCACCAGTCAGATACTCCCTGGGGTCTCCGACATGACCACCAGGGTCCCAAGTCCTCGCCTTGTTCTTGCCAAGTCCTAGCGGCTAAAGTTCTTGCCTTGAACAGGTCGGCATTCCATATGGGCTCTGGTTCTAATCCTGGCAGCCCCTGCTTCCCATGCTTCCTGCTTGTGGCCAGGGAAAGCAGTCGAGGACTGCCCAAAGCCTTGGGGCCCTGCACCTCCATGGGAGACCTTGTAGAGGTTCTGGGCTCCTGGCATTGGTTTGGCTCAGCTCTGGCTGTTGCGGCCACTCGGGGAGTAAACCAGTGGATGGAAGATCTTTCTGTCTGTCTCTCCTTTTCTCTGTAAATCTGCCTTTCCAATGAAAATAAATAAGTCTGGAAAAAAAAAAGTCCAAACCCAAAACCAAATCAGTCATCCCTGAAAAACACTCTGTAAGCAGTCTGTAAAATACCTACGAATGTGCAGAGGATAGGAAAATTGGGGTGGGGGGGGGATGACACTTACCAGCAATAAGTCTTTGAGTACTTAAAGTACTGGCTAAGCAATGTTACACTGGTATAACACAAACGGATCATTATGTACGTCTGATCTCACTTGCTCACAGCTGTGCATAGCCTGGCAACACTTTACTGGAGTTAACATGTCATTACATGACAGGGCAGTTGCAAGCTCAGAGACTACGAATGTTTTGGTTAATGTGTCTTCACATACAGCCTAGCATTATATTTTTCCTCCTGAGTTCTACAACTTTTTGTCTACCTAGCTCTTTCTCCCTGACCTACAAGGACAAAAGTGTAGAACAAGAAAGCAACGGAAATAAATCATTTCTTAAAAAATGGCTATGCCTTTTCTGGACTTACCTTCACCCACTGCTCAGGCTTTACATTTTTCAAAACCACACTCATTTCTGGCTTGTCCATTAGAATTTTTAGTTTGGCCTGGTTGGGATCTTCGCTAGTAGAAATTGTAATAGGAACCATCCACTGGGGACAATCTTCTCCTAAGTGGAAGAAGTTTCAGGAACACAAATAGTTATCAGTGCTAAGGAAGACATCATTTCTAACAAGATGTAAATAATGTAACAACAGAACAGCTTACCCAAAGAATCAGCCATGCAATGTTTTTAACTTGTTATTTTTTTTAACTTAGTTTTCATTTGTAGACCAATAGGGATATCAATGATTAAGAAAAATGCTCATCTAGGATTTCAAAACAGATTTGAACCTGCAATTCAGCCTAAGTACATAAACTGCTGGAAACACTGAAGGGATGATCATTTAAAAATTTTTTTTAAGTATTTATTTATTCAAGAGGCAGCAAGACAGATACAGAGGCAGTGAACAAGAAAGAGAGAGCGAGCGAGCGTGCGTGCGTGTGCCTTAGTGCAAGTTCCCATCTACTGTCTCGCTCCCTAACTGCCAACATGGCTGGGGCTAAAGCCAGGAGCCTGGAACACAATCCAGGGATCCAGCATGGTGGCATGGTCCACCTAGTTCTAAACTACTGCTGCCCTGGAGTCTGCATTTGCAGTAAGCAAATGTTGCATTCAAGTGAGAGACCTAAATGAACCCCCGGCATTGGTCTGTCCCAGTCCTCACCATAGTAGCCCATCAAGGGAGTGAATCAGTGGAGGGAAGATCTCTGTCTCCTCCCTACCCTATAACTCTTCCTTTCAAATAAATACATAAATTTTAAAGAACAATAACAACAAAAAAAAAACCCCAAAAATAGTTAAACAGTGACTTAATGGTCCTCACTACCCACTCTTAAAATTTTTCTTGTGTCATGACACAGAACTTTATACAGAAAAATAAAGAACATTTCAGAAGAAATTAAAATGTTCCTCTGTACATTTTTTCTTTAAAACAGTCCTCAACAGTTCTATATCTGAATTACTAATGCCTTATCATGTTGCATGCACTGAATGTGATCTATGTTACCAAGAAAAAAGGAGATACAGAGAGAAAGTTCTTCCATCCACTAGTTCACTCCCCAAGAGGCCGCAATGGCCAGAGCTAAGCCGATCCAATCTGAAGCAGGGATCCTGGAGCTTCTTCCAGGTCTGCCACGCGGGTGCAGGGTCCCAAGGCTTTGGGTAGTCCTCAACTGCTTTCTAAGGCCACAAGCAGGGAGAGCTGAATGGGAAGTGGAGCAGATGGGACACAAATTGGCAGGATTCTAGTGCATGCAAAGGGAGGATTTAGCCACTGAGCCATCATGCTGGGGCCATGATTGCTTCTGTTTCCAGCTTCCTACTAATGCACAATCTGCAAGGCAACGGGCAGAGTTAAGAACTGAGTTCTTGACACACAGATGGGAGAGCTGGATTAAGGTGCTCGTTCCTAGCTTCTGTCTGGATTGGCTCAGCCAAGCTCTTACCGTCATTTGGGGATAAATCCAGCATGCAGAGAAACTTATGTCTATCTGTCTTCCAAACAAAAATTTTTTAAAAAATTTTTAAATCTAAGAAAGTAACTAATTATATGTAGCATTTCATTCTGACTCTATTACAATTCCCTAGTTTTTATTTAATTCCCAAACTAAAAAAAAAAATGCTTATGTTTTCTTCTAGTTGAATCATTATAATTACAGCATTCAAATTCACTGGTCAGCTCCCACTTATAGCCATTCGCTTACCAACATATGGTCCACTGGCACAGAATTTTTTTTGAGACAACCTCAGTAATCTGTCATCTTCTACCTAAAAAAGAAAAGAAACAGTTGTTTTTGTAGGGGATGGAAAACAGCGATAGGATTTTTATGATAAAGTACACAGTGAACCAGTATAAGCAAATGTTTTGAGTAAATCCAATGCCATGGTCCAAAAGATATAGCATCACAAAATGGTAGGAAAATCACTATTTTCCATTTTGGCCTCAAACAACATTATAAGTAACTTTTGAAATCCATGCAATTTTTTCTCCCAGAGTACATAGTTTTCATAAACTTTCTTAAGACATCCTTTTTTGCTTGCTTGTTTTTTCAAAAATAAACCTTTCTGGGATACGAGGAAAAAAAATAAACCTTTAATTTCATTTCCTACAACTTGTAAGTGCCTATTGTATGCACCCAAATAGCAACAGATCCTAGACGCTTTAAAGTATTAGTTGTCACTGGTATATGCAACAGTAAATACTACTACAGAAAACTATATTCGTTTTTATCAAAAAAGGTCACGCCTTCAGTTTTCCACTTCTAAGAAGCAGGAATATAAGATCAGAACGTAGATTCAACATTCAGAATTCAAATTTTAGAATGCTTGAGAAACACGAGAGAACCATGTACCTTGTTTTCTCAAAGGATGAAATTTACAACGAAATGTACTAGCTCATGTGGGTTGGGGGTAGGGGCTGCAAATAACAAAGTCATAAGCCTTAATACTAAAAACAAGTGGTCCAAAAGTATTTGAATAACTCAAGAAGTAACAGAATAAGGTCACTCGGATCAAGTGTAAAACTGTGTCAATGAGTTTCACAGATAAACGGAATGCAAGAAATAGAAATGAAGAACTAAGAAAAAGTTGTATTAAGGAAGCAATGTCCAAGTTGATGCCCTAGAGAAATAACTTTTTTTTTTAAATTGATTTTTATTGCAAAGTCAGATATACAGGGAGAAAGAGAGACAGAGGACAATCCTCTTCCTGCTGATTCACTCCCCATGTGGCCACCATGGCTGAAGGTGAGCCGATCTGAAGCCAGGAGCTTCTTCTGGGTTTCCCATGCGGGTGCAGGGATGAGAAGTGGGGCTGCCAGGACATGAACTGGCGTCCACATGGGATTCTGGCACATGCAAGGTTAGGATTTTATCTATGAGGCTACTGCACTGGCCCTGAGAAATAATTTTTTAAAGTTTACTTCATTTTTTTGAAAGACAAAGTTACACAAAGAGGAAAAAGGAAGGGAGGGAGAGACAAAGAAGGAATTTCCACATACTGTTCACTCCCCATGAGACCACAAGAGCAGGGCTGAAGCCAGCAGCCAGGAGATTCTGCCTGGATGGTACAGGGGTCAAGGACTTGGGCCATCTTTAGCATTTTTCCTTGGTACAGTAGCAGGTACATTGAAAGTAGCAGGACAGGGCCTGGCGCGGTGGCGCAAGTAGTTAAAGGTCCTCGCCTTGCACGCCCGGGATCCCATATGGGCGCCGGTTCTAATCCCAGCAGCCCCGCTTCCCTTCCAGCTCCCTGCCTGTGGCCTGGGAAAGCAGTCGAGGACGGCCCAAAGCTTTGGGAACCTGCACCCGCGTGGGAGACCCGGAAGAGGCTCCTGGCTTCGGATCGGCATAGTATCGGCCCATTGCGCTCACTTGGGGAGTGAATCATCGGACGGAAGATCTTCCTCTCTGTCTCTCCTCTCTGTATATCTGCCTTTCCAATGAAAAAATAATAAAAAAATAAATCTTAGAATTACATTTGTTATTTAAAAAAAAAAAAAAAGAAAGTAGCAGGACAAAGCTTGGCACTGTGGCCTAGCGACTAAAGTCCTCGCCTTGAACCTGCCAGGATCCCATATGGGCACTGGTTCTAATCCCAGCAGCCCCACTTCCCATCCAGCTCCCTACTTGTAGCCTGGGAAAGCAGCCGAGGATCACCCAAAATTTTGGGACTTTACACCTGTGTGGGAGACCTGGAGGACGTTTCTGGCTCCTGGCTTCAGACTGGCACAGCACTGGCTGTTGTGGTCACTTGTGAATCACTGGATGGAAGATCTTCCTCTCTGTATATCTGACATTGTAATAAAAATAAATAAATCCTTAGGGAAAAAAAAAAGAAAGTAACAAGATGGAAAAGCTTACTGAACTTCAACAAGAGGAAGAAATGGGATATTATTGTTCTCGATTGATAAACGACTGTGCTCTTAAAAGTGTGCGGGATGCTCCCTGTGTGCCATCTGATATTTGAGTGTCCGGCTCTAAGTCCCAGCATCCCAACACAGTTCACTGTTAATGCACACTTTTGATAGCTCGAGAACCTGGGTCCACACTACCCATGTGCAAGAACCCAACTGAGCTCAGCATCTGGTCTAGCCTGGATGGTCTGTTGCCATTTGGGAAGTGAAAGAGTTGATGGAGGGATCTTTCTGTGATTGAAAAAAAGAAAGGCATGCTTTCTTTTTTTTTTTTTAAAGATTTATTTTTATTATTTTTTATTGGAAAGGCAGATATACAGAGAGGAGAGACAGAGAGGAAGATCTTCTGTCTGATGATTCACTCCCCAAGTGAGCGCAACGGCCGATGCTATGCCGATCCGAAGCCAGGAGCCTCTTCTGGGTCTCCCACCCGGGTGCAGGGTCCCGGGCCACAGGCAGGGAGCTGGAAGGGAAGCGGGGCTGCTGGGATTAGAACCTGCCCATATGGGATCCCGGGCGTGCAAGGCGAGGACCTTAACCACTGCGCCACCGCGCCAGGTCCGAAAGGCATGCTTTATAACTAAAGAAACAGCCACGATTCAAAATAACTATCATACGGCATGGTGGCCCTAGAGATGGCAGCTTAATTTCCCACAGGACCCAACTAGTTGTTCAACAGTTTTGAGGGAATAAAATTGGCAGAGATTAAAGAAATGTATTTGTAGTTAAGTATTCGTAAAAGAAACCAAAGAGAAAACTACTTATTAAAGTATATACATGGAGTGTCAAAGGGAAGTTCCATCAGTCATCAAAAAGAAGAGACTTCGGGCCCAGCACGGTGGCCTAACTGCTAAAGTCCTCGCCTTAAACACGCCAGGATCCCATATGGACGCTGGTTCCCATTCCGACAGCTCCACTTCCCAACCAGCTCCCTGCTTGTGCCCTGGGAAAGCAGTCGAGGATGGCTCAAAGCCTTGGGACCCTGCATTCGTGTGGGAGACCTGGAGGAAGTTCCTGGCTCCTGGCTTCGAATCAGTGCAGCTCTGGCCATTGCAGTCACTTGGGGAGTGAATCATCAGACGGAAAATCTTCCTCTCTGTATATCTGACTTTGCAATAAAAATAAATCTTAGAGAAAAACGAAAGAATAGACTTGTGCAGAAAGAGGACTAGAACAAAAATGAATGGAGAGTTGGAGGTAGGGGTGAGACTGTCCGAGCAGTTGCACTCACCATTCTTGGAAAGGCAGATATACAGAGAGAACAGACAGAAAAGATCATTCATCCACTGATTCATTCCTCCAATGGCTGCAATAGCAGGAGCTGAGCTGACCTGAAGCCAGGAACTTCCTTCCTCTGGGTCTCCCACATCACTACAAGGTTCCAAGGCTTTGGACCATACTGCACTGCTATCAGCAGGTCATAAGCAGGGAACTGGATGGGAAGTGGAGAGGCCAGGACACAAATTGGTGCCTATATGGGATGCTGGTGCTGACACATGGAAGATTACACACTTGAGCTATTGTGAGGGTCCGTGGGTGAGGTTTCTTACAGGCCTCGCCACCACTGCATTCCATCTCTCATCTCATGGAAAATTACGCACACATATTGTCTGATTCTGGAGCACATGTTGCAAGTCTGGGCCATCTCAGTTGCTGAATCTTGGGCAAAAATGGAGTGAAATGGATGAACAGAAAAGACAGCAAGCTCACCTAAGCCAGATTTTAGTACCTCATCAAAAGATGAAAATAAGGACAATTTGAGCAATAGTCTAGGCTAGGTTCTACAACATGCACCTATGTCTGTAGGTACACTGAAGCAAACAAGGGCATTTTTCCCCAGCCCAGACCCTCAAACAACCAACCATTCTTGTCCCCAATGCACTGATGTAATGCGACAGCAAGTAGCTGTGCACTTCCTCATATCCTTCTCACAATGGATTCAGGAGGAAAAACTGAAACTTTTATCTCTCTCTCCCAATCTGTGTCAGAACTGGAGGCCCTATGGGCTTGTAACGCGCCCCCCAACCACTGTACTAATATTTGGTGTTTTTATACCAAGCTTGATATCCTGCATTTTTTTTTTTTTAAGATTTATTTTATTTTTATTGGAAAGGCGGATCTACAGAGAGGAGAGACAGAGAGGAAGATCTTCCGTCCGATGATTCACTCCCCAGGTGGCCACAGCGGCTGGAGCTGAGCCAATCCGAAGCCAGGAGCCTCTTCCAGGTCTCCCACACAGGTGCAGGGTCCCAAGGCTTTGGGCTGTCCTCGACTGCCTTCCCAGGCCACAGGCAGGTAGCTGGAAGGGAAGCGGGGCTGCCAGGATTAGAACCGGCGCCCATATGGGATCCTGGGCATTCAAGGAGAGGACCTTAACCACTGAGCCATCGCGCCGGGCCCATCCTGCATTGTCTTTTCTGTAGCCAATCTAACTGAAAGTCGTCCAAAGCATTTTATTATAAAATCTAACAATGTTTAAAACTAAGATGTAGCTGTTACAGGCTGATGGTTAATTCTCAGTCCTCCTAGGGAATAATTTATTCTACAGTGCTCCTGTCTAAATTCAAGCAATGGTTTGGCTAATGAGTGTAATTAATAATGTTCAGATGCCATTGAGGCAACATTAGAAACCAACTTTGCTGATTATTTTATATAAGTGTTGCATTTTACCAAATACTTCTTCTCCATCTAATTAGACGATTACGTAGTTCTTCACTTGATGTTATTAATGCAGCAATTATGAGTCAGTACGCTGATTTTTTAAACATTAAGCCAACCTTGGATTGCTAAGAACAAGTGCCACTTGGTGACTTCAGAACTATGTCAACAATTTCACAGTCATTTGGCTAGGGACAGGATAAGCAGACAATGAGATGGCTCAAATTGGCTAATCCTCCTTGCAAGTGCCAGGATCCCATATGGGTGCCAGTTCTTGTCCCAGTTGCTCCATTTCCCATTCAGGAACCTGTTTATGACCTGTGATAGCAGTGGAAGATGGGCCAAAGCCTTGGAACCCTGAACACAAGTGGGAGACCCAGAAGCTCTAAGCTCCTGACTTCAGATAGTCTCAGCTCTAGCCATTGTAGCTATTTGGAGAGGGAACCAGCAGATGGAAGATCTTTCTATGTCTCCTCTCTGTAGATCTAACTTTCAAATAAAAATAATCTTCAAAAATAAAAATAATATCAATGGGTTCAGTGCGATAGCCTACTACCTAAATCCTCGCCAGGTAATCACCTGGATCCCACGTGGGCACTGGTTTGTATCCAATGCCCTTCCAGCTCCCTGTTTCCCTGAATCCATGCAGGAGACTCAGAAGAAGCTCCTGGCTCCTGCCTTCCGACTGACTTCAGCTCTGGCCATTGCAGTCACTTGGGGGGAGGGGGAGGGAGCCAGCAGACAGAAGATCTTTCTCTATGTCTCTATGTATCTGCTATTAAAAAAAATTCTTTAAAAAAAAAAAAACAAAAAACAAAATAACAAGGAGGGGAAATAATTGAAGTAAAGAGTACAAGGACCGGTTTAAATGTCAATAGAATATTGATAGCTAGAAAGCAAATCTGTGAACAGGGTACTGAATTTCATTTAATACAATATCAGACAAGTGGAAGAGATGTTTACCTGTTCAGCTTCCACATAAATGAGAGGGAAGCCCATCTGTTTGGTCCAGGTACTCATTACAGCCGCTATAGGCTTACCGCTGGCATTTTCTAAACTTTCCCAGAGATCCTCTAGAAGATAAACATAAGGATGATCTAAAATATTTATACTTTTATTTTTCTAATACACTAAAAATTTTATCGACTCTATTGCTGATTGTTTGGTTCTTTCAGCTTCCAGAAATAAGTGGGTAAAGTTACTTGATGCTCCTCTTGTCCCCAGTCCCCTTCAAATAAGTAAATCCTAAAATAAAAAGTGGTATTTTAAAATGTAATCATTTGATTTTATTTAAAAAATTACAAGTTACAATAAAGGTCAAACAAGTGCAAACAAAAGCCAACTAGAAATAAAGAAACAGAAACATATTCAAGATCACTGATGAACACAAACTTAAAACCACCTATTCAATGAGCTGAGGTGGAGAAATATTCATAAAGTCAAACATCATAGTATAAGGAAAAGCTAAATGAATATAATATATACTACAGTGGTGCAAGCATGGAGCAGAGACACTTGAACACTCCAAAGTAAGCATGGGCTTTCTTTAATAAAGTTGTTAGCTGTCATGAACTGTCATTAGAAACAGCAAAAAAGGACATTTTAAACAGAATAAATATTCTATGTATAAATAGGAAAGTATAAGACAGAAAATGGCAATAACAATGTGTGAAAAAAAATGAATGCTGTACAGCATGTGAATGGGAGTAAGACATGAGGCTGAAAAAGTAGGCAGACTGTGTATTTCAGAAGCATGTACTTTACTGTAAGGCAATGTAGCACTGTGAAAAGTTAGCAATTCATTTTAGAGACAATTTTAGTCAAAATGAGAGACGAAACTGAAGGGAGTGAAGCAAGGCAAGAAGTACTGAGTTAGTAACCAACTGAAGAATTCCCATGGAAAGATTATAAAGCATGAACAAGGGAAGGGCAGTAGGATAAACAGAGGGCCTGGGACTTCTAGCAGAGAACGAACAGCATCAACAATAACTGGAATATATTTGAAATGCCAAATATTTTTCATAGGAATGGTGTGAGTGTTATTCAAAGAACAGCCCAGGAACTAGCAGCACCAGATTTATCCAGAGTTTATTAGAAACATCCCATCTTGGATGGCATAACATTTTTTTCTTCCAATTTGATCTCAAGCTATTAAGATTACCTGTGGCAGCATTCTTTTGTTGGAACTTGGTTAAATACATGTTCATTCCTTTCTTAAAGTCCTGAGAAAACACAATTTTTAAATCCAATAGAGTCAGTATTCTTAAAATTTGTAGTACAATTGCATATTAGTAATAAAAACAAACAGAATTTAACCAAATCCTTAATATTAGATACACTGAAAAACATATGCCTGTCTGAATCCTACTGTCTTTAAGAATGCATACCTTTGTGCTGGTGCAATGATTCAACACGCTAATGCTTCACTTCAAGTGCTGGCATCCCACATGGACATTGTCCCATATGTTCCACTTCCCATTCAGTTCCCTGCTTGGAGTCTAAGAAAGCAGTGGAACATGGCCCAAAACCTTGGGACCCTGTACCCATGTGAGGGACCCAAAAGAAGCTCCAGGCTTCAGACTGGCTCAGCAAGAGCTGTTGTGGTCATTTGGGAAATGAACCAGTGGACAGAAGCTCTTTTGCTCCGTCCCTCTTTTCTGTAAATCTGCCATTCTAATAAGAATTAAAAAAAAAAAAAAAAAAAACACCAAAGAAAGAAAAGAAAACTACTATCTTGGGCTGAGGCATGTAGTACTGCCAATTGTTGGTTGGGAGCATCCAGGTTGCCAGTTGCAACCCAGACTGCGTGTGTGGGGGCAATGTTTTGTCTCTGAGGTTTCCCGAAGAGTTGCTGCTGCACATTCAGCCTGTCCATTTCCCTACTTCTTGAAGCTGCTCTATCTATGAAGAAGTCCATTAAGCTCTGATCTGCTGGAACATGCTGTTTATAGTTCTTAATGACCTATAAGGAATTCATGCACAGATTTCCCTGGGTGGGGCATTAAGAAATAAAGTGGCTAGATACAAAGATTGTACCATTCAAAAAGAGAGAGAAATAAATGACTTTTACCTTATCTCCAATATAATCATGTAGCATTCGAATGACAGATGCACCTTTACTATATGATATCGCATCAAATATCTCATCAACCTCAGACGGATGGCCAACACTGACCTGGCAGATAATGGGATTCAGTATTACAAGAAGAGGCAAACAGCTTCTAACACAAAATTACATGAAATGCTTTCTAGGAAAATTCTTCAAACTAGCTATTTTTCTGTGTCTAACTTAATTCAATGGTGATCCTCAAAGGAAGGCAGTAATTTATTAGCTAATTCTAATAAAGTGAAAGATGAAACATGTGCCCTGTCATCTCTTAGAGCCTGCCTTCCAGTCCCACCTGCTCTGCCAGAAGGCCAGTGACGACAGCTTTGTTTATCTGGGGTTAAGGTAGAACACAGAGATTTACACACACACACACACACACACACCTTAACTTCCTGTACTTAAAGCAATAGGTTACAGTTATTAGGCCTCAAGTGAAGTGTGTCCAAATAGAATCATTCTTCTAGTTCTCTGGCTGTGAAATTTATTCATATAAATAATTGAAATAAGAACAGGCTAAGCTAAGAGAACTAAAATATGCACAAAAACAGATAATGCCAAAAAAATATTTATGCCCAGAATTTTCCTTGAAACCTTTTAATGGAATCACAATGTAATGTGACAGATAGGATTTCATTTTCACTATTCAAAAGCAGAATGAATATTTATGGGTATAACAACTGCCTTTATAGAGACCAGATTTTTCATAGTGCCTACTTAAAAACTTATTACAATTTCAAGACTGGAAATATGAACTATAAAAAGTGAAATCACTCATGCCGTTTTATCTTTTCAGAGTCCCAAATATCCCTGCAACAAATTACTTATATTACTGAAAGTGTGAACAGTCATATGTCAATCATTGAGAGTGTGTCTCACTTCAATAGGATGGCTGTTATCTAAAGCATCCAGTTCCTGGGCCCGGGTATAATCTGCAGAAACAAACTGAGTCCAGATATCATACTCAGGGAAGCAGTGATCTACACACAGATACTCAATCCAGGATGCGAAGCCTTCATTTAACCAAAGATGAGTCCACCATTCCTAAAAACAAAAAACAAAAAAAAAAAAAAAAAGGGAGATACGGAAGAAAATGAGTGTTATTTTACTCACTTGAAAAACAAATCTCTTTCATCATATTCCAAAACGTTCAACCTAATGAGCAAAAATTCAATTTAAAGCATTTAGTAGAGAACTCACATTACTGGGGTAAAAAAAAAGACACACTTAAAAGAGATGTCAAGAACAGGCAAAATGGGATGGGTACTGTGGTATACTGGATTAAGCTGTTGCTTAGGGTATCTGCATCACACATTGTAATGCCTGGTTTGAGTCTTATCACTACACCTCCAACTCAAGTTCCTACCTATGGGACTGGAAGGAAGTGGATCATGGCACAATTACCTGGGTCCCTATGAACTATGTGGGAGACCCACATGGAGCTCCTGGCTTCTAACTGGCCAAACCTAAGTTGTTGTAGGTATTTAGGCAGTGAAAACATGAATGGAAGACACCTATAAACCTAACTATCTGGCTAATGAAACTTCTTTCCTAATATGTAAATAATTTCTCAAAAAAAGTTATGATGGTGACATTAGAATTACACCCAAGAGACATCTTGAAAACACTGCTAAGTAACTTCTCATCATCAAGAGTAGTAAAGGATAGGGATGGGTGGGAAATAATTCCAAACACGTAAAGGAAAGGAAAGCAGTGGTGAAAATATCGTGGTATGGGGACTGGCATGGTAACCTAGCAGTTAAAGTCGTCGATTCACATAAACCGTGATTCCATATGGGCGCAGGTTATTTATTTATTTTTTATTGCAAAGTCAGATATACAGAGGGGAAGTGAGACAAAGAGGAAGATCTGTCCAATGGCTCACTCCCCAAGTGGCCACAACAGCCAGAGCTGAGCCGATCAGAAGCCAGGGGCCCAGAAGCTTCTTCTGAGTCTCTCACATGGATACCAAGGCTTTGGGCCATCCTCAACTGCTTTCCCAGGCCATGAGCAGGGAGCTGGATGGGAAGCAAGTCTGCTGGGATTAGAATCAGCACCCATATGGGACCCCGGCATGTACAAGGTGAGGACCTCAGCCACAAGGCCATCGCGTCAGGGCCTAAAAATGAATCTTAAAATATATATAACACTGTATGGGGCCCAGTGCAATAGCTCAATGGTACAATGCTTGTTTTGCACACATCAGTATCCCATACAGGGATACTCCAGGATGTCTCCTGGCCTCTCCACTTCCCATCCAGTTCCCTGCTTGTGGCCTGTGAAAGGTGTAAAGGACAGCTCAAGGTCTTGGAGCCTGCACCCTTGTGAGAGGCACAGGAGAAACTTCTGGCTCCTAGCTTCAAATTGGCCTAGCTCTAGCCATTGCAGCTACCTGGGGAGTGAACCAGAGGACGGAAGATCTCTTTCTGTCTCTCATTTTCTCTGTAAATATGCCATCAAATAAAAGTAAGCAAATCTCTCTCTTTTTTAAGAAAAAGCAAAGAAAAGGAAAGGAAATATCACATGGAGTTTTGTTTTTTTTTTTTTTTACACTTCATTTTTATTGGAAAGGCGGATATACACAGGAGGAGAAACAGAGAAGAAGATCTTCCATCCGATGGTTCACTTCCCAAGCAGCCGCAACAGCTAGAGTTGAGCCAGCCCGAAGCCAGGAGCCAGGAACTCTTCTGGGTCTCCCATGCGGGTGCAGGGTCCCAAGGCTTTGGGCCGTCCTTGACTGCTTTCTCAGGCCACAAGCAGGGAGCTGGATGGCAAGTGGAGCTGGATGGGATTGGAACCGGCGCCCATATGGGATCCCAGCGCATTCAAGGCGAATACTTTAACCACTACACTATCACGCTGGGCCCATTGTATGGAATTTATTTTGGTAGAGAACATGAGTAGCTGTTTGGTACACTGAATGACGTGCTGCCTGGGACATCTGTAAGCCAAATCAGAGAATCTAGGTTCATGTACAGGCTCTGATCCAAAATCCAGCTTCCTGCTAAAGCAGAAGGAGTTGGATTGGAAGTAGAGCAACTGGTGCCCACACATAATATCAGTACCACACACAGGTAGCAGCTTTACATATTATGCCACAGCAACAACTTCCTTTTTAATCAACTTTAAGAGATTTGAAAATAATTTTAATGAAAGTTCAAAATTAAATCTCCTAGTCAAAAAACGCAATATACAAGCTCAAGATGAAGGTCAAAGGACTAGCAATGGTAAAACACAAAATGTCATTTGAAGTTCTACAATGATAATTTTTATATAAGTACTTATTTTTGTTTGCAAGGATCATTATAGAAAATACAAAGAAAGATATTTTATCTACTGGTTCACTCCCCAAGTAGCTACAATGGTCAGAGATTAGCCAATTCAAAGCCAGAAGTCCGGTGTCAGGAGCCAGGAGATTCTTTTGGGTTGCCTACATGGGTGTCGGATCCCAAGGCTTTGGGTCATCCTCAACTGCTTTCCTAGTCCACAAGCACGGACGTGAATGGGAAATGGAGCAGAATGGATACAAACCAGTGCCCATATGGGATTCCAGCACATGTAAGGTAAGGATTTTATTCACCAGGCTACTGTGCTAGGCCCAAAATTTTATTTATTTTTTTTAAAGATGTATGTTATTTTTCATTGAAAGACAGTTACAGGGGCTGGTGCGAAGGATTTACTAGCTAATCCTCCAGTTCCCAATGCCAGCAATCCATATTGGCACCAGTTTGTATCCTAGCTGCTCCATTCCCCATCAAGCTCCTTATTTGTGGCCTGGGAAATGAGCAGAAGAGGGTCAAAGCCTTAGGACCCTACACCTAGTTGGGAGACCTAGAAGTTGTTCCTGATTCTTGGCTTCAGAATTGGCTCAGCTCTGGCTGTTTCAGCCATTTGAGGAGTAAATCAGTGATGGGAAATGTTTTTGGGCCCAATGGCTAGAACTAGGCAAATCTGAAGCTAGTAGTCATGAGAGTCTACCACGTCCCAAGGCTTTGTGCGATCCCCCACTGCTTTCCCAGGCCATAAACAGGAAGCAGGACTGGAAGTGCAGTAGCTGGGACAAAACCAGTGCACTTATGGAATGACAGTAGTGCAGGCAAAGGCTTTGCCTGCTATAATAAGGCTCCAGCCCCCAAAATAAAAGTTTATACATCAAAGCAAAATGATTTTTTTAAAAAACAATCTCTGACTTCTCTAAAAATTCGTAAGAATTACTTAGTGTCTCACCTTCTTGCCTATTTCTGTGATGTATGAATCAACCAATATCTATGTCCATGGCTGTGCTCTTTGGCAACCTAAAGTGCTGTTAAGGAAATTTAGCTGGCTCTAGACCCTCCAGTTCTTTTACTGAAGGGTACTTCTACTTCATGTATTAAAACCCTATGCTCTCCTCCTGCCTGGACGCACGAGATCAGCAATAATTCAGAACTGTTCAACTATCAAAACCCCTTAACAGGACCTTCAGAGCATGCCCAACATTGGGGACCCTTGGGTGGTGGTGTCAGGTGGCTGTCCTTCATCCCAGGGTACAGAGGTGCTTGCAAGGATGGGTGTGGCTTCTCCCTTTATCTCTCCCCTTCCCCCAGATACAGGAAGGAAAAAAGAGAATGTGGAAATAATGGTCTCACACACCTTCCTGTAGCCCTTGACCCTGATCACCCTAATCAACTATGTAAAAATCACCAAAAATAGAGATAATTATATATAAAACAATAACAACAACAATAACCCTCTGCTCCTACAATGTAATATAGCTATTCCCAGATAGGATTTAATAAGAGTAATCATGACAGGTTAGGATTTTAGACAGATATCGGTCACTGCAAGCACTGTGATAAATGGGGAGGGCAACAGAGCAGCTGGATTCTTAAAAAACATTCTTTCCTCAGTTTTTTTAATTTCTTTTATCAAATTTCAACTGAACATTTTAGGCAAGAAAAATGACTACTAGAAATAAAACAACCAAAGACCAACTTATTTGTTAAATTTACTTTCTAGTTAGTATATACTATGCAACAATTATGACTCAAAATCAATTTTTTCTATCATTTTTTTGCATAATATTACACCCAAACTTGCAATACTAGGTAGCTAATATTGTACAGCAGGATGAAAATATATTTGAGCACTTAAAAATATTAAATACCATAGTAACAAGATTTCCAAACCATTGATGGGCGAGTTCATGTCCCACCACCAGAGCAACCCACTGGCGTGATGAAGAACACGAGTTTTTTGGATCAATAAGCAATGCAGTCTCTCTGTTTAAAAAAATAAATAAAAGTGTTATAATGAAAGCGGACATTTACAAAGGGGAGAGATTTAGACATCACAGTTAAGATGATATTAATGAATGGACAGAAAAATTTCGAAAGATTACAGACTCCCCCAGTAAAACTCAGAAAACACAAGGTCAAATATGTGACACAATTCTAATCATCAATTTGTTGATAGGACAGTCACCTAAAACTTTAGAAAACCTTTGAGGAACTTAGGAAATATTATGGTAGACAGAAAGAAGAGATAGTCCTTCCACTAATGAGAGGTAACAGAGGAGATATTACACAGTCTCAAAATGAACACTGAGTAGTTTGTCCAAAATTTAACTCATCTAAAAAGGTAAAAAAAAAAAAAAAAAAAAAAAAACCTGTTTATACACTCTGCTTTAAAAATTATTCAACATGCATGTTTGTGCCATGATGACATGTAAAAACATGGCCAGAAAATCTGAAATCAAAGAAGATTCTTCCAGTTGGATAAATAACTACAGAACTACTAGAAAAAGATTCTGAAGTGAGAGTCATAGTCAACAATGTATCTAAAAAATGCTAATGCCAGATGCTCACTTTCAAATCTCACAGCCTCAAATAAAAGCAGTGGAAAGGGAAGACCTTCTTCACTCTTGAAATGTGCATGGAACTGGGGTATGGGGAGGTAGAAGAATTCATGCCAGATAATAAGGCACAAGTTACACAACTGAAATTAGGAGTGACTCTCTTATGAAATATGTGATTAAAAAGATAAGGAAGAGCAATGCATCATTAACATACCTGTAAGTAACAAGGCCCCAGTTTTCCATGGCACCTTCATAAAATAAATACAAATATTCATTAATCTATATGTATATACACCTTTCCCTCACAAAATTCTAACAGTCATTACAATTCAGCAATAAAATGGAATTTACTTTACCAGCTGCAAAATCAGCAATAGCAATGAGATCAATTTTAGGTAGTGGGTAAGGAACATTGAAGTAATCCTTATAAAAAGGCAAAGTTTTAGCAGCAACCTATGAAAGTATAAACAAAAGAATCACCTGATAAATATTTTATTATATTTAATACAGAAATCCACAAAGGAATCCTGTTGCAAGCAAAATATTTCAAGTTACTAGAAACTGGTCCTGGGAAGCCTAGCTTTCAATGACACTTCAGCCCCAAGCTTTGCATATGCTGCCTACGTGCTCATCCACTTACAACTTACTATGGAAAAATTGGATTATATATTGTCCCACCCAAATCTTAGACTTAAAAACAAAAATCAATCACATTCACTTAATCATTATTTTGTAAAACATTAACGCAACATCAAGGCTGGTATTCCAGAAATACTTTTTTTAAAAACTAAACAGCACAGTAACTCTCAGATTAATTTATCAATAATTGTATTAATAATTGATCAGAAATGTAAATTCCCCAACCTGGAGTTATGGACTGTTGGAACAATCCTCTTCAAGTACATTTACCTCTAACGCAAATTTTCCTTGCTCTGCTTTGCCAACAGGGGTGTAAACACGGACACACACACCATCTTTTGACCTTGTTTCTACAAAGTCATATTCACCCACAACAAATGCCACCAGATATGTAGACATAACAGGTGTGCGGGCAAACTTCACTTCCACTAAATTTTCATCATCAGGGTATGGTTTCCGGTCAATTACATTCTTTAAAAGAAAGGAAAAAAAAAAAAAGCAAAGTTTCAAAAGATTACACTGATACCTTAGAGCAAACACTACCCACAAACTATAGGCTTGATCATCTCTCTGCTTCTGTCTTTCTTCTCCATCCCAATTCATGTAGTGCTTTTATTCTGTCAAGTTCTTCCCTCTAAAGAAGGAAAGTAATCTCATAAAGCACTTAAACTTATAAGTTGGGGGCTAAAGCACTCAACCTTTTTTTGAGGAAAAGAGGAATTCATTTTTCTTGGATATTTACTGTATGCCCAGGCATTGGACTATTTTAAGACTTTAAACATTTTCAAATGAAATAAGAACAGGTGAGAATGGTTTAAAAAAAAAGTTCATCTGTGGAATCTTTCATCCCAAATCGTAAAGATTTCCAGAACATTCTCTGTACAAAGGCTGACTCTAAGCAAATTTGTGAAGAAATTCCCACATTACATATGTAATCCCTAATATCCTTCTTTCTATTTTTCTTCTTTTTTCTACTCAAACTCATTTTCCTTAAGCCCTCTCAATTTTTCCTAGGAAGACATAGTCAAGAACAGTCCTGATAAATTCATTCTCACCAAAATATAAAATAATATTCAGTTTCACATGTTCTTCTAAGAATATTTCAGAAGAGAACCACATGACCTCTGAAACTATCTCGACTAATAAGCAGGCCGGAGCCAGTGAACTTCAGGTACAATGGGCTTTTTATCAAGCTCTCCAGTCATGGCTACTCTACATCTTCAATAAGGAAGTACCAAACAACACACTCAGATGCTGACTGTTTACCCTGCTGCTGAATGAGAGCAACGGCACCAATAAAGAGAGCTTATGCCAAACACGCAACCAGCCAAAACCGGAAGCACACGTCACTGCATAGCTTGATCTAGAAAATCTAAAAATGTCATGAACTTTTTCTTTAAATTAAAAGAATTAGGAATCTTGTATTTTGCTTCTCTGCCATGAAGAGGAAAATTCTCTTCTAAAAATGAAGCTATTAAGCAAAGGAGGCTGGCTACAAATGCAGCTGTTAAACTATGTCCTACATCAATACTTGCTTTCATATTATCCCATCTAGTCAGCTAGCTAAATGTGCTCAAACTATTCACCATGTAAACAGATGATAAATATATACATACCATGTTTGATAGAGCTACTCTGTCTTTAGGAACAACCAATGAGATATCAAATGTTGCTTTGATGGCAGGCTCATCCCAGCAAGGAAAAGCCCTTCGGGCATCCGTAGCCTTAAGGAGAGAGTATGAAATTTTAAAAGAAAAAAAAAAAATCAATGAATCAGCGTAAGAAACTACTTCATCAAGCAACTAACATTTCTATCATTCACTCATTCACTTGGTTATTCAAATATTTACTTTCTACTCAGGAGCCAAGGCAACAAGTTAACACTAATTATAAAGAAAGCTTAACACTTGTTACCAATGTTGTACTAGTGAACTATCCAGAAACAATGACTACTACACTCCTTTGTTCACAGTTTTTTGCTTTTTTTAAAAAAAATGATTTTATGGGCCCCGCGCCATGCCCTAGCGGCTAAAGTCTTCGCCTTGAATGCCCCGGGATCCCATACAGGTGCCGGTTCTAATCCAGGCTGCCCCGCTTCCCATTTAGCTCCCTGCTTGCGGTCTGGGAAAGCAGTCGAGGACAGCCCAAAGCCATGGGACCCTGCACCCAGAAGAGCTCCTGGCTCCAGGCTTTGTATTGGCGAAGCACCGGCCATTGCGGTCACTTGGGGAGTGAATCATCAGATGGAAGATATTTCTCTTTGTCTCTCCTCCTCTCTATATGTATCTGATTTTGCAATAAAAATAAATAAACCTTAACAAAATGATTTTATATATTTGAAAGGTAGAGTGAGAGAGACAGCAGGAGAGAAAAAGGCATCTTCCATGCACTGGCTCACTTGGGGAGTGAATCATCAGACGGATGATCTTTCTCTTTCTCTCCTCCTCTCTGTATATCTGACTTTGCAATAAAAATAAATAAATATTTTAAAAATATATAAAAAGGCCAAACTTATTAAAGCAAAGTAAAAATTAGTGATTTCCAGAATATCAGTAAAAAGAAAAAAAGGCCCACGTAAGAAACTTCAGAAAATAGAACAAAATTATGAAATCAATAGTAACATTTGTATGATGAAAATAACAAATATGAAAAGGTACAGGTGCTGGAATTTTTGCCATTAACCCAAGATGTCCCATGCAGAGAGTCACATAGGAGGTCTTTATTCTGGTGGGAGAGGTGGCCACAGGGAAGAGAGAAAGCAGAGCAGAGGAAGATGGGAGCTGGAAGTGGGAAAAGGCAGGGAAGAGGAAGAGAGAGATCCTGCATAGTGACAGGAGAGGACTGAAAGGAAGAGAGAGCTGGGAGAACCGAGAACAAGGGTGCCACCAAGAGCAGGGAGTGTAGAGAGTCAATAAAGAGAGAAAGGAAGAGATCATGCTTTTATACTACAGGAGTGGTTCCTGGGAGTACAGGGTCACAGGGATTGATACATGAAATGGTGGGCAGGGCCAGGGATGTGAGGCCACAAGATTGGTGGATAAGACTGTAAGGGAACAAAATGGGAACTAAAGGGCACCAGACTCAATAGGAAGGGAAATGAAACAGAAACTTAAAGGGAAGTGAAACCTAAGGGAAGCAACTATTTAAAGCTGCGGTGGGCGGTCTAAAATGGTGTGGAGGGGGGTCTCATCAATCTTCAGGGCCGATGTTTGAGTCACTCCTCAGAGGAAGAATCCTACACTTTTTTTTTTTTTTTTAGATTTACTTTTATTATTTATTTATTGGAAAGGCGAATATACAGAGAGGAGAGACAGAGAGGAAGATCTTCCGTCCGATGATTCACTCCCCAAGTGAGCGCAATGGCCGATGCTATGCTGATCCGAAGCCAGGAGACTCTTCCGGGTCTCCCACGCGGGTGCAGGGTCCTCTCTGTCTCTCCTCTCTGTATATCCGCCTTTCCAATAAAAAAAAAATAAAAATAAATCTTTAAAAAAAAAAAAAGTAAAACTAAAAAAAGTAGAAACTTGGAACACCAACCAGGTCTCTCACAGGTGTGCAGGGGTCCAGGCACTTTTTCTACTATCTACTGCCTTCCAGGATACAATAGCAGATGGCTAGACAGTAAACAGAGATGCCAAGACTTGAACCAGGCATTCCCCAATGGCTGCTTCACCTACTGTGTCACAATGTTCAATCCCAAATGCTATTTTAGAATAGAAGGCAATATAAGGCAACATATGAAATAAGACAAAGTAATAGTAAACCGGATCCCAAATTTCAGGTTATGCAAACAAATAATACAAGATATGGACAGAACAACTTACATAACTTGCAAATACTATAAAAATCTAAGCGGAGCCAGCATTGTGGTGCAGTATTCTAAGTCACTGGCTGCAACACTGGCACCCCACACCAGAGTGCCAGTTCAAGTCCTGCCTACCATATTTCTGACCCACCCTGGCAAACACATGGAGACTTATATGAAGTTATAGACTGCTGGCTTTGACTTCCCACAATCCTAACTGTTGTAGTGATTTGGGGAGCAAATCAGTGGACATATCTTCCCTTCTCTCTCTCTCTTTTTAAATACTTATTTATTTGAAAGGCAGAATTACAGACACTTCCATTCATGGTTTGCTACCCAGAAGGCTGCAACAGTTAGGACTAGGTAAAAGCAAAGTCAGGAGCCAAGAGCTTCCTCTGGGTCTCCCATGTGGGTGGCAGTGGCTCAAACTCTACTTTCCCAGGAAGAAGAGCAGGAAGTTAGATCAAAAGTGGAACAGCCGGGACTGGAACCAATGTCATATGGGATTCAGGCATCACAGGAAGCAGCTGAGACCACTGTACCATAATGCCAGCTCTCCCCAACACCAAGAATCTCTCTCTCTCTTGCTCTCTCTCCCTCTGTTGCAGTGCCTTTTAAATAAATACAACAAACAAACAAACAAAAACAACAGAAAGTAACTAATTCCAGTACTGAAATTCTGTTACCTGCATGTCCCTTTCATCTGTATATAATCAGTTCCCAGTCCACTCCCTTAGGTCCCTCCTTTTATAGATAAAAAGTCTCAAATCACAAATAGATTTATGGCCAAAGCACTTATCCTCAGTACATACTCTATATAATAAAACAGAGCTTTCTCACAATGCATATCTTAAGAATGACAAATATGTTCAAAAAGAACATTGCATACCTCAAACTGTGTGACAGCAGCATAACGGACCTCTCCAGAAGGGGTGGTGTATTTACTTCTATAGAAACCTTTCATTTTGTCATTCAGCTCTCCAACAAAATCTATCTTTAACGTTCCTGTGCCTATGATTGAAGATAAATAAAAACCATTTTATGGAGATGTTAAACACTGCCATCAAAAATGTCAAAGACAATATATTCAGGGATTATTCACAATATTTCAATCACACCTTCTTTCCTTAAATACTCCTGGCATTGGAGAGAGTATGGTATATATTAAAATAAATGTCAGGCAAAGCCTAAAACAATTCTTGAAGTCATATTTAGGGTGACTGTAGAGAAAGTTCTTTATTAACTCTGATCTAAATTACAAATACATGCAGAAAAGAACATGCAACATTTAACTGTCTGACACATGCTATTATACATGGTGCTTTTGTACTATTTAGGACTACTTATAAACTTGTATATAGGTAAGGTCCCTATTTTTTCATTTGAGGAAACTGAGGTTGAAAAACTCAAGGTTATACAATTAGTAAGCAGCAAGAATGAAATAAAATGTTTTAATACAAATTTATGTTCTCTGCCAGTTACACTATGAGCTTCAGACACAGGAAGAGACATGTATCCAATTAATCTTTAAGACAAGCCACTATGTATTGAGAAGCCAAATGAAACATTGATTGAATACATCTGTAAAGAATAATAGGGGAAAAAATTAAAAAATATATAGGGAAGATCAATAATTTGATCAGCAAAAGAACATAAAACAAATTCTCAGTCACCTCAATCATTTAAAATGTGATAACAAATGAACATTTAATCAATAATTAAGCAAATAAAAATGCAATTGGAATGTATCTAGACTGTAACTGCAAAACCAATTTAGATAAAATGTTTTGTGAGTACCATTTTCACTTATAATACAGAAAAGATTATAATATCACTTAATTATCATCTGCTAAATTTGGGGACATAGCAAAACAGTAACTATTTTGTATTTTACAATCAAGTAACACACACAAATTCACAAAAAGCAGAGTTAGTAATTGATTCTTTTCAAGTGCCTATTTTTTATTCATAACTTGAATTTGTTAGTTTCCTATTCTGTAGATTTATGATATGAAAGTAAAATAATCAGCCAGTCATTCCAAATTTTTATATCCTAATGTTTTTAAATTGTCATTTTGAAACAAAAACACTGACACTGGTTAAATGCTCTTGACTCTCCAATATAATTTTTTAGATAATTTTAAAATCAAATCTTCATCTTCTAAAATAAAATCCACTTTTAGAAATGACCAAAAGTCACTCAGTATAAGTTTATATGGTAAGTGAAAGAGAGCAAACTGATACTAGCCAAATTGCAGTGAAGCAATTATACTGATTTTATGGGCATCAAACTGATTCTGAAAGTGATTTAAGATTTCACACCTCTGCAGCAAAGTCATGACTAAACAAAGTGCCACATTCTTAAAATACTCATGCTGAAAAACAGTAAAATCAACAATTCAACTGAATTTTTGTGATGGTCATTAAAAAGAATTAAACATGGGCCCAGCACAGTGGCCTAGCGGCTAAAGCCCTTGCTTTGAATGCGCCGGGATCCAATATGGGCGCCAGTTCTAATCCTGGCAGCTCCACTTCCCATCCAGCTCCCTGCTTGTGGCCTGGGAAAGCAGTCGAGGACTGCCCAAGGCTTTGGGATCCCGCACCCGCATGAGAGACATGGAGGAAGTTCCTGGCTCCTGGCTCTGGATCAGCACAGTATCAGCTGTTGCAGTCACTTGGGGAGTGAATCATTGAAGATCTTCCTCTCTGTCTCTCCTCCTGTCTGTATATCTGACTTTGTAATAAAAATGAATAAATCTTGGGCCTGGTGGTGTGGCCTACTGGCTAAGGTCCTCGCTTTGAACATGCCGGGATCCCATATGGTCACCAGTTCTAATCCTGACAGCTCCACTTCCTCTCTATCTCTCCTCCTCTCTATATATCTGACTTTGTAATAAAAATAAATCTTTTTTAAAAAAATAAAACATGCATGCATATCTGAAGCGCTGATAAATACTTTTTCTTTAAAGAGGATATGTTATTGGGACAATAAATATGAAAATTAAAAATCAAAGGATTCTAAATGATTATACTTAACTATAAATAATATAAATATTTAAAAGGTGCTTTATTTAGGGATTTTTTTTTTAAATCAAATATATTACATTACTTAACTTCACTAGGAAGACTTAATAGATGATAAAACCCCAGGATTCTTAAGGGGAATTGTTTGAAGTAATTTTATTCTATAAACAAAATTGGCCAGTTGTTTTCATTAAGTCAAATGTTAAGATGTTTTCAAATAAAATTCATACTTCACAATAAATCTAATTTTCTATTTGGAACAAAAGTGGATTTAAAACTCATAACTAAATAAGAAAGGCTGCTTACACTTTTACTCGGTTTTAAATCTCCAAGGCCATCAAACCATAACAAGATATTGACAGTGACCACTTCCAAAAAGTGGCATACTAAACAAAATACAAAGTATTTGGAAAGGGTTATTACCTGAAATTCAAACAAAACACAAGTTAAAGTTTTACAAAGATCATTAATAAGTTTAATTACTATCACATTATACAATACTAATTACAAAGCACTTGCTACTAATACAGAAACTTAAGGAAAGAAAAAAAGGACTTTTTGATAAATCTGATTTATCAAATTTTACCATATTTACATCAAAATGAACTGACTGCTAGATTGTCTTATTTTATACCTATATACACATTAATTCATATTGCTTCCTCAAATCAGATAGTACTTTACTTCAATATCCAGTGTATGCAATATTTATCCATTTCAGATGGCAAGCCTTCTAAAGTATATAATACACTAACTTATAAATTGAGGAAAAATTCAGAATCTCTGCCAAAAAAAAACCCCAGATATTTAAAGTTTAGGAGAATACAACTGTTGTAAAATTTGGAGTAAGTCTTGAAATGCTTTAGCAATAACAAATTTAGTAAGTTCACTAAATAATGTAAAATTCAAAACAGATTAATTGTGAAAAGCAAAAGTCTGTCTTTGTGTCACCACTCCTCTCCTGTTTTCAGCTTCCCAAATGTTTCAAAGAACTGTTCTCTTCACGTACAGTTGACAACACCCTTAATTACTAATGCTGAGGTGGCCAGACCTACAAATATTATAATGAGCGCTATTAAGAGTGGCGTCCATTTCAGAACAGGATGCTTCACGGAACTATGTAACAATGTTACTAACATAATCAAATTCATATTTATTCCATTATCAGATCACTTGTCAATCTTTCAAAAAGTGAAAAGGTAAACATAACAGCTTCATTTCTTTACATTTAATTTTTTAAATCAACACAGAACTGTATATATTTCTCAAATAACAATTACTTCACTCTTAAAGAATGATGGGTAACAGTAATCTGGAGAGCTTTCTGAGCCGAAAAGCCAGTGACTGTCACATGGATATTAGCAGATATCCCACAATTTAATGTAGTCTCACATACCAGGTACAGATTTATTTTAACATTCATATCATTTATTAGATTTAAAATAACAATAATTTTGTAGACCTAATGATTATATCCTAGCTTGTTTCAGCTATTATTTGAAATGTTTTCACCATTATGTTTGCTGCGAATATTCCTCATCAAAAATGATGCAGCTGTTACACACTGGTAATCACTTTTAATTAAGTCTTAGTGAAACAAAGAAAGACACAGATTACTCTGTACGGTGTGATAACTTCTATAATCTTAAAAAGCATAAATACAAATGCTTACTAAACATGGTATAGTTTTAAAGGGATACACAGGGTTTCTACAGAGGATCAGAGAACAAGACAGGACAGAATGACAAACTTGCACTGTACAGCCTTTGGACTTCAAACTATGGTCCTGCAGTATGGTTTTCAAAATATTTAGCGTGGGCCTGGTGTGATAGCCTTGTGACAAAAATCCTCGCCTTGTACATGCCAGAATCCTATATGGGCACTGATTCTATTCCCGGCACCATCGCTTCCCCATCCAGCTCCCTGCTTGTGGCCTGAGAAAGTAGTCAAGGAGGGCCCAAAACCTTGGGATCCTGCACCCACGTGGGAGACTAGAAGAAGCTCCTGGCTCCTGGCTTCAGATCAGCTCAGCTCCGGCCACTGCGACCACTTGTGGAGTGAATTAACAGGTGTCTCACCTCCTCTCTATATATCTGACTTGCCAAAAAAAAATTTTTTTTTTTTAATATTTAACTCACAAAATAAAAGGATAGTAAAATGTGGCAGAAGCATAAACTTGATTTGAACTGCTTGAGTGGAAACCCCAGCTCTGTTGCTTACTAGCAGTGTCACCGTGGGCAATTAATTAAACCGTATTTGTGTCTTACTTTCCTCACCTATTAAGTAGACATAAAACAAGCTTTCTAAAAAGGTTGTTTAAAAGATTAAAAAAATTATTATGTTCAGTGCATTTAAAACAGCCTTAGTAGGGCTGTGGCTGTGACATACCATACAGGTGCCAGCTGGTCCACTGTGATCCATCTCCTTGCTAATGTGCTTGGGAACATAGCAAAGAAAAAGCTGGAACAAAAAGCTCCTGGCTCCGGGCTCCCAGCTCCGGGTTCTAGACTGGATCGGCTCTGGCTTGCAGTCAATTGAGGAGTGAACCAGCAAATGAAGCTCTCTAACTCAGCTTTGCAAATAAAACAGCCTGGTACAGGTTACTAATTCAATATGTAAATAAATCTTCTACTGTGTTAGCAATGTTTATTCTTCCCCAGTGAATTCTAGCAAATACATTCCAGTTTCTTTTCATACATACATATCCTTATTTTTAATTTAATGATTATTATGTCATTTCTTAATGCTGTTCAACAATTTAATACATGTTTCCCTCCTCCATTCTTGCTAGATTTATATGTCTTCTTGGACTATTTTACAATTAAGAGTTTTAAAAAATAGTTTCCTTTCATCCCTTTATTTTTCCTAAATATTTCTCATCAGATTATCAGCCCATTGTGTCTAACTTTGAGTTTGACATTTAGTTATTATTATTCTTTCTTAACTCTGTGTCTTCTGCTTTAAGAAAAAATTATATATATTCTTTACAAAGTCAGAAATACAGAGAGGAAGATCTTCCATTCGATGATTACTCCCAAAGTGGCCACAGCAGCTGGAGCTGAGTTGATCTGAAGTCAGCAGCCAGGAGCTTCATCTGGGACTTCCATGCGGGTGCAGGGTCCCAAGGCTTCGGCCCATCCTGTACTGCCACAAGCAGGGAGCTGGATGGGAAGCAGGGCCACCAGGAATGGAACCAGTGCCCACATGGGATCCTGGTGCATGCAAGGTGAGAACTTTAGCCACTAGGCTACCGGGTTAGTTATGTGTTACTTGCATTCTTCATGTTTTGCTATGCGATAATTTGAGTGGAGAGCCAGGGGGACAGTGCATGGGAAGTGGACAGCCAGGGGGACAGTGCATGGGAAGTGGACAGCCAGGGGAACAGTGCATGGGAAGTGGAGAGCAGGGGGATAGTGGCTATGCGATAATTTCAACATTCACTTCTAAATATTTTCTAATTTCTATACTAACACTTCTTTCATTGATGACTCAGTCATACTTTTCCAAATATATGAAATTTGCTTCCATTAGCTGATGTCTAGTACTTTTACACTATGAACAGGATAAAGCCTACAATGATACAGCTTTTTAAAATGTTTAAATTAAATTTTTTAAATTCAAAACTTTATTTTACTTCTTAGTTAACAGTCCACAGTTAGCACTCAGATAGCACTGTGAGGCAGTACTCTGCCCACATCATTTGTTCCCTCTCCCTGCTGCTAGAAGCACCCATGCTCAACTCTGATTTCTCCCTTGCTTTCACAAGATAACTAGTTTTTCAAGTTTCAACTGACACAATATTTTTTCATTATACAAAGTTCACCCTATTTGAAGATTTCTCTACTTCCAATTAAAAAAAATGCTTTATTTTTTTTCTTGGAATGCCAGATTTACAGAGAGGAGAGACAGAAAGATTTTCAATCCACTGGTTCACTCCCCAATGGGCATAATGGCCAAAGTTGAGCTGATCCAAATCCAGGAGCCAGGAGCTAGGAGCTTCTTCCAGGTCTCCCACCATGAGTGCAGGGTCCCAAGGTTTTGAGCCATCCTCTCTTGCCTTCCTAGATCGCCAGTAGGGAGTTGGAATTGAAGTGGTGTAGTCAGGACATGAACTGACACCATAATGGATCCTGGTGCACATAAGGCGAGGATTTAGCCACTAAGCCATGAAAGTTGCAAATCTGTAACTTTGCAAATCTAAAAGTATGTTCATTTCACCCTCACATTAAGATTCACAGTTAAATTCATAAATGTGAATTAATTAATTTCACATTAAATTCATACCTAATCAGGGAATTCTTAGGTGAAAACCAGATTCACTTCTTAATAGCCTGAAAGGAGCAGCTTCTTTCAGTTTAATGATATGTTCTGTCATCTTCTGATTCCTGAACTTTGAAGGTAATATGCTAACCTCCCTTCATCTCTCCTACCCCATACAGAAACTCTGAGGGCTTTATTTTATCCCATTTGTTCTAAAATTTGTTGTGGTATGGGACTTTTTACATTTACTAGGTCTTTCCCAATAGTGTACTTTCTATGAAACCAAGAGCTCTTGCTTCATCAGGTAAATGAAATTTCCTTTCAGTATCTTCAGTAAATTCCTCTTATCAAGTACTAGGGGGATGCTAGTTCTGTTGGACTGGATTACACATCTTCTATTTTGTTTTTTATCTCTTTGTTGTGCCTAATATTTGGAAGACTCAATTTCAGCCTCAAAATTCTTATTGGCTTTTATGGTATTTAATATATTATAATTGCCAGGAACTTTCCTTTTACTCTAAATCTTGCTCTCTGGGCATTCTTATTCTTGTCTAATAAAACAAAGTACCTTCTCTTAACTCTCTAGGGAGCATCATTGTGGTATAGTGGATTAAGCCCCTCCATGCTAGCCCTAAGAGCATTTAGGTATCTAGAAAAGCAGCAGCGGAAGGTCCAAGAGCTTGGTTCCCTGAACCCATGCAGGAGACCCAGAGGAAGCTCCAGGCCCTGGCCTCAAGCCCAGCCCCAGCTACTGTAGTCATCTGAGCAATGAACCTACAGATGGCAGACCCCCTCTCTTACTTATCTCTTTGTAATTCTGCCTTTCAAATAAATAAAATAAATGTTTAAGCTGTCTTTTAACTTGTCTTTGTTTCTTTCAAGTTTCTATGTTCCTATTATCCTTATGATTTTGTTTTCGCTTTTTCATAACAGAAGCTTTCCTCACATGTCTGGTAACTGCTTCCCAGTGACTTTGGTTGGTCACACAGCTTGCTTCGGCTTAACGAAAAGCGAGTGGACATCAAGTATACCATCTTCTATAAAGCAGTTTTAACTGTGTCCAGGCTCTTGCTTTCGCTCCATCCATACCCTCTGCCCTCTACTCTCTGCATGTGAGAAAACAGCACGTTGCAGACGAGCACACCTGTGAGCTGAGGGGAGCCTACTCAGCTCAGCCAAGTGTTCGCTGTAAGCCACTGAGACTGTGAGTCTATCTGAGTTAAAATGTGCACACATTTACAGATCCAGAGAGTACCTCTGGAAGGGTTCACCAGAGAGTAGACAAGATAAGAGTTCAAGAAAGAGAAACCTCAATTTTCACATTCCTGCATATTTCTTTTTTTTTTTCCATATTGTTCCCTTCATGTTTAAAGAGGGGTATTAAGGAAGAAGTCCCACCCAATTTCCCACCCTCCCCAGGTCCTGGATGTAGGGTATGCTCTGAGGTTCTTGCTCAGGTGGTTTGATATTTCAACAGTTATGAATCGCTGCCAATCTTGCCACTCCAAGCACTACGAGGTCTTTGAAGAATCCACTGGTTGACAGTCCATCATAGAGTCTCTGTTTGCCCCATATTTCGCTGCTAAGATATAGCTGAGATGGTTGGTTGATCTGATCTGTCATCTCTCTTTTCTT